TTTTGATGGTATACTTAATTTTACCCAAAATATTATTTCATTGTAATTTTTTTTGGTACTGGGGATGGAACTCAGGCCCTTGTGCTTGTGAGGCAGGCTCTGGAACCACTGAGCTAAATCCTTGGCTCCCAAAATATTATTTAAATACACAACCCTAAAGTATTATTAACAAAACATTTTACTTTTTCAAAAAATAAGTCTGAAATATGGTGTGTATTTTGCACACAGCGAATCTCATTTCAAACTCTAAATTTTATCAGAAACATTTGATGTCTATTTGATTTCATAAAATTCACAGCTTAAAAGGTAGACTGGCAAATCCAGGTTGTTCCAAATGTACTTTGCAGGGTACAGTGCCAGATATTTGTGGTCCCAACAGTTAAAGAGGCTGAGGCAGGAGGATCATAAGTCTGATTCCGTCTGGGTGACTCAGGGAGACCCTGTCTCCAAATAAATAATAAAAAGGGCTGAGAAAGTAGCTCGGTGGTAGTACCACCCCTCCCAGAAACAGAAACAACAACAAACACTTTAAAATTTTCCAATAACCAAATCAGTACTACTTTTTCAGTTCAATAATTAAAATTTAGTAAAATTTTAAACTCAGTTTTTCACTTGCACCAGTCACATATTGGATATTCATTTGCTAAAGTCACCATGGCACCGGACTGAACCACGTGGCTCCTAAGGACTTGGTGGGGTTTTCTCAGACTCACACTTGGAAAGTGGGGGCATCCGGAATATCTTCACTGGCATGGGGCTGTGAACACTACTGAAGCATTTTCACATCTTTGCTTTCATTTTACTTCCCCAGCATTTCTGTAGGTAAATTAAGCTTTGCCCCAGTTTTCAGATGAGCAAATGAGGCTTCGAGCAAAGTCCAAGTTCCTAGAGCATGTTGGTGATGAAGTCAGGACTGGAATTTCCTGCTTGAAGCATGTTTCTGTATTATTTTGGGCTCATAATAATTATACAAAATAATGGGTTTCACTGGGACATTTCCATACACGCATTTGATGTGCTTTGGTTGTACGCAGCACCCAGTCACCCTCTCCTGGTCCTCCCCATTCGACTTGTCCACTTCTCTAAATGTCTTTATGTCTTCCATTCCACCTAGGAGAGAAAACATGTGATACTTGTCTTTCTGAGCTGACTTGTTCTCCTGATACCTGGAGGCTGATGGATCTGCAATTCTGTTTTCCTGCAAGTGCTATGACTTTGTTCTTCTTTGTGGGTGAAGATGTTCCATTATGTACCACATCTCCTCTATCCATTCATCTGCTGATGGGCATCTAGGCTGATTCCATAACTTTTTTTTTTTGGTACCAGGGATCGAACTCGGGTCCCTGCGCTTGCACAGCAGACGGCGAGACCACTGAGCTAAATCCCCAGCCCCTGACTCCATAACTTGTGAATGTAATGGAGACGATAAAATGGATCTTTAAAAATTAGGATTTTAGCCAGTTGTGGTGGCACATGCTTGTAATCCTAGGACTCTGGGAGGCTGAGGCAGGAGGATTGTAAATTCAATCCTAGCTTGGGCAACTGAAGGGCTTAGTGAGACCCTGTCTCAAAATTTAGAAGGTGGAGGGTGAGACTGGGAAGCAGCTTAGAGCAAAGGCCCTGGGTTCAAGCCTCAGTACCACAAAAAAAATAAAATAGAATAAAAAATAGAAAAAGAAAGAAAAGAAGGACATTTTGCTACTATTGTCTCTTTGTATTGCTTTCCCCTCTCTCTTGCAATAAAAGCCTTTGTACACCTGACAAGGTGAGACAAAGATTTGAGGCAAAGAGTTCCTTGTCTTCTTTGGAGCCAGCTTTGAATACACTTCCTTCCTTCCCTTTCTTTTGAGACAGGGTCTCGCTACGTAGCCAAGCTTACACTTCTGCCTCAGCCTCTTAAGTGCTGGGATTACAGGTGTGCGTCACCATACCTGGCTGGCTTTTCTCCTTCTCACCAGGAGTGTCTCCTTTGTCCTTGGACACCCCAGTGGGCTGGTAGGTGAACAGCACCTCGACCACATGGGGCTCCGGGTGTCTCTGTAGAAAGTTGATGTTGATCCTATCCCAGGAGCGGTGGTGCTGGGTCATGCACTAGCTCTGCTTTTAGTGTTTTGAGGAACCTCCCTATTGCTTTCCACAGTGGGTGTGCAACTTTACATTCCCACCAGTGCAGGAGGGTTTGTTTCTCCCCGGTATCCTGGCCGAGACCTGTTATTTTTTGTTTTCTTGATGACAGCCATTCTGACAAGGCGAGATGGGATCTCAGTGTAGTTTTGATTTGCATTTCCCTCATGGCTAAAGATGGTGAATATTTTTTCACATAGCTATTGACTATTCATATTGAGTATTTGTACTTTTTTTTTTTTTTTTTTTACTATTTGTACTTCTTTAGGGAAATGTCTTCTCAGCTCATTTGCCCGTCTATTAGAGAATCACTGTTTTTTTGGTGTTACTTTTTGGATTGAGTTCTTCGTACTCCCTGGATATTAGTCCTCTGTTGGATGAACAGTTAGGGAATATTTTCTCCCATTCTGTAGGCTGCCTCTTGACTTTGCTAACTGTTTGGGCCTTACAGAAACTCTTTAATTTGATGTAATCCCATTGGTCAGTTCTTGCACTTATTTCCTGAGCTACTGGAACGCTATTCAGAACATTATTGCCTATACCAACATTTCGAAGCATTTCTCCTATGTTTTCCTCTAGTAGTTTCAGAGTTTCAGTACTTCTGTTAAGGTTTTGTTCCGTGAGTTAGGAACCTAGTTTCAGTCTTGGACTGGTGGACATTTTCCCAGCACCATCTGTGGAAGACACTGTCTTTTCCCCAACATCCGCTTCTGCTCCCTGTTTAGGGGTGCTCTGTCCCAGGGATCTGTGTGTCCACTTTTATGCTGATACCACGCTGCTGTGTTGCAATAATTCCACAGTGCATTTTGAAATCAGGTGTTGTGGTGCCTTCGGAACTGTTCTCCTTGCTCCACCCAGTGCCAGCCATTCGGGGTCTTTTGTGCCTGAGGCAGACTTCGAACAGCAGGCTTTCTGGCTGCAACAGTGGGTTTACACTGCATACACAGTCCCAGCTGTGGCATCGGGTCCCTATTTGTGTAGAATTATTCACCACCGTAGCAGCATTTCCTTATATTCTCTGACCCTGAGCCCTCACAGTACACCAAGTGTTTTGTGGGTGCAGGCTTGCCGTTATGCTATTTTCCCTCTTTCTTTACTCTCAGCAAGTTACACTTCATTTTTTTTTTTTTTTTTTTTTTTTCTGCTGGCCTGGAACTCACTATGTAGCCCAGGCTGGCCTCAAACTCGTGGCGATCCTCCTGCCTCAGCCACCTCAGTGCTGGGATTATAGGCATGCACCACCCCGCCAGCTAAGTTATAGGTATAACTTTTTAAACCACAACTCTACTCAGTGTTTGAGGGGACAGACACAGATGTGAGGTTCACTGTCACAGAACAGGGCCCAACAAAGTCCCCAAAGTGGAGATGGGGAACTTAAACTCACCCTCCCACAGAATAAGCTCGCTGAGTCTTGCTGCAGAAAAATAATTTTCAGGACAAGCGAGGAAAGAGCATGGAAGAGATTTATTTAGGAAAGAAAAGAACATGCTCAAGAGTGCAGTGCGGGCATTCAGAGAATGAGGTGCACTGTTTTCAGGGGCTGGGAACATTTCTGTTTCTCTTGAGGGGTGGAAACGTGTGGGTTTGTGAGTCTCTGGGAAGCTTCATCTTGCTCTTGGTTTATGGGAAAAAGAAAAAGGCTGCCCCCCCATGGGCCATCTTACAGGTGAGAGGTATGAGCCCAGTCTATCTAAGATGATGGTCTAAGTTTAGCCAAAAAGTATTCTTTGAATTCTCTCAATCTGTTCCTTTATCTTTTTGGATTTTTCTTTTCTTTTTTGAGACAAGGTCTCCCTGCGTAGTCCAGATTGGCCTTGAACTCACTATGTAGTGCAGGCTGGCCTTAAACTCCCATTGATCCTCCTGCCTCAGCCTCCTGAGTGCTGGGATTACAGGCATGCACCACCATGCTACCATACTGTTTCTATGTCTAGAAGCACAAATAGTCCCCGCTGCATTACAGCTGTCTAGAATGTCCACTGTGGTAGTGTTGCCTAGGTTCGTAGCCCAGGACCGACCAGCTACGTCATGCACTTTAGAGCTGTAGGCCACAGCACCTAGGTTCATGGAAGCACACTGTGATGTGCATACAGCGATAGCGCTGCCCAACACTGCCTTTCTGAGAACGCCTCCCCACCACTCAGGGACGTGAGACTGTTCTCACCTTTGGCAGTGGCAGACACACTGTACACACGGACCCCTCTGGGAAACGTGCTGGTTCAGAGCAGGCAGCACTGAGCACTGTGCTAAGCACTTCTGCTCCGGTTCCCATTGCACACATGCGAGCACAAATGAGACCACCATTTTCTGGTTCAAGGTCTGCCGCCGTCCTTCTGGACGACAGGCTGGTAGACTCAGCAGAGCAGTCCCTCGAGCCCGAGCCAGGTGGACAGTCAGGATGGACAGCACCTGAGCTGATAGCTGTCCAGGTGCTTTCCTTCAAGGCCCACTCATTTTTGCACCTCGTCCACCCAGCAGGACATCTGATCCATTGCGAAGACACAGAATGAACAAGTGACAACCACAGCACACAGTGTGGGGACTCAGAAGTGAAATAATTACGCTGTTTTCCTAGACCCTGCCTGCTACTCACAGGAGCTCTGACAGGGACTCAGAGCTCTCTCGTCATCATCCCTGCATGCTTTCTCCCTGACCAGTACTGTGCCGGGCCCTGGCTCCTGCATTTCTGCCATGCTGCACTCTGAGGGTGTAAGAGGCTTGTTGTCTATGACCCCGATTTCCAATTCTTCCCTGGGAAAGAAATGAGGAAAGAGAGAGACAGCACTGAGTGACACCCTGATTGTGCAGTGGCGATCAGCTCAGGGTTGGGAGACAGGAGCTTGGCTATTATGCTTCCACATTACCGCGCGTCTCACCTTGCACTTCCCTTCCTATTAACCAGGACTGTGGTGAGGGTTAAAAGGCATGGTTCAGCCAGGTGAGGTGACTCATGCCCAGAATTCCAGCTACTTCAGAGGTGGAAACAGGAGGATCATGAGACCAGTCTGGGCAGCGAAGACCCTGTCTCAAAATAAAATAAAATAAAATAAAATTTTAATTAAATTTTTTAAAGGGCTGGGGATATAGCTCAGTGGTAGTGCTCACCTACCATGTGTGAGGCCCCAGGTAAAATCCCCAACACCAGAAAGCAACAATAATAAAGCCAAACCATTATGCATATAAAGTTCTCGAGAAAGACTCAATAAATGGAAATTATTATTGCTGTTATTTAAAAATAATATTTGATTGAAATTTAAGTATAATATTGATTTAAGATTTAATTTTTCTATGAAAATATTTAAAGTTAACTGATAAAGATTGACTACTTTGAAGCTATACAGCATGACAACTTCATCTATAGATACACTGTATAGTGATTACCATGGTCAAATGAATCAATGTATCTATCCCCATTCATGGTGTACATTCGCTCCCTAGAACATGCTTGTCTTTAAAGTGTAAATTTATATCCTGTGGTCAACATCTCTTCTTTTTCCCCACCCCTACTTGTTATGAACCATTCTCTCCTCTGGTTCTCAGAGCTTGACATATGTGGACTCTAGATATAAGCCCATGCTCAGTATCTTTCCCACAATAACCGTGCCAACTTTTGTTCTTGAATAAAGAAGCCCCAAGCAAAGACCCACTTGCTGTTTTTGCCCTTTCTTCCTGTTGGAAATCCAGCTTTTATGCAGAGTCGCCCCTTGCAGCTCTGGGGATCAAAGGCCCACACTTGGCTGTTGGAGGAGGCCACACTGGTGGGGCACAGATTTCCTGCAGCCCGAGGACTGACAGCTCACTGCAAGGAGGCTGCTCTGGAAGGCACTGACTGAAGCGGTCCAGGGAGTGTTGGCGACGAAGGTTTCAGAGCTGGTGTCTCCTGGCTGGGGTTAGCAACTGCAGGGAGCCTTAGCACCCCCTTGCCTTCAACGCAAGAGGGAGTGTGGTTTCACCCGAGAGCGGAGAGCGGAGGAGCTGTCCAGCAAATGCAGTCCCTTGGGATGCGGCCAACACACACACACACACACACACACACACACACACAGTGACACACACAGAAGTGAGGAGGGCACTGTCAGCCCAACATCGCAGACCCATCTCGGTGGCAATAAGAGGAAAAGGCAGCTCAGGTGCCATCATTCACTGAGGCCAACCTCTGCGGATGTTGAACAGGCTCAGGAGGGAAGTGGGCAGCTGTACTAGTAAAGGGACGATATCCTTGCGCCAAGTGAGTAGAGTTTCTTAGCAGCCGGCTGCATGATGACGTCATGGAGCCAGCACACAGAGGACCCCAAGTCCCTCATGGCATGGAGCATCGCCATAGCAACCATGAACCGAGTATTAGGAACACCTTGCTGCGGGCGGAAAATGAACCCTTCTGTGGCTGAGTCACTTGGATTGGTTAGACTCCCAAATGCAGTCCTATGCAGTGCATAGCCACGCGCGGTGTAAGCCTGCTTTGGGCCAACAACGGACCACATATATGACAGTGTTCCCATGAGAATATAATGGAGCTGGAAATTCCCTATCCCCAGCAATGCCGTGACCATGATAAGGTTGTAACAGCAAATGACTTGTGTGTCGGTGGGGTTGCTGGCATAAACACACCCACTGTGCTGACAGTTGTATAAAAGTATAGTGCCCACAGGTACGTGTAGTGAATAATAACTGATGATGAACTGTCAGAGGTTTACAAACTTGCTATACTTTTTATTGTTAGCGTGTTCTCTTGCTACAGTTAACTGTGAACGAGCCCCGGGTGGGTCCTTCCAGAGGTGACGGGGTGACAGTCCTGCACCTTATCCCCCTGAAGACTCTCCAGGGGAGCAAGGTGTGTGGGTGGAAGACGGTGACACTGGTGACCCCGACCCTCTGTAGGCCAAGGCTAGTCTGTGTGTGTGTGTGTGTGTGTGTGTTTGTTTAGCAACAAAGTATAAAAAGTGAAATATGCTAGTAGGCTGTGCCACGCCTCGTATCCTGGGCAATGCCTCGAGACAGGCTCCCAAGAGGTCCTGGAAGCTGAGACCCAGACTCTCGGTAGAGCAGACTTGCAGGTTGGCCGCCTCCTGCTGCAGAAATAGAATTTCCAGGTGCATCCGCAAGAGGCCGGGGTGGGGTTCTGTAGGCAGAGGTAAAGGCTCCCAGTCGGGCGTGGAGTGTGGGCGTTCAGAGAACTGAGACCCATGGGGACCTGTGGCTGGAATGTTTATGGGGCCCTGGGGTGTCTCCAAGAGGGGTGATCGGGGTGTGTGTTCCGACAGTCCAGTCACCCATCTGGGCAGAATGCAAACAGCCACCGGAGCTTGGAGCTGAGCTCTGCCGCCCACTGATAGCGCTGCTTCCCAGAGGGTGAAGGAAGTGCAGTTTGCAGGCCAGAGGGACAGGCCCAGAGCCCTGGCTAGCGGCCCACAGTCTAAGACCTTTAGAATGTATGTCTGTATGTATTTCCTTATTAGAGTGAGTTCCTGGAAAGGAAAGGGGCCTGGGTAACTTTTGCATCCTGAAGCTGCAGTTTTTCTTAAAAGTACAATTTAAGGGCCAGGGATTTAGCTCAGTGGTTCTGGCGCCTGCCTCACAAGCGCAAGGTCCCGAGTTCGATCCCCAGTACCAAAAAAAAAAGAGTACAATTTAAAAACCCTGATTTCCTTGCCTTCTTTCCACCTGTTTTATTTCTGCTATCCCAGCTGTTTGCAGTGACAAGTTCACCTATGGGGACATTTCTCAGAACAACTCCTTGCTGTTAAGTAATCTATGACCACAGACAGATTCCACATGCATTTTAAATCTGTGGTGTCATTTGTCAGCAAAATGAATATCTGAGTCATTATTATTCCACATTTATTTGAAAGTCAGATTTCCATTTCTTCTCGACAACGGGGCCTGCCTTGGCTGAGTATACTACTTTTGTTTTTGTTTTTTTTGAGGCTATGTAGTCCAGGCTGGCTTCGAACTCACTGTCCTAGTGCCAGAGCCTCTAGTTCTGGGATTACCTCTCCCGGGAAGGTATTACTTCCAGATAAGGTCTTAGATACAATCTACCAAGACTGACAAGGGCGCCTGGAGGGAAGGAAGGAGCAGGTAACAGGAAGTGAGTCACTGGCCTGGGTGAAGCTGGTGCACCTTTTTATCATCCTGAGTAGCAATCCGCCCTTTTTTTCCTGGAGGGGTTCAGCTGAGGGACATCTCTGGGTTTCCATCCTCTGGGCTCTTTCCTGCTACCCGTCAAGAGGCGGCAATTTGCTCCTGCACCAGAGGCTGGGTATCTGGGTTCCCTCTCATTACGGTTCATAGCTAGACGGGCCCCTAATACCTCATGGGATCATAACCCGGACCTCTGGTCAGTGACTGGGTCACCGGAGCTTACAGCTGACTCGGACTAGGAGGCGGGGCCTGGTCGGAAGAGGCGGGGCTGTGGGCGTGGCCGGGAGGGTCCGCTCCTCCCCTCGCTCTGCTTCCCGCCCTCCGCACCCCTCTGGCCGGCGGTCCTGCCTTGGGAGCCAGCTCGCCAGTGAGGACTGAAACGCGAGCCAAAATAAGCCTCCTCCTTGACGTTGTGGCTGTTGGGTGTGGTTTGGGACGAGAGAGCGAGGGGGCGCCTGCCTCCCACGTGCCCTGTCCTCAGCCTGGCTCTCGGCCCGTCCCCTCTGACCCCAGCGCCTCGCGCCCCACTTCCTTCCTGAGCCCTTCCTGTCTGCACCCTGAGAGAGGGCGGTTCATCTCGTCCTCTGAAGACTTCGGGCACTGTTCTCCCTCCCCTTTCTGTCCCCCCTCCCCTTTCTGTCCCCTTCACCTCCCTTTCCACACTCACCCCCGGGCAACTGCTGCCCCTCCTGCATTTAGAACAAGGGGCCCATCTAGACCCCCCACGGAAGGAGAATGCCTCGAAGTTGCCATGGTAACGTACATTTTTGCCCGGGTGAATCACTTTGTCACAGCTCGAACTGTGTGTCCCCAACAGATACGATGACGGCTAAGTCCCGGGGCCTGTGACTGCAGCCTTATTTGGATACAGGGTCTTTGCAGAGATGGAATCGAGTTCAGATGCCGTCACAGCACAGGACCTCGTCCCATACAGCCAGTGAACTCCTAGGAGGAGACACCGGAGCCACGCATCCACATGGCAAGAAACACCAGGGTTAATAGGCCAGCGGGGGCCGCGGCGTGAGGAAGGAATTGTCCTGCGAGTTTCACATGGGTCATGGCCCTGTGACGCCTTGGCTTTGGACTTCTCTCCCCCAAAACCGAGGCCATAGATTTCCAGTTATTTCCTGCCAAAGTCGGGGGCAGAGCCCAGGGCCTCGTGCATTCTGGGGACTCAAACTCGCCACCTCTAAGCCGCTGCTTTGTGTCCTCTACTGCAGCCGTCCTGGGGAGCCACACTGCCTCTGCCTCCCGCAGCCCTTAACCAAGCAGCCAGTTACAGCCTGCAGTCTCTCTCGTCTTCAGAATATTTTGCCTTCCGCTTTGCCCTCGTTCAGGGTGTCTCTGGCTTTCAAATATTAAACTTTTTTTTTTTTTTGTAATTTGAAGATCAACATTAGGTTTGCAAGCTTTAAGTTTTCCTCTAGTCTTTTACTGTAAGGGCATTAGGGAAAAAAATCTATTATCTAAGCACTAATGTCTCAGAATAAAGTATAGTTCTTTAAATACCTTGGGTTTTATGAAAAATTGAAAACAGTTTTGTTTCAGAGCCATACAAACTTAATAACAGAAACACTTAAGAGTCCATGTTTATGGATGTGACAAATAAAAATATTAATACATAAATATTCGTGGCCTCTTTTCTTTGTTCCCATACATCTTCCTTCTTCCCAAATTCTTTTTGGGCATATTATGAATGGGCCAGTAAGGACCAGTAAGGGGAGAATTTAGGAAGTGTGTGTGTATGGTGGGGGTATAGCTCATTTCCAGGGAGGGAAGGAGAGAATGAAAATGAGAATATGAGAATTTAAGAAGTAGAAGCTGAAAAACTAGTAAAAAAAAATTTTTTTTGAGATAAAGTATCACTGTGTAGCCCAGGCTGGCCTTGATCTCTCAGCAATCCTCTTGCCTCAGCTTCCTGAGTGGTGAGATTACAGGCGTGCACCAGCATGCTCAGCTAGAATTTCTTTTTTTTTTTTTTTTGTATCAGGGATTGAACTCGGGTCCTCGTGCTTTTGAGGTAGGCGGCAGCACCACTGAGCTAGAAACCCCGCTCCTTTGAATTTCTTTTTGAAAAGGTAAAGAATTGGGGCCTGGGATTTAGCTCAGTGGTACTGAGCCTGCCTCAAAAGCACAAGGTCCTGAGTTCAATCCCCAGTACCTGGGGTGGGGGTGGGGGTGGGAAGGTGAAGAATTATCTCTCAAGGGCCGGGGATGTAGCTCAGTGGTTCCGGCACCTGCCTCTCAACTGCAAGGTCCCGAATTCGATTGATCCCCCGTACAAAAAAAAAAAAAAAAAAGAATTATCTCTCAAAAGAAATCTTAGGTTAATGAGAAGGTCAAGAGCATTCTTAGGCTGAGGGAGTACAAGGGAGGCAGATGGGAGAAATTAAAAATGTAACAGATGGGGAAAAGGAATGCTAGGAAACTGGCTGTGCCTTGGTTTTGTTTTCTGTGGGGATGGGACCCAGGGGCCCGTGCACGCCGAGGAAGTGCTCTACCACTGAGCTGCACCATCATCTGTGAACACTGTGTGTATGGCCTCCAGCACCTTCTTCAGAATTTGAGGTAAAATTTAAATTGTTTCAGGTGGGTCCTTGTCTCCTCAACAGACTTTTCATTGTTTAAAATACATTTGATTGTGTATATTCAAGGCATGTTTATGGCTTATATCTAGATGCCCCCCAAAGCCTCATGTGCTCATAGGTGGGGCTTTGGGGAGGTGACTGGACCACGAGCGTGTGATACTGGATTAGTTCACTGATGGGTTTATAGCTGGGTGTGATGCTGGCAGGTGAAGCCTGGTGGGAGGAGGTGGTCACTGGGGGCGTGGCCTGGAGGTTCTATCTCCCTCCTCTTCCCTTGATCCCTCTCTGCTTCCTGTCACCATGACTTGAGGTGTTTCTCCTCCACCAGGCCCCGATGCCAGGCCGCCCCGTTTGGAGCCACCCAACTATGGTCAGAAACCTTAACAGACTGTGAGCTATGATAAGCCTTTCCTCCTTTAACTTGTGGGTGTTGGGCATTTTGTCCTGGCAATGAGAAAGTAATCAAGACAGTGCGCAACATGACATTATGGGATGTATTTGATAGTTATGGTAGTGAAACCAACATACCCATCATCTCACACCATTACCCATTTGTGTTTGTTTTTGTGGCAAGAATCACTTATTTTTTATTTTTTAATAACTTTGCAGCTACAGGATATTTTAGAATAAACAGCACCACACCTGCCTCGCAAGCGCAAGGTCCCGAGTTTGGTCCCCAGTACCCAAAAAAAAAAAAAAAAAAAAAGAATAAACAGCACAAACTAGAATATACATGTTGAAAGTTGAAACTAAACAGAACCTAGATAATATCTTGGGCTTTATGTTGATTAGATTGCATATTATTGTGATATTATTGCATATTAGATTGAATATTATTGTGATCCTTAATTCCATTTAGGAAGGTCTAAAAGGAATTTAACAGTGATTTTTTGGGGGGTATTTTTGAGACAGGGTCTCCCTATGTAATTCAGGCTGGTCTCTATCACTGTGTGGTCCAGGCTGGCCTCAAACTCATGGCAATCCTCCTGCCTCAGCCTCCCAAGTGCTCTGATTACAGGCACATGGCACCACACCAGCCAGAGAGAATTTCTTTGCTATCCTGTGTCTCACTGCCCATTGAACGGCAGATGACAGCAACCGACTGGGTGGACTGTTGCAAAGAGCATGAGTTAACACAATGGAGTCACTTAGGGCAGCCTGGCTGTGGGTGCTGGTCAGGGGCAAAACCCACACATCGCAACTCACCTGCTTCCACCAAACAAACCCAGAGCACCTTTTCTGGCTCATTGTTCCTAAACTTCTCCGCACAACCCACAGACCAGGCCTTCATCTGCTGGGCAGCCTTCCCAGCAACCTTCCCTCCCACGTTTTGGGGTCTCCTCCTCCTCAAAGCCAGACCCTGCCTCCCTGCACCCGAGCACTTCTGATCTCTACCAGAGTGTGGGGGACCTACGTGATTTTACCCTGGTTTCTTTCTTCTTCTTCTTTTTTTTTTTTTTGTACGGGGGATGGAACTTGGGTCCTTGCCCCTATGAGGCAGGCGTCGGAACCACTGAGCTAAATCCCCGGCCCTTACCCTGGTTTCTTTAGAGGCCACACAGCAGCTGAGGGATGCGCCTGTGGCCTAACCCTAACTTTCTACCTCATAAGCTCTGCACAGCCGTCACTCCACGGTCAAACTGCTTGTCACGCCCTAAAGAACACTCTCTTCCCCATCCCAATACACAGCTGAGGTCCCTCCTGACTACAGACATATATATTGTATTCTGATGCCCCGACCGCTAACATTCATCTTTGCACAGGTGCTAGTTAATTTCACCGGGAAGGACTGTTTGTAGCAATGCCAAGGGCACTGGACCCCAACTGTGGAACTAAAACATAGTGTCAGTCATCAAACAACACCCGACAGGCGGCAGCTGAGCCCCCTGGCCTGATGACAGCGCTCCTGACCCCTCCTCACTGACAGTCAAATATAAAAATCTCAGCCTTTGCCCCGTGGGTGGGTCCTCCCTTGGACTGGTAAACGACCCAGACGTTCCCGTACTCCTCGGTTCCTGGTACCTGCGGCACGGGCCGGCACAAGCCAGGGCCCGATGCGCGCGCGAAGTCTGAGGCTGACCTCGGTAAGCTGCTCCGTGAAGGTGGAGGACGGGACCGCTCTGTACTTTCTCCCTGCAGCTCCCGGTGAGAGTCTCTGCTAGGGCGCGCGCCAGGTCCACAGCCGTGTCCACGCGCCTCGAGCACCCCGCCGGCCACGTCCTCCGGGCAGCGGGAGTGGGCGGGGCCTCCCGGGACCGCCGTTACGTGACGCCCCTCCCGCGGCCGGAGCGCGCGGGGCATTGTGGGCAGAGGGGCGGGGGTTGGGAAGATGGCGGCTCCCAGCCTCCTCCACTGGAGGCGGGTTTCCTCCTCCACTGGGCCGGTGCCCCGCGCCCGGCACGGACACCGCGCCGTGGCCATCCGGGAGCTGATGATCATCTTCGGGGGCGGCAACGAGGGGATCGCCGACGAGCTGCACGTCTACAACACCGGTAGGCGCGGCGGCATCGGCGGCGGGCGGGCCCCGCCTGCGGGAGGGGGAGGGGCGGCGGGCGGCCGGGCCTGACAGCTGTCACCGCCGGGCCACCGCTCCCTCGGCCGCGCCCGGGACGCACCCGGCCCCGTCGCTCCCTGCCTTGGGTCTGGAGGGCCAGTCGCACCCGTCAGGTCCTGCCCCGCGTCCCTCCTGCCTCGGCCTCCGCCCCGCGTCCCTTCAGCCTCGGCCTCCGCTTCGGGTCCCTCCCGCTGCCGAAGCTCGGGTCCCTCCCGCTGCCGAAGCTCGAATCCCTCCGCTGTCAAAAAACAAAACCCGCTGCCAGCCGTGTCTTCCCGGGCCTTTGCTGGCTTTGCCTTCCCCCTCTCCTCTTTAGGAGGAGGAGGATCTGGAGGGGCGAGGCGGGAAAGCCGCGGCCTTCTGGTCTTTCGGCCTCAGCACTGCAGGGAATGTTCCCAGCGGTCGAGACCCGGGTCCGCATCGTCTCTTCTGGCCCGGACTTGGAAGGCAGTGGCAGTGTGCACGGTCGGTGCCTGCGCCCCCGGGCACTGGTCCTCCCGTACTTGGGAGCGCCCTGCCCATCCTAAGGGCCGCTGGCCAGGGAGGCCCTGCCTTTCGAGCCTGGAATTTCCTTTTCCCCACTTGGCAATCCTGCAGCTGTCGGGAAAAATCTTCTTGGGTGTAAGGCTCATTACTGAATTCAGAGTTTATCTCATGATCAACAACTTTTCTTTGACCAAACAACTTAATCACCGCGGTGGATTAACGGTAAACGATATACAGTGAAGTAGAGAAATGTTTGGTTTTTGTCTCCTTTCCTCCTCCTGACTCCCCAGCACATAAGGCTTAGAAGTTATTTTATTTAGCGTGGTGTAAAAGACCCGGCTTTAGAACAAATGAGACCTAGTTTGAATCTTGATCAGCCAGTTGCCTGGACTGGACTGAAGTTATCACTCTTTTAAACCTCAGATTTTTTTGTTTGTAAAATGGAGTTACTTACCCGGTAAGGGTAGATAGGGGCTTTTCACCAGCATCACTACTGACATTTTAGCCCCAGTGATTCTTTGCTGTGAGACGTTTCCCTGGCAGCATCCCTGGCCTCTGTCTACTCCTGGCTGGTAGCATCTCCACCTTAGATGTGACAACTCCTGATGTTTCCATACATGGCCCAGTTAGTACCCTCTGAGGGACGGAAGCATCCCTGTTGAGAATCACAGATACGGATGATACATACGGTGTACATACTCATCGAATGTGTTAACCATGGTTGTGACTGACTTTAATTTTATTTTGGCATCCAGTTACAAATCAGTGGTTCCTACCAGCCGTTAGAGGAGACATCCCTCCAGGCTGTGCTGCCCATGGATTTGTCTGCGATGGTACCAGAATATTGGTATTTGGGGGAATGGTTGAATATGGAAGATACAGCAATGAATTATATGAGTTGCAGGTAAGTGTACTGAAAGTGTGTTATTTCAGTCTGAAGCTTTAATAATAGTAAGGCTAGACCAGTATAAGTGGAGCGTGGCTGGGTTTGAAGCCAGCATGGACGCGGCAGTGGCCTCGCTTCTGCGGGACATGGAGAAGTGGCCGGCCAGTGCCTGGCACTGCTGAGCTCGCGCCGCCCGGGTCCCCCGTAGGGCTATGGTGGCCTGGCGTATGGCGGGCGGCCCATGAGGGGCCCTATGTGGGGCGGCGTGAACAAGGGGGCGCGGCCGGGCCGAGGCGCGCTCTCGGGGCCCTGCTGCCCGCTTCCTCCCGCCTGGCGGAGCGCGAGGTCGCTCAGGATGCTCGGCCTGCGCCTTCTGGGGGGTCGGGCGCAGGAAAGGCGCGCCCCCCACCCCGGTCCCGCGGCAGGAGGTGGCTCTGCGGCGGAGGCCCTGGGCGGCCCGAGTGGCCCCGCGAGCGCTGCCAGCCCGGTGCGTATCGAGGGGCGCCGTGCCCCGCGCCGTTGAATTAGGGGAAGGTCACTCGTGTCGTGCCAGCTGCGGTGTCCCAAGACCCCACTCTCGCCCCTCTCTCTGCACCCGTTACTGGCAGGGCCTCTGCACATCCCATCGTATGAAAATCCGTGGACAATTACAGCTATACTGTCATTGGCAAGGATCAGCTTGGCTCCAGTTTTGGGCTATTTGATTATTGAAGAAGATTTTAATGTTGCACTGGGAGTTTTTGCTTTAGCTGGACTTACTGATTTGTTGGATGGATTTATTACTCGAAACTGGACCAATCAAAAATCAGCTTTGGGAAGTGCTCTTGGTCCTCTTGCCGATAAAATACTTACCAGTGTATTATACGTTAGCTTGACCTATGCAGAACTTATTCCAGTTCCACTTACTTAGATGATAATTTCAAGAGACATAATGTTGATTGCTGCTATTTTTTATGTCAGATACCAAGCTCTTCCAACACCACAAACCTAGCTGAGTATTTCAATCCTTGCTATGCTACTGCTGGGTTAAAACCAACGTTCACCAGTCAGTAAGGTGAACACAGCTGTCCAGTCAATGTTGGTGGCAGCTTCTTTGGCAGCTCCAGTTTTCAATTATGCTGACAGCATTTATCTTCACATACTGTGGTGTTTTACAGCTTTCACCACAGCTGCATCAGCTTATAGTTATTACCATTCTGGTCAGAAAACTGCTCAAGTGATAAAAGACAGATGAAAGTCAGCCATTACCATTAGCAAGGAGGCGATAGACATTGGTGGTGGCAGTGCCAGCGTACATCTACAGGTGTTTCCCTGTCTTCTTGTTCAGCTTGAAAAGGGACTTGCCAGAACAAACCGTGTCATCAGAATTGAAGTAGTGTGCATTGAAGAGCAAGATCATGAGCATATGCAGAATTTCCGATGTATTTTTTAAATACAAGTAAAACTATAATTTAGAATTTTTAATCTTAGGTTTCTTGATTAATTTATAAAAAATTAATTATTTCAATTATTATCAGTCTTTCTTATATGTTTTTTTAAAACATAGCTCAGCATGGAAACTGAAGAGTTGACACCTCTAAGTAGACTTTAGATTGCTCACAAAATAGTAATGAATTTGCTGGGATTAAATATGCATCCTACACATATCCTGCACAGCTTGGCTGTAGATGTTTATGTTTGGTTTTTGAACCTGTATACACAGCAGCAGTTTGTGTGGTTACTATTTGATCATTTATAATAATGAGAATAAAGTTAGCTTAGCTGTGGATAAAGTAAAATGATAAAGAGATTTAAAATAAGTTTGAAAATGAGTAAGAGGGCTGGGAATTTAGCTCAGTGGCATGCGCCTGCCTTGAAAGCACAAGGTCCTGAGTTCAGTCCCTGGAACTGAAAAAAAAAAAAAAAAACATAGAAAATGAGTAAGATGACTCAAAATAGAAGGTATTGAAATTCGTGTTCAGAAGTCTTCCAACCTGTCAGGTGCCTAATAGTTCACATGACAAGGAACAAAGTAGTTGAAGTAAAAGAACATGTCCATTAGCCTTTCCTCTAAAAGGCTGTGAGTTACTTATTTCCACAGTCACTGCATTTCAGACACAGCAATGTTTCTGTGATACTGGAAACTGTACACATGTTATGTAAATAATATGAAACTATATTTTTCAAAAGTTTTTTAAGCTTTGGAGAATCTTTTGTTAAGATGTTAAAGAAATAAAACTACTGGGAAATAATAGGCTCACAATTCTTCAAAAAGTTACAAAATATTTCATTAACATACTTAAAATAACATGAGCTTCACATTGATTTTGTTTATTTTTGAGTGGTACTGAGGATCAAAGCGTCGTCAGCCCTTTTTGGGTTTTTGTCTTGAGACAGGGTTTTGCTGAGTTGCCAAGTGGGACCTGAACCTGTGATTCTCCAGTCTCCACAGCACCCCCTCCCCACCTCCACCCAGCCTCGCATTTCATAGCCTCAAAGATGTTTACACTTCACTTAAAAGCCCCAAGTTTTTCATGTCATTTTTCATGCAAAGGGTAATTTTTTTTAATATCAAGATATCAGCCACTTTTTTATGTGTGCCAGGGATCAAACCCAGGACCTTGCACTTGCAAGGCAGGCAGGGTGCCACTGAGCTGCATCCCCGGCCCAAGATATCTGCTGTTTAACATTACTTTCATGTGTTACATGTTTGGGTTTTTGTATCTTTGGGCAATAGTTCTTCAGCTTTAGCCTGTGACTGAAACACTTGGAGGATTTGTGAAAACAGATTGCCCAGCCCAGCCCCGACAGCTTCTGAGTCAGTTTTGTCAGTTAGTTGTAAGGCCTAAGAATTTGCATTTCTACGAAGTCCTTTGCTGATGTTGCTGGTTTTCGGACTGTGCTTTGGAAACCACTGGTGTAGTGTTTGTCAGAATTGCCACCTTTAACATTAATCATTACTTTTTTTTCTCCCAGTAATACAGGAGAAAGAGGGGTTATGGCTTCGTTTAACCTTTCTAAATCTCTTACTCACCCAGACTCGTAGCCCTCGTTTTCTGTTGTTCTCCACCTGTCCATGTGTCCCCAGGGTCAGGTCACGAGGGTACCTGCTAATTGGCAGATGTGGGTGGGCTACACCTATTCACAAGCAGCTCATTTCAAAACCATTTCAGGTAAAAAAGACACTCACAGCCAGAGAACAAATTTTAGGGTTTGGTTTGTTAAATGAGCTTTATGTTTACTTAAAGCTTAAAATATCTGACATGTATAAATCACCTAAGATCAGAAAGTAAGAATGCTTAAGTTACATTTAATCTTAAAGTTATATACAGTATACTAAATATTTAATTATTCATTTGGCAACGTTAAAACTGTTAGTGTTTATTATAAGTTCACTGTGCCATTGTGGAAATCTGAATTTCTACTAGAACATACATTTTAATTCCAAAAGTTAGTGGCTTACTTGTCACTTGCTCTAGGAGTAGCTGATGGCCTTCACATTAACATGAATTTGCGTGATGTTGCACGGTTGGCAGTGTCTGCCTTCTGACCTTGTCTGAGTGCATTTGTGCTCTCTTCAGGCGAGTCGGTGGTTATGGAAGAAGGTGAAGCCCCACCCCCCGCCTTCTGGTTTAGCTCCCTGCCCTCGACTGGGACATAGTTTCTCTTTGTATGGCAACAAATGCTATTTGTTCGGTGGTCTGGCAAATGAAAGTGAAGATTCAAACAATAACGTTCCAAGGTATGCTCTTTTTCAGACCGAGTGCTCATTTTGTGATTTAGGTTAGGAACATTTGATTTCTTCCATCTTTAAAATGTTTTCAATCCTGGGGATTAAACCCAGGGCTCTTCTCACTGATCTACATCCTCAATCCCTTTTTATTTTTTATGTTTCATTTTGAGGCACGGTCTCGCTAAGTTGCCCAGGCTTTTCTCAAACTTGGGATCCTTCTGTCTCAGCTACCCCAGACATTTAATTATAAGGGACAAAGCTTAACTTTTTGCATTAAACCTAATGATGAACACATTTTTTTTCTTGTATTTATATTTTCTTTTGTCCTTGGAGTATGTTTTCAAATCTGTCTTCTTTTTGGGGGGGGGTACCAGGGATCAAACTCGGGACCTTGCACTTTCAAGGCAGGCACTGGAACCACTGAACTAAATCCCCGGCCCTCAAATCTGTCTTCTTTAATGAAAAATCATCATCTTAAATTGATATTAGTATAACTGCATATATCAACATGTTTGTATATCCTGAGCTGTGATGTTTGTTAGCTAGGTCATAAATGATAATGAAAAATAACAGATAGTTATTTTAAAATAAATTTCCTGGCCGGGGATGTAACTCAGAGGTAGAGCACTTGCCTAGCAATATCCAAGGCCCTAAGATCAAGCCCCAGTCCCCAACTACGCCGCCCAATTAGGTTTCTCTGGGAATTTGGTGACAAAAATAGGACTATAAAATTAAAGCCTTCATTCCCATAGTTCATATAAGAAGTGGTTAATGTGCTTTACACAAACACATACTTTCTGATTTATTCCAAACAATCACTATTTCTTCTCTTGTACAGTTTTCAGTGTATGAGTCTTGCTGTTTTTTGTGACATTCTTAAATTTTGTATTCTTTTTTATCACTTTTTTTTTTTTTTTGGTACCAGGGATCGAACTCAGGTCCTTGAGCTTGCAAGCCAGGCGGTGGAACCACTGAGCTAAATCCCCGGCCCCAATCACTTTTTTTTTTTTTTTGGTACCAGGGATCAAACTCAGGTCCTTGTGCTTTCGAGGCAAGTGACAAAACCACTGAGCTAAATCCCTGGCCCTGTATTCTTTTTGTTTTTTGGTTTTTGTTTTTGGTACCGGGGATCGAACTTGGGTCCTTGCGCTTGCGCAGCAGGGGGCAAAACCACTGAGCTAAATCCCCGGCCCCCCTGTATACTTTTTTATGACGTTGTGAATGGATTTTTTTTTTCTTAATTTCATTTTTGAATTTTCCACTGCTAGTATATGGAAATGCAGTTGGCTTTGTATGTTGGCCTTGTCCCCTGTGACTTTACTGAATTAATTTCTTTCTAATCATTTTCATGGAGTTCTTTATATAAAAAAGAAAAAATATATTTTCTTATGTATGTTCAAATATTTTACCAGGTCTTTTCTTTGCCTTTTTAATTTTTAAAGGGTTTTCATTTTTATTTTCTCATATTTGACAATATTTTCTTTTATGTGTGCGTTCGTTTCTTTCATTCTGTCCTAGATATTTAAATGATTTCTATGAGTTGGAGCTACAGCATGGTTCTGGTGTTGTGGGTTGGAGCATCCCAGTCACTAAGGGGCTTGTGCCTTCTCCAAGAGAATCCCACACTGCTGTTATATACTGCAGAAAAGACTCCAGAAGCCCTAGGATGTACGTTTTTGGCGGAATGTGCGGTGCTCGCCTGGATGACCTATGGCAGCTTGACCTCGGTAAGCCTAACTTGCTTTGGGCTCAGCGCTTTGTTAGGATTCATAAGGGCAAATTTTAAAATTGCTTGGGAAATGCTCCTGATTGCAGTATCTGTTGAGTTACACTACGTTTCTGGCCGCACTTCTTGTCTCCCGGACAGCGAGGTGTGGTCAGCTGAACAGATGCACGTGCTGCCTGTTACCACTGACACATAAGCAGTGTCGTTGCTGGTCTGGGTTGGCTGGGCTGGCCCTTCGCCTTGCTCATTGTGCTAAGTAATGATCAGAAGTGTCCAGTGTGGACGTCCTGTCTGTGGGACATGTGGCATTGGCCATGTGACTGCTCATCAGGAAAACCCTTAGGTAGCTCTTCCTGAAGGGATTGCAAGAATGAATGCTTGGAGGGAAGGTGTGCCTTACACCTTGACTATCTTCTCTACAATGTGCTCTTACTTAAAATGTTAAGAGGACTGATATTGTTCTTTGTTCAAAATCGGGGCACTATAAGCTCCCCTCCCTTACAGATGCTAACATTCTAGTGTGAATGGAGCTCTGCCTGGCAGTGAATGTCAGGCGGCAATATTTCAGATAAAGTTCAGATAACTTTTGAAACATTTTTGCTTCATGTTTATAAGTGCTTATATTTTTTAAAGTATGCAAGTTGAGGTAATTTCCTATTATTCAATGGAGATGCTAATATACTTATTTTTACTTTTAGAAACTATGTCATGGTCAAAACCAGAAACTAAGGGGATAGTGCCACTTCCACGAAGTCTTCACACAGCCAGTGTTATAGGAAACAAGTACGGCATGTTTTTGTTTTCTGCTTTTGCTTTTTAAAAAAAAACACCTTAAGAAAGAGGCACACAAAAGTGATGCTGCTAGTTTCTTTGAAGTATATTATTGAACTTAACATGTGATTTTGCTTACTGAAGCTAAAATAATGTCAGTGGAAGCTGAAAGACCTGGGTGCCATTTTCTCGTCATGGTCTTCCCTACTGTGGAGCTCCCGCTCAGGCCCTGCCCAGAATAGGCATTGCCTGGTGCCAGGCAGGCGTGGTCGCCAAGCTGCTCTGCCTCTCAGCAGGCTCGGCGCACCCCACCCACCCTGCAGTCTCTGTTCCTCTGTCTGGGGACACTGTGGGTGGGCTCGAACACATTCTCAGTGATTCTGCTCTGGATGTCAGGTTGCAGTTAGGGTTACAGTGCAGGCTCCGTAGCCAGATCCCTTATCCAAGTCAGCTTTGGTACTTGTCTTGCATAACCTGGAGCAGAGAAATTTAATCCACCCATGTGTACCTCAGTTCCCTTAGGTACGTGATGGGGATTAAAGCAAAGCCTGTCTCACTAGGGTGTGATTGGATTAATCGGATTAGTACATGAAAAGTGCTCAGAACCATGCTTGGTGCTTTCAGAGCAGTCTTAAAGGGTTAGCTCCTGCTACATCAGCACGTTTCCTTATTTGTGCAACACTGGGCCATAATTAGAGATACCATTTAAGTAGAACTTAATGAAGTATTTATTAGTGCAGGGATTTTACTATTTTATTTATTTATTTATTTATTGTCGGGGAGGGATTTTACTATTTTAAACATAATGTTTCAGGCCGAGTGTGGTGGTGCAGGCCTGTAATCCCAGCACCCAGGAGGACCACCATGTGTTCGAGGCCAGCCTGGGCTACACAGCGAGACCGTGTCTCAGAAAGCAAAACAAGGGCTGGGGGTTTAGCTCAGTGGTTCCACCGCCTGCCTCACAAGCGCAAGGTCCTTTCGATCCCCGGTACCAAAAAAAACCCAAACAGAAAAACAAGTAATGTTTCAGAAAACTGCAAGTTATAATTTAGAACCTCACTAATGCTTTTTAAAAAATAGTTCAGAAACCAATCAGAATAATCTTTACATTTAAATCCTACAGAACACATTTTTTAAACAGTAGAGTCCTTTGTGACATGTAGCTTCTGCACTGGGGCCCTAGGAAGCACCCTCTCAGGTGGGAGCGAGGTCTGCTGGCCTGGGCATGGCCTCTGAGCCTGTCTTCTTCAGCCGTCATTGGAACATCTGGGACTCTGAGGGACACAGACTTTTTACTTTGCTTCATATTTGAGCGAGGCTTCCTGTGTTGCCCAGGGCAACCTCCAACTCCTGGGCTCAGGTGATCCTTTGGCCTTGGCCTGTGGAGTAGCTAGGGATACAGGTATGCGCCATTGTACCTGGCTGTGTTTTATTTAAAGAATACTGCGGCCGGGGATTTAGCTCAGTGGCTCTGCTGCCTGCTGCGCAAGTGCAAGGATCCAAGTTCGATCCCCGGTACAAAAAAAAGAGAACAGGGCTGAGGATTTAGCTCAGTGGTTTCGCCACAGGTTTCGCCGCCTGCCTCAAAAAATATCTATATGTGTACAGTGACTTTGACTTTGGGTGTTGTAGATCACCGAGTATCTTTCAGGCTGAGGTACCCTTACTGTATTACACACAGTGTTGATTTTCAAATGTATTACTGTTGAAATAGTCTCCATTTTAAGACTCTTACTAGAGAGAAATAATTTTGAGTCAGTATTGCTTCAGAAAATTGTGAAGTCTTTTTTTTTGAGATGGGATCTCCCTGCATCATCCACAGAGTTCATGGCCATGAACTCCCGGGCTCAGCTGATCCCCCTGCCTTAGCCTTACAGTTAGAACTATAGACACCACCACCACCCAGCTTAAAATTGTAAACTCTAGAAAGAACATCGCTTTATTCATTTTCTTTTCTTTTCTGTTTTTTGGGGTTTTTTTTCCGGTACCAGGGATTGAACTCAGGACCCTGCAGGTGCCAGGCAGGTGTGGCACCACTGAGATAAATCCCCAGGTCTTTATTCATTTTCTTATTCTGGTTACCTTGACCCTGATAAATGAGTGAATAATTCTGACGCTTTCCATCAGCAAATAAGTTTAAGTTCATTTTTAGTATTTCAAATCCAAAAAATAAAATTAACTCAGCTACTTTGCTCTGATGTTGTTCAGGATGTACGTTTTTGGTGGATGGGTTCCACACAAAGGTGAAAATACTGAGACTTCGCCTCATGATTGTGAATGGAGGTGTACCAGTTCATTTTCTTACCTAAATCTAGGTGAGTCTTCTAAGTCTTTTAATGTTATCAAAATAACATTCACCAATAAAAAAATTTTTGTTATGTTGTGAAGAACAATACATCAGCCATGCATATTTCTGTCTTTTTAGATACAGCAGAATGGACCACTCTAGTATCAGATTCTCAGGAAGATAAAAAAAATTCAAGACCAAGACCTAGAGCTGGACACTGCGCTGTTGCGATTGGTACTCGGTTGTATTTTTGGAGCGGAAGAGATGGCTACAAAAAAGCGCTGAATAGTCAAGTTTGCTGCAAGGATCTCTGGTATCTTGATACTGGTAGGTAAGAGTATCTAACAAATAAAATTTTCTGTTAGGTAAATACTCAAATAATGTATCTTTTAAGACTTCATATAAATACTACTGTCTGTTATTCCTGTAACGAAAATGAATGGAAGAAATAATACACATAGCTACTCCTGTCCAGGGAGTACATTAATTCCCCTCTCCTCGAGTGTGGGCTGCATTTAGAGACTCCTGTCCAGAGGAGGTATGCAAAGGGAGAGCAGTCACCTTGCAGTGGAGAGGCCTGGCGAGTCCTGCCTTTGTCAGGCAGGCGCACATGGCTAGTGAGCATGTGTGGTGTCCCTCGCCTCCTGGCAGTTGTGTCATCGAAAAGCTCTTCGCCTCTGTGGTTCTCTTCCAAAGACCTGTGTCCCAATCTCACCACGAGGAAACGCCAGCCAGACCCAAAGTGAGCAAGGGGCGCCCTAGACACTGTGGATATGCGGAGTCTGCGTCAGAAGCTCCGAAGTGGTGAAAATGAGGAGTACCATGGTGAAGGAGACAAGGTGACTCGGGGCAGCATGATGTCTGGGATCACCTCCTGGAAGCAAGAGACATTAGTTGACAAGCTGAGAAGATGTGACAGCAGGGGGATAATTTTTTTTTTTTAAGCACTTTTTTTTGGTACTGGGGATCGAACTTGGGTCCTTAAGCTTGCGCAGCAGGCAGCGAAACCACTGAGCTAAATCCCTGGCTCCCCTTTTTTTTTTTCTTTTTTTTTGAGATAGTCTCACTCTGTATCTTAGGATGGCTTTGAACTCACTCTAGCTCAGGCTGGCCTCAAACTTGCACTAATCCTCCTGCCTTAGGCTCCCGAGTGCTGGGATCAGGGGCGTGTGCCGTCATGTCTGGCAGAAATATATCTTTTTTTTTTTTTTTTGATACCAGGGATCAAACTCAGGACCTTGTGCTTGTGAGCCAGGTGCAGTGTCACTGATCTAAATTTCTGGCCCAGGAATGTATCTTTTAAAGTAGATTTTCTTAGGGATCTGTGACTTTCAAAGGTAAAAACCATTGGGTCTGAATGGCTGTCTTTTCCATGAAACTTAAGAAAAAGCTTTAAAGATACCAGTACCACCTAAAAGTAATCAGCTCTAGTATCAAAGGGGCAAAATTTAGATTTTCCTTTTCCTTTTGATGAGTTTGGCATCATTTTTCTGGGTGGGGGAGATCATCATCTTGGCCTTTTTGACTTTTAGCTAAACTGTGCATTTGGTAATGTTTAAGTAAGTAATAGGCGTCCGAAAGGCTTTTCAGGAAACACAGCAGCCCTCTGTGTGGCCTCCTCACTTTCCTTGCTTTGTGTATCCTCTCCACCTGGTTAAACCATTAAACCAGTCTTCGGTATTAACTCCGCATCTCTATTAGCCTATCTTCTGCATTGTTATTTCGACTTTTTTCAGTTTAGGTGTAATATGCCCACTTCCTGCTGTGGAGATCAGGGCTCCTGGCTTCTCTGTGTCCCGCTCTTCCCTTCTCGTCCTCTGCGTGCGACCACACCCTGGCTTGGGGAGATGAATGCTCAGGTTACTCTGTGGCACAGGAACCGGACAGTTGAGACTTCTGTGCACTCTTCTTACTGGCCGCGGAGTGATTGGTTTTCCTTTGCTTTAGATGTGATTGTTCGCTTCACTTCCCTCCATGCCCCCTGGCCCTGGGTAAAGTGTCTCCTCTCCCACCGGTGAGTTGCCTCTGCAGTGCATCAGAGCCATCATCTTGGAGTGTGCTCCCGCCCTCCTCTGGCGGGCTGGGCCTCCACTGTTGGAGACCGGCTCATCCTGGGGGGCTCCATCTGCTTCTGGGGCATTTTTTTGACTCAGTTCTCTGCCGGAGTCCCTGTGATTTCTGGTCCCCCCTCTCCTTTATCAGTGCTGGGAACGGAACCCAGGGCCTCATGCTTACTGGGTGGTACCCTCACCTGCCAGGTTATTTTTGTTCTTATTGTTTGTTTTTGTTCTTGAGATGGGGTCTGACTGTGTTGCCCACACTGGCCTCAAACTCTTACGTTCAAATGATCACCGCTTGGGCTCACTTTGACAGCACATACACTAAAGTGATCACCCCTTCTCAGCTTCTCATGCAGCCAGCACTATAGGCCTGCACAGCCATGCCTAGCTGGTCCTTTTTCTTTTTGGTACCGGGGATTGAACTCAGGTCCTTAGCTTGCAAGGCAGGTGGTGGAACCACTGAGCTAAATCCCCGGCCCTAGCTGGTCCTTTTTAATGTGCCTTTTTTCCTCCTCTCCCTGGAAGATTTTGGGATTTTTCTGCGTCCCCACTGTTTTTTAATTTCGTGATGTTCTTGTGGGTCTGTTTTTAATCTGTGTGCCGAATCCTCTGTGGGCCCCATTCAGTCCAGACACGCATGTCCTTCAGTTCCAGGGGATTTTCTTTATTTCACTGAGTGTGCGGCCTTTTGTTTTTTCTCTTCTCTCTTCATGTGACTTGTGCTCTTGGTGCTGTGCTTTCTGGACTGGATGTCTGCTTTTGTTCAGGTATAGGTTGCCTTGCTTTGAGAACCTTCCTAAAACTGGGTCATTAGTAGGACTATGGAGGGAGTCACATGGGGACAGTTGAAGAAGCTAGGTTTAACTCTCCTCTAAAACAGCTGCCTCTTCACAGAACTAGAGAAAACAATCCAAAAATTCATTTGGAATCAGAAGAAGCCTAGAATAGCAAAAGCAATTCTAGACAACAGAGACATGGCTAGAGGTATCACAATCCCCAACTTGAAACTATACTACAAAGCTACTATGATAAAAACAGCATGACACTGGCAAAGAAACACCCAAGGATCAGTGGAATAGATTAGAAGATGCAGAAACAACTCCAGACATACTAAGCCACCCCATCTTTGACAAAGGAGCCAACCATTAGAGGAAAGATAGCCTATTTAATAAATGGTGTTGGAAAAACTGGATTTCAACCTGCCAAAGATTAAAACTAGACCCATACCTATCACTGTGCACTAGACTAAGATCAAAGTGGATTAAAGATCTAAATATTGAGACAGAAACACTAAACTTGCTGGAAGGTAGGTTAGGTAGAACTCTTGAAGACATTGGCATAGGAAAAGACTTTATGAACAAATCCTTAGTGGCACGGGAACTAGCACAAAGAATCAACAACTGGGATCTCATCTTATTAAATAGCCTCTGCACTGCAAGAGAAACCACCAGCAGAGCTAACAGACAACCAACAATGTGGGAAAAATTTTTTAGCAGCTCTACCTTAGACAAAGGACTACTATCTAGAATATATAAAGAACTGAAAAAAATCAGATCCCCCAATTCAAAGACCCAATTCAAAAATGGGCATCTGAAATGAACAGACATTTCTCAGACAAAGAAATAAAAGCAGCAAATAAAGATATGAAAAAATGTTCAACATCACTGGCCATTCAAGAGATGTAGATGAAAACAACACTGAGATTCCACCTCACCCCAGAAAGAATGGCTGCTATCAAGAAACCAACCAATAACAAATGCTGGTGGGGTGTGGGGAAAAAGGAGCCCTTCTCCATTGTTGGTGGGAGTGCAGACTGGTGCGACCACTGTGGAAATCCGTATGGAGATACCTCAGAGAACTAGGGCTAGAGGTCCCATTTGACCCAGCTATTCCCCTACTGGGTATCTTCCCCAAAGAATTAAAAGAATCATACCACAGTGATATATGTGCACCCATGTTCATAGCAGCACAGTTTGTAATAGCTAAAACTTGGAAACAGCCCAAATGCCCATCAACTGGAAACTGGATAAAGAAGATGTGTTTTTTTTATAAAATGGAGTACTACTCAGCCATAAAGAACGAGAAACTAGAGTCATTTATAGCTAAATGGATGCATATCGAGGCCATACTTTTAAGTGAAATAAATAGGACACATGTGTGTAAGTACCGAATAGTTTCTCTAGTGTGAGAAACTGAACGTGTAAATAAGGAGGAAAAGGATTAAAATGAATAATTGATAATTTGAAATAGGAAAAGTTCCAAAGGTGTAGTGGTGGTGGGAGGGGAAGGGGAAAGGGAAGAAGGGAAAGGAAAAATTATGAGAAAAGAAAAAAAAAATGGAAACGAAATCTATGTAAATAGGGAGGAGTGGAGGGGGTGAAGGGCTCACAGATAATGGGGAAAAAAGAAGAACCAAGATACATCATGTACAGGTACAAGCACCCAATGATAAATGTAAATGAATTGTATACCTAAAATGTACCAATAAAAGAATAAAAATAAATAAATAAATAAAACAGCTGCCAGTCCTTCCTGTAGTTGGTAAATACTTAGGGTTCTGTAGGCCATGTGGTCTCTACCATACCTACTCAGTTGTGTTGTAGCCTGAAAGTAGCCATGCACAGAACACATCAGAAGAGAGCAGGCTGCGTTTCAGGAGTTCTGTGTTCACAGCAGTCACAGGCTGCCGGCTGAGCCGAGCTCTGAGGGTGTATGTTTAAAAACGAGACCAGTGTAAACATTGTGACTATTTGTTTTGTTTTACAAAAGTTAGTGACATTTTATAACAAAGTCATGTGTTTGGGGTAGTACCAGTCTTGATAAGAGTATTTACTCTAGAGAAGTTGTATTTTTCTAAAATTTCATGTCCAGGTCATCTTTGCTAACATGTACGATATTTAAGCTGTTGGCTCAAAATGAATTCATAAAATTAAAAAGATTGAACTTCAAAAGAAGGTAAAATAATGTAGCTCTAATTATATAATACTCCCCCACCCCCGAGATTAAACCTTTTTTTCTGAATCCAGTGATTCAAGTAGTTTCTTACTGGATTTTATTTGTAGGTTTTAAGGAATTAAATAGAGTCAGAACCTCAGGCTGTTTTCATTTGATTTGCCATAGCTGCGTTTATGTGGGTAAACAGACAAAATACTCTTTGCTGATGTTTTTCAAAGCCCCAGCCTGCACAAGGTACCTAGGAAAACCATTGGTATCCTGGAAAGGTAAATGGACGGTGTCACTGTCGTTCTTTAGAGAAACCGCCAGCACCATCGCAAGTGCAGCTGATCAAAGCCACCACCAGCTCTTTCCATGTGAAGTGGGACGAAGTGCCTACGGTCGAGGGCTACCTGCTGCAGCTGAATACGGACTTGCCGTACCAGGCTGCCTGGGCAGATTCCTCAGCAGCACCAAACATGCCAGGTGAGACAGTGGTCCCACTGAAAGAAAACGTGTCTGTTCATACGCTTTTAAAAAGTATACTCTCTTGGGGCCGGGGATTTAGCTCAGTGGTTCCAGCATCTGCCTCGAAATCACAAGGTCCCAAGTTTGATCCCCGGTACCAAAAAAAAAAGAAAGTATACTCTGTCTGAGGTGTGGAGGCACACAGCTGTGATCCCAGCACTTGGGAGGCTGAGGCAGGAAGATCACTGTGAATTTGAGGCCCAGCAAGATCCATCTTAAAAAACCGAAAAGAGGGCCAGGGATTTAGCTCAGTAGTGCGCCACCTGCCTTGCAAGCGCAAGGTCCTGAGTTCAATCCCCAGTACCAAAAAAAAAAGAGAGAAAGAAAATTAGGGTATGATGGTCCACACCTGATAATTGGCTGTTGTACCACAGACTGCTGTAGACAGACTCGCAGAGATGTGGGATAGATTTGTTTTCTGCAATTCATTTTGATGGACTTTTAAATTTTATGTTATTTGCATTCAGGAGGTGTTTTAATTAGCTTCAAAAAGATTTCACCTTTCTTCAAAAATATTTCTAACTACTGCACAAGCACAAGGACCCGAGTTCGATCCCCGGTACCAAAAAAAAAAATATTTCTAACTAAAAGACATTTGGAAAGAAAGCAAATTTAATTTTATACATTGTTCAGAATGGGTTTCAGTTAAGTATTAAGCCGACTGTGGAGAAAACAGATAAACTCTGATAAAGATACTACCTTCTGAAGCTTCAGTGTGTGACTGTAAAAGTCTTGATCGTATTTCCCTGAAGGCGTTGGAGCTCACAGCAGTGTGAACTTTCTCACCCCACAGGAGGGAGGGCGGAGCCTCACAGACCGAGCGGCAACAGCGTCCTTCCCAACAGTGTGAGTGGAAACCCTGGCAGCTGGGAGTGCTGGCGGTGCATCCTCGTGTTTATTAGGATTTCTAGCACATTTCTCAGGAGCCGGGGTCCCCCGCCCTGGGTGCTCATCATAGTCACCTCTGAGATGCCCAGCAGCTGTGTTTTTAAAGAAAACTTCAAGGCTGGCCGTGTGGTCCCATGGTAGAGCAGCTGCCTATGGGCATGAGAACCTGGGTTGATCCTCCGAAATACAGAAAGAAAGAGCTTCACAGACCACACTGGTAGTGGCCTGAATCCAGAGCCCCTGGCCTCATTACACACATGTAGGGTCAGAGGCTGCTGGGTTAGAATTTATCACGTATCTATGTTATTTCTGAATGTCACACAAATTTAAATTTCTAAAGATGTACAGTAAGTCCCTGACTTAGGAATGAACAGGCTCCATTCCGGGAGAATTGTTCGCAAGTCCATTTGTTCCTAAGCCGGTAGTGAGTCTTCCACAGTACACCTGTGAAAGTTCGCAGCTGGAATGTTCGTGAGTACCTAAAGATATCCTCACTGTGCAGTGCGGTAATACCAGTTGCTAAATGGAACTTCTGAATGTGAGTTGCTCGCTTATTTAGGAAGTGCTTCCCGGTAAGTCTTCATGGAGCTGATGAGGGGCTCACGGGGCTTCATGAGTTTGTCTGGCAAACTGCTGTGTGGATCAGCAGACCCCACAAGAAGTGGTGCAGGTGGAGCCACGTGCTGCGCATGCCTGAGGACCAGTTAAAGGCAGAACAGGCTGCTGTAGGTTGGGAGGGGGTGATGGAAGTAGAATCCATGCAGTTTTTTGTGAGTAAGCATAATCCATCGATGGCAAACCTTTTAGAGATGAGTGCACAAACTGCAACCCAAAGCACACTTGCTCACTGCAGAGTGCCACACTACCCCATGTGCTGTTATCCAAGGCTTGGCTGCCGGGGCGATGCTGGGCACTCACGAACTCACTTTTTCATTTGCTTACGTTTCTCCCTATCTATCATTACTCCACACGCAAGTCCAAGCATAGAACGTTTGTTTTCTTTCCTCTCCAATCCCTGCCTTCTGGGGCCCTGTCATCAAGCTTGAGTCTGCTCCCGTCTTAGACCTTCACTCTGGTTGATATCAGGAATTTCTTGTATTCTTTTCTGCATTAGGGCCCATGTTTCTTGACTTTATTTCTCTCTCTTTCTTGCTGTTTTCCTTTGTTTTTTTCAGTACTTTCCAGTACTACGAAAGGTAAACATTTTGAGATCTTGTATATCTGAAAATGTCTTTATTCACATTTTGCTGATCATCTGGCCAGATTATAGAATTCTGTATTAAAAAACTTTCCCCCAGAAATTTGCAAGCATTTCTTTCATGTCCTTCACCATTCAGTGTTACTGTTCAGAAGTCTGCTGCCACTTGGATTCCTAATCTTTTATATATGACCTTTTTTTCCTTTTTTATCCCTAGTTTTCAGAAATTTTGACAATGATAGGCTTTAGGGTGTGACTCATTTGTTTTTACTATACACTCAGTAAACTCCATTTTTCTAGAAACTCATGGCTTTCTTACTGAATATTTCTTCCCTCTATTCCATCTCTTAATATTTTTTGTTTTCAGAAGTGAGGATTAAACCCAGTAGAGTGCTACATTTCTAGTCCTTTTATAATTTTAGGGCCGGGGATTTAGCTCAGTGGTTTCGCTGCCTGCTGCGCAAGTGCAAGGACCCAAGTTCGATCCCCGGCACCAAAAAAAAAAATTAATAATAATAATAATAATTTTATTTTGGGACAGAGTCTCATTAAATTGCCAAGGCTGGCCTTGAACTTGGAATCGTCCCAGCATAGCCTCGCATGCTACAATCGCAGTGGTTTTGCTGCCTGCTGCGCAAGTGCAAGGACCCAAGTTCGATCCCCGGCACCAAAAAAAAAAATTAATAATAATAATAATAATTTTATTTTGGGACAGAGTCTCATTAAATTGCCAAGGCTGGCCTTGAACTTGGAATCGTCCCAGCATAGCCTCGCATGCTACAATCGCAGGCCCACCATGCCCGGCCTCTTCCTGTTCTTAGCTTGCCTTTGAACTCGGGTCCTCCTGGACTGGACCCTAAGTTTATGTTCTAGTTCTTATTTTCTCTTTCTGTCCATTCTACTTTCTGAAAAAATTCTTCTTCATACAATATTTAAATATATTCAACCACATTCTTTTATAGCATGTTAGTCTTGCTTCATAAGTACCTTCCCTTATCTCTTCAAAACTGAAGCTTTTTCAGGGTCCAGGATTTAGCTCAGTGGTTCTGCCTCCTGCCTCGAAAGCACAAGGACCTGAGTTCCATCCCTGGTACCAAAAAGAAAAAAAAAAACGAAGCTTTTCAAAAATGTGTTTTAGGGCCAGGGATTTAGCTCAGTGGTTTCGCCGCCCGCTGTGCAAGTGCAAGGACCCAAGTTTGATCCCCGGTACCAAAAAAAAAAAATGTGTTTTATTTTGCTTCTGAGTACTTCCTTTTTCACACTCCTTTTTATTTTTAATTTTGCACTGTCATGGTAGAGGCTGCCATCCGATGCCTGGTGTGCTCTGCTGCCCTTTCATTCCGCTCCTGAGGCTCAGGCGCGTGGAAGCCCTGTGCTCGTGGGCATGGCTGTGGCTCAGCAGCACTCACTGGGGCCCAGTGGAGGGCCCCACAGACAGTCTGGGGCTTGGAACCTCGCGTGAGGGGTGCTGTACCACGGCCTAGAGCCTCGCACCCCAATTTTTCACCGCTTTCTCCCCTTCTGTTAGAGTAGGGAGAGGACCTGTCCGGCTCCCTGTCCTGGCGCAGCGGCTCCAGCCCTTCTTGCCTGGGCTGCTGGTGACAGATGCCCTCTGGAGCTGCCTGCACCCTGCAGTGGGACACATGGTGCATCCCAGCGACTGGCTGCCTGCAGGCGCTCAGTGGCGAGCACTTTGCTTTATATTTAGTGTTGTCTCTTCTGCTGTTATTCCTTACTAGTTTATACTTTATACTTTCCTTGTGATTATTTGAATTGGGTTTTTGGAGGAATTTCCTGAAATATATGTATTTACTCTATCGAATTTAACCAAAAATCTTAGGCTTTATTTCTTTCTTACATAATTTCTAGTTAAACTGATTTTTAAACAGAGAGCACACTAAGAGACCGTGGAGGTCATGGAGAGTGGTGGTGGCTGTCATCACCATCACCACCAGCGGAAGTCGGTTCCAGGGCACATGATGGACAGCCTTAGGCCCAGGAAACATTATGGGAGCTCACAAGAAAGGTGGGGAAAAGTAATGAGAAACAGGTAACCAGCTACCACATAAAAATGTAGATTTGTTCTGCACTGCAAGAGAAACCACCAACAGAGCTAAGATACAACGTACAATGTGGGAAGAAATTTTTAGCAGCTGTACCTCAAAGGTCTACTATCGAGAATATATAAAGAATTGAAAAAAATCAGACCCCCCAAATTCAAAGACCCAATTCAAAAATGGGCATCTGAAATGAACAGACATTTCTCAAACAAAGAAGTAAAAGCAGCAAATAAATACATGAAAAAATGTTCAGCATCACTGGCCATTCGAGAGATGTAGATGAAAACAACACTGAGATTCCACCTCACCCCAGAAAGAATGGCTGCTATCAAGAAATCAACCAATAAAAAATGCTGGCAGGGGTGTGGAGAGAAAGGAACGCTTCTCCATTGTTGGTGGGAGTGCAGACTGGTACAACCACTGTGAAAATCAGTATGGAGATACCTCAAAGAACCAGCACTAGAGGTCCCATTGGACCCAGCTATTCCCCTGCTGGGTATCTTCCCCAAAGAATTAAAAGAATCATACCACAGTGATATATGTGCACCCATGTTTATAGTGGCACAGTTTGTAATAGCTAAAGCTTGGAAACAGCCCAAATGCCCATCAACTGGAAACTGGATAAAGAAGATGTGTTTTTTTTATAAAATGGAGTACTACTCAGCCATAAAGAATGAGAAACTAGAGTCATTTATAGCTAAATGAATGCATATCGAGGCCATACTCTTAAGTGAAATAAATAGGACACATGTGTGTAAGTACCGAATAGTTTCTCTAGTGTGAGAAACTGAACGTGTAAATAAGGAGGAAAATGATTAAAATGAATAATTGACAATTTGAAATAGGAAAAGGTCCAAGGGTTTGGGGGTGGCGGGAGGGGAAGGGGAAAGGGAGGAAGGGAAAGGAAAAATTATGAGAAAAAAAAAATGGAAACAGTCTGTGTAAATAGGGAAGGGTGGAGGGGTGAAGGGCGCACAGGGAATGGGGGAAAAAGAGCAACCAAGATACATCATGTACAGGTACAAGCACCCAGTGATAAATGTAAATGCATTGTGTACCTAAAATGTACCAATTAATTTTGTTTTTAAATGTAGATTTTCAGCTGGGCACTGTGATACAGGCCTGTAGTCCCAGCTACTGGGGAGGCTGAGGTGGGAAAATCATTTGAACCTAGGAATTTGAGGCCAGCCTGATAACATATAGAGAACCCTATCTCAGAAAACCCCCCAAAAAACCACCCAAGCTCAACATGTACCCTCCCTCCCATCCCTCTCCAAAACTGGTCTTTAGAACATGGAGACTCAGTGAAAAGAAAGTGTTTTCTTAAAAACTACTGTAAACCTTAAAGAATAATTCTGTACAAATTAATATTTGTTTCCTATTGTTTCATATTTTGGTAAATTTATTTTTAAAGCATTTACTTGTAGATTATTGCTTGTTCTTTGCATGTATTTCTGTTTCATTGAACAATGATTGCTACAATAAACTGTCTTATTTCTTGTAGATCAGTGATACAGTAAACAGTGCAAAAACTGAACATACAGCCATGAAAGGAATTTCAGTGAAAAACAAACCAGAATTCAAAGCAACAGATTTGAATCCCATTTTACATTCACCTTTGGCATCTAATGCTTCTAATCATAATAGTTGTGTGGCGGATATGCTAAGGAAAAATGAAGGTATAAGGAGATCATTTTAAATAAAACTAAACCTTCTTGTAACGTTGGTGGGGGATGTTAGAGTCACTGCAAAAGTAAATGTTACGTGGTTTTGATCCATTTTCCCAAGAATAAAATACCTGCTGTACTGAGCCTAGATAGAGGCTGGAGTCCGGCAGCAGCAGGCCCCTCGCTGGTGTGAGGCCAGGCCTGGGTGTGGAGTTTGAGGAAAGCGCCCTGTGGCACTTGAGGTTGGCCAGTGTGTGGACTCTCACTGCCTGTTACAGAACTTTAACTGCATGGAATTATTTATGTTGGGCATGGATTTTGTCTGTTTGTTCATGTCTTTCCCTTGCACTCAGATCTGAGCTTAGTAAATACTAGTCATTTAATGAATATTTGTTTAGCAAGTCACTGGATTATCCTTGGAAATAGTTCAGCTATGAGAACCGGTGACTAGTCCTTTGCATTCATAAGACATCTTATTTGGTGATGTTCGTATTTGAATATTCTGATGCCACTTGAGATATATCAAGCATTGCCTCTGATTTTGTTATCTGACATTATTTTGTAAATCTCACTTTGATAGATCCCTGACATAAGAACATGTGACTTTATTTTTAATTTGAAAACCATTATATCTGATACAAAGCTAATTCTTCAATGATTCAAATTTAATAAGATGAATTCTTTTTATTTCCATTTTTCTTTGAATCCATGGTAGATAAAAATATTCACGGAAGATAATTTCTCTCACATATGCCTTATGGGAGAGGAGAGCACTTTTGTTTTATTGACTTTGTGGATATAAAGTAATTATAAATCATATTTATAAAATCTTGGTTCTGGACTTCAATTTAAATTTTCTTACATTGCTTTTCTATGTGTCTTTCAAAAAAGTTTGTATTCTGAAAATCTGAGACTTGAGATTTCAGAATCTTAACGCCCTCTCCGTCCTAACTTGGGTGAATGGGAAGCCAGACGGTTGCGCAGTGGTGTCTGGCGCATCTGAGATGCTCAGTGTGTCAGGGTGGCTTCCTCGCTCAGGCCAGCACGAGTTTGACTTTCTCGGCATGTTGGAGTAACTGCTAAAGAATGTTTCAAAAATTGGATAAGCTGATTGTATTTGCAAAAGAGCTCCCAGCCTCACCTTCGGGAAGAGATATAGTATGCAATGGTTAGAACACTTGTTTGGGGTTCTTGTAGGATTCTGGAGGTGCCTTGAGACTAAAGCAGTGGGTGAGACAAAGTAAAAGAAAATACATCATTGAAGAGACTTTAAGTTGCATTTACAGAACCCAGTAGCTGGTTGGATATGGAAGTGATAGCGAGTTGACCATGGCTCCCAGGTTTTTCAGTTGAACAGAATGAATAATGATACTCTTCATCAAGATAAGTGATTTGGAAAAGGTTCAGCTTTGAATTTACTATCTTCGAGGCATATGAGGAACATACTGGTGAAGATTGCTAACTGGCAGTTGTATGTTAGGTCTGGGGTCCAGGAGGCAGTCCTCAGTTAGAAGTTCAAATTCGGAAATTAACACTACCCTTGGGCCGGGGATTTAGCTCAGTGGTTCCACCACCTGCCTTGCAAGCGCAAGGACCCATGTTCAATCCCCGGTACCAAACAAATTAACACTACCCTGGTGTACCTTCTACAAGAGCAGGTACTTGGCCAACTTATTTATTCTAGATTCCCAGCGCTTGATGCAGTGCCCGGGACGTATGCATTTGAGGGATGCATGATCATGAATGATATTCAAAGCACAGCTAGGGGAAAGGCAGCTTAGGAACACCAGAATGTAAAGCATTATTTGAAGAAGAAAAACTGACTGAAGAGATGGAGAGGGTTAGGAAAAGGCAAAACGCTGGTGACTTTTCCCTCGGCAGTGGGGATCACAGCTGGAGGCTGGTGGGGGGCGGGGGGTTCTCTCCACCGCGGGAAGCGGTGTGGGCATGGAGCTCCTGCCTTCCTGCACCACTGTGGGAACAAGCCCTGTGTGATAGTGGATCTTCAGGGTGTGGATGAGTGAATGTAAATAACAGAAAAACAGCTTCACAAAAGGAATATATGATCAGCATTGTTTGCATCGCAGAAAGGTCAAGTAAATGAAAAGTGTGAGCAACCTGTAGAAATCATTGATGTTTGCCAGAGCCACTTTGTTAGTGTCCTGTGTGTTAGAAATCAACCTTTAGGGGCGGTCAGGGACATAGAAATTGCTCTGGAGGGAATTAGTAGGGAGCCATGGTAACTGGAGGGGACTTCTGGGTCAAGGAAGATGTGTATTTGTTTGCTTGAGAAAGTTGATGATATTCAGGATCTGAGAACCAACGATCTGAAAGTCCTGAAAAGGCAAGAATATTTGAATGCAGGTCTCAAAATATGGGACAAGGAATGGGCCCAAGAGCTCAGCAAGTCAGATGAGGTCAGCTCATCTTCTGAAACAGGAAGAGAGAGTGAGCATGGTCTTAAACACATCTCTAGTTGGGGCAGGAAAATGTTTAGCCTAAAGAGGGGCTGAAAAGCCGGGCATCCACAGTGCGTACAATGTGCTTTCCCCTAAACGTTTTGTGGCTAATGTTAGTTGTGCTTGTGATTTTAGAACTGAAAGCACCAAGAAATACATGACAAAAACAGTGAGACACTAAATATCTCCAGGCATTGCACTAATATTTGATCTTTTTCCCTTACACATAGGTCCTCACACTTCAGCAAATGTAGGTGTGCTAAGTAGTTGCCTGGACTTAAGAACGGTAATCCCAGAAACTTGCGCATCCAGTATCGTTTCCAGTGCACAATCATTGGTGACCCAGCAGACCATAAAAACCGAGTCATCCAGTACAAACGGGGCGGTTGTTAAAGATGAGACTTCACTCCCAGCACTCAGTGCCAAAGCCGAAGGTGCGAGTGTGTCTCGAATACTGTATGTCAAACCATTTATGGGTGTGTGTGTGTGTGTGTGTGTGTGTGTATTGTCTTAGGTGAGAATTGCATTTCATTTTGGATTCAGAGCCAGGGAGTTAGCTCAGTGGTTCCGCTGCCTGCCTCGAAAGCGCAATGTCCCAAGTTCGATCTCTGGTACCAAAAAAAAAATAAAAATAACATCATTTTGGATTCAATCATACGTAAGCAGAGAAAGTGTGTCAGTTAAAATCACTATTTAAGCACAGTCTGCTCTCTTCCATAAAACTTAGACTAGCGCACATAGAGGTACACTCAGACTGCATCTTCCCTACCATGAATAAATTCAGCATTTTTCCTCAGAAGGAGTCAGTTCTAGACTGTGGATTAACAATTCTCAGCCTGACTGAGTTCTAATTGTTAATTGTGTCTCTTCTTTGGGGAACATTTTCTGGGAGTCCCAGCTAGTTACCAAACCCCTGTGGAAATGCACTTCATGAATTGAGCAAAAGGGTCCGTATTTCTAGTTAATGTGTCCCCCTCCAGTCGTTTTTCCCATTTTTTTATTGTGGTAAAATAAACACAAGATGAAATTTACCATCTTCACCTTTTTTAAGTGTACAGTTCAATGATATTCAATATCTATATATTTATAAATTATATTTTAATATACATAACTAAGTGACTGTGTAAGCCTTAATGAGTTAATCGTTTAATTTGTAGTTGATGAAACATGTGCTCTACCTGCCACTAAGATGAGCCGTGTGGAGATCCACGCCACAGCCGTGCCGTTCTCTGTAAGTACATGACCCGGCAAGGTGCATGTTTACACATTACTGTGTGCTTTCAGATGCCGAGCAGCTTCTCGGTCAATCCGTGAGAACATTCTCATGCTCATTTAGTAGTGAATTGATATAAATTTAGAAGTAAATGGTCAGAGGAAAATATTCACAATATAATGCTTAGTGGAAAAAGCTTGATAAAATAATACATACCCTGTGCTCCCAATTTTGATAAAATATACGTAATGCAGACAGTCATACCTGTACCCACACACATGCACAGCGAGGTGCTGGATCACTCTCCGAGTTGTGGGACACAAATAATTTTGACTTCTCTCCCTGTTTTCCCATAATGAGATGCATTACCTTTATAATCAGAAATGCATGTGTGTGTGTATGTAGGTGATATTATGGTTAAAAGATAGGACACGTTAGGGAGCAGAAGAACATAAATGGTCCTCTGACTGCTTGGTAGGAGCACCGTGGAGTACTGCAGGGTGGGACTGGCCTGGCGGGACCACAGCCCAGTAGTCTGTGACATTATGTGGTTTTGTGGGAGGCCAGCAAGCTGCTCTGCGTGGCACCCAACTTCAGAAGTTAGGAAGGTACCTCACAGACACCAAGATTGTCTCGATTCAAGAAATCCAGTCTAAGAATAATACATACGTATGTGTATGTGTGAGGGTTTTTATTATCGGTCATTTCTAACTTACTGCTATAAGCCAGAGTTTTTATTTGACCTAACATTTACCTTTTAGAATCATGAAGTGTTGTTTGTATTAATTTCCTTCCAAGTTTTTGGATTTGGAGCATTTGTTAACCGTTACCACGCTCACCTTTCCGGAATGTAGTCCTCATGACCCTTCTCAGGGAAGGGGGATTAAGATGAACTTTTTCTTTGAATCTGTTTTGCAATGTGTCTACCCAGGATTGTATTTGCTATTTCATTTGGAGGCGGTTGTTTTATAAAAGTTATTGAAGAGAATTTTTGCAACTTAAAAAATGAAGACAAGTTTAAAACTATTCCTTTTTCTTTAAAGATTTTTTCATTAGTTCACTTTGTCATGTGTGATAGCCTAAATAACAAAAAAAATGTGAATGATAAGCATGTACCTCTGCTGTTATATATTTAAGACAGAAATAAATAACTGAAGTGCACATTTGTTTTGAGCTTCTGGAAACAGTGTCTCATTTATAAGAAGATGGCTTAAAAAGGTTAGTTCCAGGGATAAGTATAATTCACTTATCACTAAAGTAGCTTAAGGTAGAGGAAGTTTATTTGTTTTTAAAAGCAGGGTAAAAATGTAAAACTGTTTAATGGATTCCTCTTTAGTAAATACTAAAGTATATTCAAATTGCATTTTAGTTTTGAACATTTTTTTTTCTCCTTTTAGGTTTGGAGAATCTCAAGTATTTCAAATGCAAAGGTCACTGAATTTCTGCTAGTTGTTTTTTAATCAAGACAAAAGCCAGCTTGGACTGAATTTTTCTTTACGTGCTCCTTTCAGAGCAAGCTGTAATGTTTTCCTGAAGGGATTGCATTTTCTGAGAGTCTGAGTGACAGTGACCTGTCACGGCTGGCATTTAACCTGTCACTGACTGGACAGCCAGGCTGATAGCACTGGGGACAGAGCCTGGCTGGAGCGTGCCCCTCACCCCGCACCCCGGGTTTGATTGGTTTCCCTGTCCACTGTCAGTGAAGACCCGATTTACCGATGAGCTGTCAGTGTTGTGCCGTTCCCTGTACACCTGCTCGTAGATCACTGCATGGGTTTGTTAGAGCTTGAAACCTCTGAAGTGCTCCATGGGAGTCTTCATAACTTTCTCTCTCTCTCAAATTAGAAAGAGACTCCTTCAAATCCAGGGGCCACAGTGAAAGCAGGAGAACGACAGTGGTGTGACGTGGGGATTTTTAAAAACAATACTGCACTGGTGAGCCAGTTTTACTTGCTGCCGAAAGGGAAGCAGAGCACCTCAAAGGTAACCATGGTGTACTTTCTGCACCTCTGCCTGTGTGGCGTACAGCTTGAGTGCGATTGTTTTTGTAACTGATTCAGGTTCCATAAATGAGTACCCTTAGGATCTGGTTGTACTCTGTAATTGAGAGTTCTGTATGCTTAGCTGTCTTATATCGTTGTTGTTATTGTTATTATTGTTATTATTTAGTACCAGGAATCAAACTCTGGACCTTGCGCTTCCCAGGCAAGCGCAGTGCCACTGAGCTAAATCCCTGGTGCTGTCTTGTATTGTTTATTAAGGTTCTTTTTATAGAATACAGTATATCACAGGAGTGTCATTTAAAAAATCTTATACAGTCACTGAGCTGGGTTTCACATCCTAAAAATCTGATCTGACCAGCTAAAATGAGTATTTTTTTTGAAATGTCTCCAATTTTGTGTTTAAAGAATTGGTTTCTTACTATTTTTATTCCTGATTTTCCAATTTAAAAAATTTAAAAGCCTCTATGTGCTATTAATGTTCCCTTGATTCTGAAGCCCCTTCAGGAGACGTTGTGTGGGACATGAAGCCTCTAAGAATTATGAAATAGGTACGACCCTAAGGCATGCTGAACTGATGCTCTTCTTATAATGGAGAATTTCCAAAAGGGAACTTCGGGGAGATAACTACTCATTTTGATTCTCTAGTTCTTCCCAAGTGGAGAAAGTAAGATGCACTTCTCTGACCACAAAAATACAAAGTCTAGGGTGCTCCAGAAATGAAAAACTTGATAGTGCCAGTGGGATGGTGCAGTAGGAAGTGGGTGTGTGAGCTCCGGTGAAGAGTCCTGGCAGGGGGCGGTGCACTGCACACCTGCAGCCCCAGCCCTCCGGGAGGCCAAGGCAAAAGGCTCAGAACTTCGAGCCTAGTCTGGGCCACTTGGTGTCAAGGCCCTGGGTTCGATCCCCGCACCTCTGTATGTAGTGTAAATCCCCTTCAGGCCAGGTGTGTGCAGTGTACACGAACCAAATGGGCTTTGTGTTCAGACTGAGTCCGGACCCCAGGAGACTGCCTTGTGTTTATGCAAATATTCCAAAGTCTGACAAAAGTCAGAAATCCAAAACATTTCCTGTCCCAAGCATTTTGGATAAGGGTACCCACCATATATCATATATTTTCATTTATCTAATATTATATCTGGTATCCCTCTTTTTCAGATTGAGTTTTTCCAATTCTTGACAAAACAGAAATTCTAGTTCATTTTTTGTTAGTATTATGCCTGATGAAATTTCTGGCTGAAGTTGGATATTATATATAAGGACATTTCCATATCTGAGGACCTGTTAGCTATCTGATTGTCCCTCAAAAGAGAATATAAAATGTAGAGCCAGTAAACTTGGGTTTGTTTCTTTTGTTTTGGTGCCGGGGATCGAGCTGGGGTCCTTGTGCTTGTGAAGCAGGCGGCAGATAAGCTTGGGTTTGAATCACTGGTTCCAGCACACAGCAGTGTGAACTGGAACAAGTCACTTGTTTGTTGTTTTGTTTTTTTGGTACTGGGGATCGAACTCAGGACCTTGCACTTGCGAGGCAGGTGTGGTGCCAGTGAGCTAAATCCCTGGCCCAACAAGTCACTTGTTTAATCTCTCTGAGACTCAGTTTCCTCATCTAGAAAATAAGATGACCTAGCTCCCATAAAGTAAGAAGACATTTGGCATTTCCTGTCTCACATGGCTGTCGGGTGGGAGCTAGGGAGAATATGTAAAAGCTGTTTGAAAGAGGCGCCGAGGATTTAGCTCAGTGGTCCTGCCGTCTGCCTCAAAAGCACAAGCTCCTGAGTTCAATCCCTAGAACCAAAAAAAAAAAAAAACGGTTTGAAAGTTGTGAACCTGTGATCTTCCTACGTAGTTAACATGACATTTATTCAGTGTCCTAAGTGTGCATTTTACAAAGCTTTACAGATATGCTGGTGGCCACTTTTCTGTCCAGCCTCCTTGCCTGTCTCTGACAGGCATTGTGCTGTTACTTGACATAAATCTGAGATTTCTGCTCCAAGCCAAGTTCAGATGGGAAAGGGATAGTTGTTACTTTGTCTGCAGTGGTTGTTAATTTTTTTCTGCCTTTATAGCCTTCACATGCAGAATACCTCTGCATATCTCTTCATATGCAGTGATTCTTAGCTGGAAAAGCCACTTTTCATTTGGTAAGGATCACTGATTTATGGATTTAATTGCTTCTATATTGAAAGAGTCATTCTTTGTATGTGGGACAGAAATAAATAAATGTGAGCTGGAACTGTAAAACGTAATTCATTCTTTAAAAGTTTTGTTGAATGAATATTAAATAATTTTAAGTATGAAATAATAAATTAACTGTGCCCCTTATTTGACTTTTGTATATATTACATTTTAGGTGGAAAATGCAGATGTTCCTGACTACAGTTTACTTAAGAAACAAGATCTTGTTCCAGGCACGGGCTATCGATTCAGGGTGGCTGCAATCAATGGTTGTGGAATAGGCCCCTTCAGCAAAGTCAGTGAGTTTAAAACGTGCATTCCCGGTTTTCCTGGAGCCCCTTCTGCAGTCCGAATTTCAAAGGTGAGATGTCAGATCAAGACTTGGTGACTTAAGTTATTTCAGAAACTTTAGAAATTCTTGTTAGCATCTGATGAAATGAGGTTACCTAAAAGAGGTGGATTAAATACTTTTTTGCCAATTGCTCATGGTATTTTTAAGTGCTAAACTTCAGAATTACAGCATTCAAGTCACAGAAAGGCAGGGAAATCTTTTGGCTTTGTTCTTGTTAGATAAACCAGAAATTCATGCTGGAGAATTTTAGTAGAATACGTGAAATTGAATTACATTTTATACTAAGTCCTGTCCTTCCTTAGGGCAGAAAAGGCCTGCATTTAGTGCAGAAAAATTCCCCTTCTGGGATGTTACAGGCCAACACTTGAGCCTCACTGTGTTTGTGGAAAATGGGAGTGTGCTGGGTGTGGTGATGCAGGCCTATAATCCCAGCACTCAGGAGGCTGAGGCAGGAGGATCACCATGAGTGGGAGGCTACCCTGGACTACATAGAGAGACCCTGTCGCAAAAAAGAAAAGTGGGCATGAGCTAAGCAGTGTAGATCCGCCGAAGGTAGTTTTGATTTTTGGGGTTTTTTTTTGCGGTACTGGGGATCGAACTCAGGACCTTGCACTTGCAAGGCAGGCACGGTGCCACTGAGCTAAATCCCCGGCCCTGAGATAGATTTTTAAAAGATCGACAGTACATCTAACATCTAAGGCAGTTACTTTAAGAGAAAGAAGCATTGTGTGTCCTAAAGATAGACGTAGCATATGTGCTCCTAGAGAAGACTTTGAGAACCTCCACGTGTCCCCCTTTTCTAGAACGTGGAAGGCATCCACCTTTCCTGGGAACCGCCAACCTCCCCTTCCGGAAACATCCTGGAGTACTCAGCCTACCTGGCCATCCGCACGGCCCAGATACAGGACAACCCGAGTCAGCTCGTGTTCATGCGGGTTTACTGCGGCCTCAAGACCTCGTGCATAGTGACTGCCGGGCAGCTCGCGAACGCGCACATCGACTTCTCGTCCAGGCCCGCCATTGTGTTCCGCATCTCGGCCAAGAACGAGAAGGGGTATGGACCCGCCACGCAGGTGCGATGGCTTCAAGGTAACAATAAGAAGGCGCCTGTAAGTTGAATTATCTTACCGAAGCTGTTGTGATGGCACTTATTTATTAGCAACTGGCGATGAAGATCCGCCGTTTGGAAAAATACTCTCCGACTGTATTTCCAGCAGTTATGAATTTGAATTTGTAAGCTGTCCTTAAAATGTATTTGCTCCCTTATAGATCCAAATAAAGATAGAAAAGAACCCAAGACTGAAAATTAGTACATGGATTCTTCCTCATATGTATAGCTCTTTTATAGAGAAAAACGTGAAACTGTGCTAAAGCTAGGAGGGCTTATCACCTGGTCCTTTTGTAAAGCTCTGTAACTCCGCCTGCCTAGGGTTGCTGAGATGGTTCGGGGCGGCTGTGCCCTTCCCTGTCTTGAGAAGGAAGTGTCCTCCGCACTGTGGCCCACGTCCTGGCCCTCGCTCTGGCTGTCTCCGTGCATGCTGCCTCTCACAGCTCCTATACTTGGATAACACCTGGGAGACTGATTCTGGTGGACATTTCACTCCTTTCTTCATTTACATTTAGCACAAAGATCAAGAACTTGACCAAGACAAAGGCAAGCTTAGAGACTCTGCTGTTGAATTTTTATTCTTTTTCAAGAATATTGGTAAGATACAAAAAGAATAATGAGTATTTTTGATTCATACCAAGCCAGTCTACTTGAGTCTATTTTTGGCTAAAGCACAAAATTTACCTGGCCCTTAATCTCCTCCTTAACAGGTGAGGGCTAGAAGAGTTTACCTTTACTGTCTTTTTCAACCCTAGAATTTTGTATATTCACCCGAAGCAGACTATATCCCTGAATATGTTCACGTCCTCAATGACTCTAACTTCTTTTGCTGAAATTAAAACCTTCACAATTTAAAAATTCAAAATTAAAGTATGTGTCCTCTTATTGCAGAAAGAAAGAAGCACCTTAATAAGACTTAAGTTTGGAATAGTGTTTTAAACATTTGTAAGATTTTGTAAATGCTCTAGATGTTTTATTTTTGCATTATTTTTACCTCAAAATTGTATAAACTTTTTTATAAAAGAATTATAAGCATTAGACAGCTAACTCAGGTTACTCCCAACCTTAAAATGCAGATAGGAGTTATAAACACTCTGCTACAGGTAACCTGTTTTAAACTTTTAGGCACTGCCAGGTTCCACTGCCTATTCAAATGTGGAATAACCATGTAGAGAGCAATAACTGCAGAGGAGATTGAGACCCAGTCTCAGTCTGCAGTCACTGCTAGGGCCCAGGTCTGTCCGTTCATACCACGTAACCGTACGCCAGGTTGGGTTGACTGGGTAGCTGTGTCACCAAACTTTTATGTATAATATCCCCAGCAAAGGTGGAATTCATTGTGCAGAATTGATATGTATGCATGCTCCAGTGACTAATTTAAAGTGTATAGAATATTTTAATATATAATTTTTGTAAAGAACTGGGATTTTTATATTACAGTATTTGTAATTGTGTCTCACTAATTTTCTCTTGAAGAAAATATGCAAACTGTTAGACACATAAGGAGTGGTTTCCAAACCCTAAAGATAAAATAAATGCACTGTTGTGGTGGTGTTAGAAAACCGTTCTTCGTGGCTATATGAATCTTTGGTCTTTACATGTCTGCGTCACCAACGGTGTTCACAAGAAGTTTCTCTGGTCTCTTAGCCCCGCGCCTTCCGTCACTCTGCATTTGCTTAATTTATATGCTTGCTTTTTGCACTCGTAGGATTTTAACTTACCTCATTGTTATGTTTGTAATCATTTGTATAGCTGCCGTAATGTATCTGATACAGGCTAAACAAATGCTTAGCCAAAGTTAAAATTAAAATAAATGGTAAGCAGTTTTGTACATGTTAAATGGTAGGGTTTATTTTGTATGTGCGTGTGTATATTTCGTTAAAAGAGTAAGAATGGAAAGTTGGAGTTAGTGTATGTTTCAAGCCCAATTATTTTAATGATCTGTTTGCTTGTTAGAAAACTTCTGGATTTTAACTCCTTATTCTCTGCATTAATAGTCTGCATTTAAAACACTTCTCTCATGACAAAGAATAAGTTGATTTAAAGCAAAGAGAAGAATACTGGTTTATGTGTGCACCTTTATACCTGTTTAGTATTTGATTTAGTTTACTTTGCCGAAATGCGTGGACCGGAGGTGAATGTGAACCTGTCTCTAACAAAGGACTTACTTCTTAGAGGGAAGGGCAGCCTTTTGCATCAAGGGATTTGTTAAAATAGTAACTTTTTATTGGGGTATCAGCCTACGTTCTGTATTTTTAAAAACCTAGCATTGGTTCGTACCGAAGCTGTGTTCATCTCTAAGGAACTGCCGACTGAAAGATGCTAGGAGAAACCTCTGTGCCTTTGTTGTGCAGTAAAGGAGCTATTGTAGAGCAGCGTATGCACGAGTAGAATGAACGGGGTGAACGCGGGCTTAGTTCCTGAGGAACTGCACACTAAGTAAAGCGCTCCGCCCCCTGCAGCAGTGGGCTGTGCTATAGGCAGCCGCCTCCCTCCCTCCCTGCCTGTCTTCTTTTCCTTCTTTCCTCCTTTCTTCCCCCCTCCCTCCCTGCCCCTCTGTGCCGCACTGGAGAGCAAACCAGACCCTTGCACGTGCTAGGCAAGCACGGCCCAGCCAGGCAGGTATTTTCCCTGAGAGGATTTACACCCACTTAAATCACTTTCTTTCCCTTTCTCAGTTGGGTAAGCAGCCCAGATGTGTCACAGTCTCCCTTCTGTACTCTGCATTTCTGGTCCACAGAAGCAGTAGAAATATTTTTGATGCTGCATGATCTTAGAATTATGTTTTCCAGCCAGATGTGGTCGCGCACGCCTGTAATCCGAGCACTCCGGAGGCTGAGCAGGAGGATCTCTGCGAGTGTCAGACCTGCCCACACAGTGAGTTTGAGGCCAGCCTAGACTACATAGGGAGATCCTGTCTCAAAAAAAAAAAAAAAAAAAAAAAAAAAAAAACTGTAATCCGAGCACTCCGGAGGCTGAGCAGGAGGATCTCTGCGAGTGTCAGACCTGCCCACACAGTGAGTTTGAGGACAGCCTAGACTACATAGGGAGATCCTGTCTCAAAAAAAAAAAAAAAAAAAAAAAAAAATTCCATAGTAGTGCATTGACTTTTAGTTTAGTAAGCTTTTTGGCAGTTTAACTAGAAATAGGGTATATTAAACAATTCTATCTGCATTTTTAAAATGCATATAATGTGGTTGCATGTATCTGAGGCACGTCTTCCCCAGACCCAATTACACAAATGCAGTCATCCGTAGGGAGGACACACCGCGGTTCCCTATTTCGAAGACTCGCAGATAGCGGAAATTCGTTCTGATGAGCGATGTCGTCTACCATAACTGAGGATATTTTTATTTTTTAAATGACAGTACTTGTAACATAAAAACCATTTAGCTGGGGATTTAGCTCAGTGGTTTCGGCGCCTGCCTCGCAAGTGCAAGGTCCCAAGTTCGATCCCCAGTACCAAAAAACAAAAAACCATAAAAACCATTTATAACTTTGAACATAAAAAGATTTATTAGCCTTTTAAATTCTTGCAGTCATCTGATCATAGATGCAGTAGATTTTGAAATAGACTCGGTCTTTGACCATTTAAGGTGTAATTGCTGTGTTTTCTAAGACTGATTTTAGGCAGTTTTCTGTATCGTGTACCAGGGACTTGTAAATAAAATGCCTTTTCTACTGTAAACGATTACAGGTGTTGCTTGTGTTGAACGTGAAGGAAGCCTCAGCAGGGGCCGAGTCCGAGTGAGCGGCGCTGGCTTTCACCCCGGCTGAGTTCGAGTTCGCAGGACTGCTCCCCACGCCTAAGCGAGGAGATTCGTCCCCTCCAGGAATGCAGCGCCCGCTTCCCTCTCACTAGAGCTGAACCAGCGTGCGCGGAAGTGAAAAGGCAAAGGCCCCAAGGGCTGTGAGTTTCCCTTCCTGCTCCGCGCTCGCGCTTCCGGCCGCTGCCCTCAGCGGACGGGTCCTGCCCACCCTCCCCAGCTGCGGGGCGCGGCCCAGTGAGCCTTCCCCGAGTTCTCGCCCGAGAAGCGAGAAGCGGCCGCTGCCTTGGCGATCGGAAGGCGGGGCCCGCTCAGCACCGTCCAGAACTCGCCTGGGCTCTGGCAGGCCGGGGGCGAGGCCGAGACTTGGCTGGGCTGTCCCTTCCGCCGGCCTCGGCTGGCAGCTCTTCCGGCGGCGGGCGAGGCAAGCGAGCTGCTGCTTCCTCTCACCGCCTTCCCACGCCCGCTCGCACCAGCATCTCGCGGATGGCGGAGGCCCGGCAGGAGAGGCTGTGGCAGGTTTAACTGGGCTCTGCAGCCCCCACCTCGCCGGTGCACGGCTTCCCCAGCGCAGGTCTGGGATGGGGAAGGAAGGGATCTAAATGGCAGATGCAGAGCTCACCAGGAGCTTTAATCTGAGAAGATCGTAGCACTTAATGGGATCGGTGGACATTGCTGGATTATGATTTTTTTTTTTTTTTGGTACCGGGGGATGGAACTCGGGTCCTTGCGCTTGCGCAGCAGGCGATGAAACCACTGAGCGAAATCCCCGGCCCTGGACTATGATTTTAACACTGGGAGATCAAATAAGCTTAAAATCTGTTTGGTAAGTTAGTCTCTTTGTTGTTGTTTTCTTTTTGAGATGAGATCTCACTATGTAGTCCAGGCTGACCTCAAACTTGTGGCATCCTCCTTCCTCAGCCTCCTGAGTGCTGCGATCACAGGTGTGGGCCACCACACCCAGCTAGTCTCTTTTCTGACACCGGAACGACCTTCGTACTTCAGCACAGGGGACTGCTGGAGGACTCAGACACCAGAGTTAGAGCTCCCGGGGTTCTGTCGCGCTGCGAGTCGGGTCACGGTGGTCACCACTGAGCTCGGAGGCCAGGACATGCTGACTCTGGAAAACACAATCGCCTTGGCCACCTCCCTTCCAGCTTCCTTCTAGTGTGCTGGTAAGCGTCTCCATTTGCATGTTTCCGTAACCACAGGAGAAGGCTTATTTTGATCATCCCTAAAAAAACCAACTACAGTATCCCAGGAGAGAAACAGTAACTTCTAGAAGCTGAATGTCAAATCCCAATGTAGATTTTCCATATCTTACTGGTGTCCGTTTGCTTTTCTTTTGTTTCTGCTGAACTGAAATTAAAAAAAAAAAGTCCACTTCTGGGCCTTTGATGTCAGCAAGGGTCACCTGAAACCAAGCATGAGGTCATTTTGTTTTATGCATCTTGGGTGAATTGAGTCGAGCAGGGGCCTGCTGCTTAGAGGCCGTCCGCTGTGCAGTCTCGCTCCCACCCCAGCCAGTGCCACAGGTTGGGTGCAGGGTCCCGAAGCCTGGGCCCTGGGGAGACAGGAGGTGGGATCGAGGGCTTCGGAAGGCTTCCTTAACAGCGGCTCTCATTTGGCTGGCTCCGTAAACCCTTTGCAGAGCACCAAGGCGTCAGTGATTACTGCTCACCTCGGGGATGAAAGCACAGGAAGCAGAATCCGTAGCAGCCGCTGTGGATGCCGGGACAAACGGAAGTGGGCCCCATCCCAGCCACTGGCCCTCGGGCTCACTGCTAGTGAGACACGAGCCACTCAGAGGGAGAACCGAGTCAGCCATAGGAAAAGCCAGATGTGTCCGAGCACACACAGCTTAAACGTACGAGATAGCAGCATGTGTTTGTTTCTGAACATGAGGTCGCACTGTCCACTAGTAAGTCATGTCCCGCAGATGCCAGGTGCTAGGATTATCCATGTCTCCCCTAACCGAGGAGACAGACTAAGAAGTGCAGGGCTCTCTCCTAATTTCCCTATTTATCCCGGGGAAGGGATGAGCAGCTAGGTGTAATAATTACCACCCAGAACCACAAAACCCGGCAGACAGTCGTGGGCAGCGGTCTGGTCCCAAGTTATTCTGCCACCAGTTGCAATTTGACGCCCCCTGGTGGGCTTGTCTGTCCAGCTTAATTAAATCAGGATGGGCTTCTGGGTCCATGCAGGGAATCTCCCCATGCGCTGGCATCTGTCCGTGAGCCGCTGGAGATGGCCCAAGGTCACCTTCTTCCTCCCTGCCCCTTAGGCTGGCAGTTGGCTGCTGGCTCCGTCTGACCCTTGCCAGCACCTAAATCAAGACGACAGCCTTAGCTTGCCCTGTTCCGGGAGGAAGGGGAATGGATTCAGTGTTTCCAGGTCTGTTCAGTGATTTAAACCTTGGGCGGGGATTTAGCTCAGTGGTTCCGCGCCTGCCTTGTAAGTGAGTTGAACCTTCTGGGTGGAGTATCAGGGCGTCGGGAGAGACAGCTTAGCTGTGCTGAGTGAGTGCCCAGCGCGTGGACAGTGACCACCTTGGCAGAGATGGAAACCTGTGCTGGGCTTTGTGTGGCCCTGGTCGGCGTGGACACACTCAGGACTACCACACACCGTCCATGTTTCTGCACTGGTGACCACAAAGGCGCCATTACAGGGGCCCGCGAAGCTGTGCGCCCTGAGCGTCAGCAGAGCTCAGTCAGGAGGCCGCGTCGGCTGCTTTCCTCTGGGCTCCGGATCCCGCCCGTTCCTGTCAGCTCTGTGCAGTACTCAGACCCTGTGTGAGCGCGGTCCAGCTACCAGAGTCGGGCGGAGGCTGCAGCCAGCTCCGCAAGCCGCCAGCCAGGGTGAGCTCGTGGGTCCTGAGCTGACAGCTCCTGGCCCTGGCACATCGTCCTGTCTCTCCCACTGCTGTCTTTCCTCGGGGGACCTGTGTGGCACAGCAGTGGCTGAAACATCACAAGATCTTTGTCTCTGTTGATGAACTGTACATTGCATAACCTTCTGTCTCTTCTTTAAAAACGTGTCAGGAAACAGCACATACCAGAGTGTGGGAGATGGAATGGGGCTGCAGCGGGGCTCCGTGGCACAGCGCTGGCCTCACCATGCCTGGGCCCTGGCCTCCATCCCCAGAGCTCAGAAAAGAGCACACATGAGCAGCCTTTAGCTTAAGAAACAGAACATTCCCAGGCGCCCGCACCCCTGCTCGTCTGACCCCATCCATGCCGTAGGAGGTAGACATTCTTTTGGACTTTTATGAGTAAATTCCCCTATTCTTATTTGTGGCTCTACTATCTATGTTGTATCCCTAATACAATATTTAGATTTACTCGTTTTTGAACTTGTAGCAAATGGAATCATACTGTATGTATTCTTCTGGGACTTCTCTTTTCTTATGTTGTTTTTGAGCTCTTCATCCCTGTTTACTGCATGTAACCGTATTTTGTGTTTTCACTGCTGTATAGTAGTCCAAGTGCAAATGTTTCAGTTATCAGAGGTTTGGATTGTTTTCAGCTTCTTGCTGTTACAGAGGATGCTGCTGTGAACTTGCTGCCCAGTCAGAGCATAAGCCATGTGGGCAGGGCTCACGCCTGTCCTCTGCTGTCCCCAGTTTCTAGAACAGTGCCTCACCCAGGTGGGCCCAGTCAGCATCAGAGAGCTCAGCACCTCCTTGTTCCTGTCTCCTGTGCGCATGTGCAAGGATTGCTCCGGGACCCCTGGGGTTCTCTGAGGCTCTTTTCAGAGGACAGAGTGTTTTCTCATAATTTGTCCTTTTCATTCAGATTTTTCCCAATTTTAAATTCTTTCCAGCTATATGATATCATTGCTGCAATAGCTAATCAGGTTTCATTTGTTTATTTTTTAACAGTGTCTCCATTTTAACCAGTGATGTGCCACGATACTGATACATAAAACCCACAGGAACAATGGCTTTTGAGTGCCTCAGCAATTTTTAAGAATGTAAAGAGATTCGGAGACCGAAAGCTTGAGAACCACTACTATAAGAAGCTGGTTTTAGGGCCAGGGATTTAGCTCAGTGGTTTCGACGCCTGCTGCGCAAGTGCAAGGACCCGAGTTTGATCTCCGGTACCAAAAAAAAAAAAAGTGAGTTTTACTTGGTAATGCCAACGTGTTTGCTAAAGTGCTTGTACCAGTTCCCACCCTGGTGGCAATGGCTCAGAGTTCCCCATGCCCCGTATCTAGCACACACTTGCGCTTAGCTGTCTTTGACATTTGCCAATCAAAGCTAGGTGTGGTGGCACACACCTGTAATCTCAACACTCAGGAGGCTGAGGCGGGAGGATCGCCCTAAGTTTGAGCCCAGCCTGGGCTACACGGTGAGTTCAAGGCCAGCGTGAACTACATAGCAAGACAGTGTCTCAAAAAACAAAACAAAACCTTTTGCCAATTGGATGGCTGTTATATAGTTTGCAGTTCCCTGTTTACGAGTGAAGTTGGTTTTTCACATGAGCCCTCTTTTGTGAAATTCCTATTTATGTGTCATGCTCTTTTCCCCGTTAAGTTTTATGTTTCTTTTTTCCTTATTCATTCATGATTTCTTTATATATTCTGGATATCAGTCCTGTGTCAGCATAACATCTCACCCATATTTCCTCCCAGTTTATGTGTTGTCTTTTGTACTTGTATTGAATACATGAATCAACTTGGAGAAACTTTACATCTTTTCAGTAATTGTGTCTTCCCGTGAAAAAGAGTATGTATCCCTCCGTTTACTAGATCTTCTTAATATCTCTCAATAAACAATAATTTTCTCTACAAAGGCTTTGATGTCTTATCTTAGATTTCTTCACAGGAGTTGTGTATTCTTAATGCAATCACCTATTGAATTTTTAAAATTACATTTCCTATTCTGATTCTCACAGATTATAGAAATGGCATGGCTATGTATTGATTTTAGATCCACCACCACTAACAAACGTGGATTATTTGAGAAAGGTGCCTGCACATCCTTTAAGTTTTTACATCATCAGCAGTTTTCGTTTCTGACCCTTGCATCTTAAAGATTTTCTTATTTCTGTACTGACTAGGAGCTGTACAACAATGTCGAAAAGAACTGAGAGTGAACATCCTTGTCTTAATCTTGATTTAAAGGAATGGTTTTAGCATTTCACTGTGCAGTATATTTTTTCATAAATGGCTTTTATCAAGGAAGTTTTCTTCTATTTCTGGTTTGTTTGGTTGGTTGGTTTTTTTGGTGCCGGGAATCGAACTTGGGACCTTGTGCTTGCGAGGCAGGCGGCGGAACCACTGAGCTAAATCCCTGGTCCTATTTCTGGTTTGCTAATTATTTTATTATGGGTAGATGTTGACTTTTTAATATTGACCCAACATCTAATTCCAACTCTCATACGTTGCCAGGCTCAGGGCTTTGCATCCTCAGGTGAGGTCCATGTGTAAGGGTCCTCCTGCCTGGTCAGTCCTGTGATCAGCTCTCCGGCTAAAGTTATCCCGGCCTCATAAAATGGGGTTTTTGGTTCTGAAACTAGTCTTTAAAGCTATTTGGTCATTAACGGAAGATCTCACTTTGTTTAAAGGTTATAGGTTCATAAGGATTTTGTCTTACTGACTAGTGTTGATAAACAATATTTTTTTTCTACAGGTTTGTCCATTTCGTCTTCGTTTGAAATTGATTTGAAGGTTTCCATATTATAACATTTTTCGTCTCCATAGCATCTGTGGTTAGGACCCCTTTTCATTCCTGTTAGTTTATTTGCACCTCTTCATTTCTTCTTGGTTAATCCTTGAATATTTCATCCATTAGTGTTTTGGTTTTGGTACTGGGGAGTGAACCCAGGGCTTTCGCACCAAGTTCTATTCGCAGCTCATTTTTAATTGTTTGAGACAAAGTCTCACCGAATCAGAGTTTCCTAGGCCGGCCTCAAACCTGCAGTCCTCCTGCCTCAGCCTCCGCCTGCGCCACCATCCCCAGCTCCCATTAAATTTTCCAAGTGGGGCTGGTTATAGGTTTTCTTAATTTACATTTCCAAAGCTGTGCTAGAATATGATCTGTAAGATTTCGTTTTTCTGACTAGCTTTATGCCTGTCGCGCAGTTCCATGTGTGTCCTGTGTCCTGGGGAGAATGTGTGTTCCCCAGGGCCTGGATAGTGCGCCGAGTTTCAGGTCAAGCTGGTTGGGCGGTGCAGACCAGCGCACTGACTCGCCCGATCCTGGATTTCTACCTACGGAAGCCTCACGGTCCCAAAATGGATGCAGCAGTGTTTGGTTGCTCCCTCTTTGGCTTGTTCCTGGGTGCACGTTAGTTTGGAACTTTCCTGTCTTCTCTGAGGAACCGAACCTTCTGTAATTGTAGAGTTACAACATTTGTTGCCCTCACCTCTTTTGTTCCTTATATAGCAGCATTCGTGTTAGTCCTTGTCTGGTATGTCTTAGATCTCTCTTTGCGTTTGTATTTTAAGTTTGCAAGAGACACACCTAAAGCAAAAGGCAAAGAAAATATCTTTTTAGGGCCAGGGATTTAGCTCAGTGGTTCTGCCGCCTGCCTCACAAGCGCAAGGACCCGATTTCCATCCCCAGTACCAAAAAAAAAAAAAAGTATCTTTTTTCACCTGGTAACAGTTCATTGTATCTATTTGATTACAAATATAAATCCATTTATTTCTAGGTCTTCTTCATAAATCATGGTGTTTTTTGTCCTCTCCTTTGTCTTTTTTTCACGTTCTTATTGAGTTTTAGTTGTTTGGTGGACAGATCTCATTTTACAATGGAAGCTTTCGTGCCCCTCCTCGGGCTCCCGTTTCCCTTGATGCCACTCAGCTTCCCTGTCACGGACTCCGGGTCTCCGTGCGCTCCTGCTGCTGCTTCCCCTAAGTCTTGTTTTCCTTGGCACATGAGGACTTGAGCGAGGGCGGAGACTGAGATCCTTGCGGAGCTGCCACCTGGCCGTCACAGAGCCCGAGTGGCCTGTGCTGGGAACCTCAGGGGTGTTGCCTCCGCCCCCCAGGGCCAGCATGAGATGAGGGACTCCTGCTTTGCTGCTGGCTTACTTCTGTTTTCCTACTTGTATTTCTTTTTTTATTTTCAGGTACCGGGGATTGAACTTGGGATCTTGCACTTGCGAGGCAGGCGGTGGATCCACTGAGCTAAATCCCCGGCCCCTCTATTTCTTTTTTTAAAGAATTCTACAACCGGGGGTGGGTGTGGAAACCTGTAATCCCAGCACTGGGGAGGCTGAGGCAGGAAGATTGCAGGGAGTTCAAGGGCAGCCCAAACTACAGTGAGATCTTGTCTCGAAAAAACCCCAATTCTACAAATTCCTTGCTTTTTTTCTTTTTTATAAAGAAAATTATTTTATTTGTATATCAAAGACTAAGAGAGGAAGATGTAATAAGCGTAACAGAGTTGACGCCATGACACAAGTAGGTTTGGAAAGCTATGGAAGATCAATCCCCATCCCATCCAGCAAATTCCTTGCTTTTATGTCAACCCAGAGATACATTTAGAAAGATATTTTAAATAATTTTACACAATTGCTTATGTTTTTTAGCAATTAGGTAAGTGGAGTTGTTACTGTCTCGGCTGTTTTAGAAATGAAGTCTACATTAAGATTTTGTTTGCTCCTGAGTAGGAAATGTGGAACTTTTCCATCCATGAAAAACCACAGGAGGCCCAGTTCACCTTGGTCAGCTGCAGGATGGCCCCCTTGGGGTGGACAGAAGCCTCCTCCCTCCTCTCTGGGCTCCGAGACAGCTCACAGAATCAAGGGCGGCACAGGTGCAGGGGCGGGTGCAGGTATCACCGCCTGCCCTCTGGAGGAGCGAAGCTCGAGCCAGGGTCAGAGTTGTGTAGTTTTGGCGTGGAAGAGGCAGGAGGACGGTCACCCTGCACCCCACAAGCTGATACTCAGCTGCTTCTCCAGCAGTGTCAGCATGCATGCAGTGGCTTTATTCTCAGCATGGCGCATGCCATTAGCAAGCGTTCTTAGCGAAACACAGCCTATTTAACTTGGTGTTTAATAATATGCCGTGCAAAAGGAAGCCGCCCTGGAGTGAGGTCAGGGAATTCTGTAACTTTTTTTTTTGGTACTGGGGATCGAACTCGGGACCTTGTGCTTCCAAGGCAGGCACCAGAATCACTGAGATAAATCCCCGGCCCGAGAATTCTGTAACTTTACCATTAGCAGGCTTTTACCCTTTTGGGGGGAGCTGGGGATCCTAGGAGCTAGGCAAGCAATGCACCATGAGCTACACCCAGCTGCAAAGGCAGTGGCCAGCGCCAGAGAACAGAGTCCATCCCGGTGCCACCCACGAACCATGGCTGGAAAAGACTGTTTTACAAATCTCTACAATCAGGCACAGAAAGAAATCCCTTGGAAGAATTATCCTAAGGGCTGTCACACTTCCACTCAGTGGGAGGCGCTGTTGTCTGTATTCAGTGATTAGTACAAACTTCTCACAAATGTTTGAAAGGCCTTCCTGTGATGCTGAAGCCAAGGCCTGAAGGATGAGGTGGGAGCCACAGAGGAAGAGGAAGGGCACCAGGCAGAGGGCAGCGTCTCTGACCACGCAGGCAGATGGGGACCTGGGGCTCACAGGGCAGCAGAGTGGGGCTGCAGAGTGAGCAAGAGGAGACCTGACAGAGCAAGCCGACTTTGAGAAACCACAAATTAAAGGTGAGTTTTTAAACAGTGTAACATGGTTCCTAGAGAGCACACCGCTGATGGGATGAACCACATATAAATTAACCTGTCACCCAAGCTCACATGCAGGTCACCTGATTAGGGGACTAGAAGCATGCTACGCCAGTCTGGGGTTGGTGCAGGCTTTATTATTTATGAATGCCTCCAAGTATTTCATCACATGTGCAATAAATTCTGTCTTGCTGATGGCTAACCACTTTCTCTAAGACGAAAAAAAAAATGTATTTAAGCCTTGTAAGATTTCATTCTTGGCAAATGGTAGAAACTACTCTCAGTTTTCATGCCTAACTGCTACCGCTACCAGGCTAGCTGCCCTCACAGCTGCGTCCCATGAGAAGCAGCTTTGATCGCTCTGGCCCACAAGGGCACTGTGGGAAGCAGGTGGTACGGCCAGGTCTCAGAGATGGGGGACACTGGACTGAGGCTCCACTAGGAGGGAAAGAAGTGCAGATAACTTCAGCGCCCTGACATGGCAGGGTGTGACTGTCAGGCAGGAACCCTCTGCTCAATGTGGGGCCGAGTCCCGTTCTACCTGGAGCTCGCCGGTGACTCTTCTCTTCAGTGTCCACAGAATTACAGGAGCGTGTTTAGGTTAACACAGGCGTACACACACTGAGGTTCCGGGGGGCAAGAACATGCCAGAAGCCGACACTAACCCTCGGCTGCATGAAGGGTGTCAAGCGAGGCCCTGACATGACACGGGGAGGTCGCCGACTTCCTTTCCTGTGTGAGCAGGAAGACTGGACTTTACCTACACTGGATGGTTCTCCTGGCAGATCACTGCGTTTCAAAATTCTTTTACATGCAGATTTAAATTTTAAAACTGTCGCATTCCCTTCTTGTCTTCTTCACTCAAACCAAGCCCAATCTTCAAAGCACTGTCACAGTGTGATCTGTGGCGTGGTGACATGCACGCCATCTGGTGACCCAACAGCTCTAAGAATTTACTTCAAGAAAAGTCATGGATGTACACAAGATTCGGTGAAGTGGCATTTATAACTGTGAAAAGATATAGTCAAAATCTCCAGAAGACAAATAAATTATGATTCAGTCGTACAACAGAATAATAAACCAACAGACAGGATGCAGGAGACTAGGCAGACCTGGGAAACAGGCTCACAATATATTGTTGAGTGAAAAACGCCGGTTACAAAACAGTATGCACAATACGAGCCCATTCTTATAAAAATATACATATTTTGCAAAGTAAAAGGACAAATGATATTATCAAAATATCAACACTGGTTATTTCAACATAGTAGGATGAGTGCTGATTCCGCTTAACCGCCCTTCCTTCCTTTCCTACCGGGATTTTCTGCAGAGGATTTTGCACAGGGGCGGGGCGGGGCGGGGCGGGGCAAGGCAATGCAATGCTGTCTGTTCTGACCGCTCGGGGAAGGTGACGGCCACTCCAGCATCCTCCTAGGCAGACCACACAACAGCCACCTTCCATATTAAGTTTAAAAACAAAGAACAGATGAGAAAATGCAAATCCTCACTTTAACAAAGGAACAACCCAAGTACATACTGCTGAATTATACAGAGTGACATTATCCAGGTTGAGTTCATTGCAAAGACCAAGACAGCGCGCTAGCAGGTGGCAGCTTGTTCCTCATAGCACCCACAGCACATACTCCCTCCACTCTGCTCGCGCGTCTGTGCAGAAGGTCTGTACAGGCGACGGTGCCAACCCTCCCGGTCCCCGAGGCGTCACAGGAACCTGGCGCTGCCACCAAAAGGAAACGAGGGTGCTCACCGGCAGACTCTGAAGCCCCTCTTCTGGAAGAGGCTGTGGTAATACTTAGGGTATGCTCTGGAAAACACACCAAACAGAGGGGGCACCGTTTCAGGAGTGCCAGGACTACACCATGGAAATGGAGCCCAACACTCACAGGGATGCAGCTGGAAAACAAGGCTAGAGTCGACAGCAGCTCCAGTAACGAAGAGCACCAGCCGACCAGCGGGCACTGGGTAGACAGTGTTTGCTTCCACGTTCACACTCAGGCAATGACATTTCATAAAAAATGGTGCTGCTGAAACTATGATGTCTTACCAAAAAAGTAACTTTAATAAATACAGCAAATGCTAAAAATCTAGCTAGGTTATCATGCAAGATATTATAGAGCCAAGACAAATCAAATTTATAATAAAGGCAAATTGCATTCAAAATGAACTCTACCCTTATTTTTTATTAAAAGGGTAAACATCATGAATTAACCCAGCTGCTTACTTGAATTACAAAAGTAACATGATTCAATATGAAAATAAGAAACTGTCTACAAATCTCTGACAGTAATAAATTGCAATATACAATGCATACAGGCGTCATACAGAGCAACACTCTCATACAAAACAAAAATATTTTAATACCTTTAAAATCCAAAATTTTCTTTAAAATCATTCATGAAAAAGATTCTCAAGTCAGAATTAACACCTCAATTAGTCAAGCATCAGGAAGCTACATTACAGCTACTTAATTTACAAAGAAGACATCTCTGCTCGTCCTGCCGGCATTTCATCCAGAATCTCACACTCGAGCTCCGGCTCCCTCCTCCGTGCCTTCAGATCACGAGAACTGAATCTGCTGAACTCCGGAAATCTAAGAAAATGTAAAGTGAGCGGCAGCGAAGCAAGAGTTTAACAGTAACATATGCATATTACAAAGTTCATAAAAACATACAGTGGGATGTGAATCTCCCCCTTAGCCAGAGGAGCTACTCTAATAATTTCCTGTGAATCTTCCTAGAAATGTTTTATGAAAATATAAAAACATGCATATTTACTTAATCATTAAGGGAATACTATATATAGTCATATTTTGAGAAAATAACTTTTAATAACCTGTATCAGGTCTCTAATAGTAATATGTACTGTGTTAAAATCTGATAAAAAAATCAATGGCTATAATCAGTGCTTGTCCTGTACCTGTTGATAGGACGTTGTGTAAACCATAACATTCTGTTGTTGACCATCTGCAGTTATTAAGCCAGCTGGTAACTGGTTAGCTGAAAGTGGAAAGAAAAAAAAAAAGTGTGAGGAGGAAAATAATCGCATCTACTTTCCTGGCCTGAACCTGTGAACATCATGATTCTGCCACTTATCACATGAAGTCATCTTACGTAAAATCACACATTGTCAAATTTCCTATTTTAAAAAGTTCTCTAAAAGTACATTTTCCTATTGCCTTTTTCTCTTTTTGGGAAGAGGCAGTGGTGAGGACTATCTTACTGAAATGACAGCACTGGTCTCGATTCTTAAAAAAGAATCCGTGAGCTCAGATTTATCTTAATCACAAGATTTTTTTTTTTTTTGGTACCGGGGATCGAACTCAGGTCCTTGCGCTTGCGCAGCAGGCAACGAAACCACTGAGCTAAATCCCCGGCCCAATCACAAGATTTTATACTACAAACCACAATTCTCCTCTTCCTGTCTCACATGACTCTTCGCCAAAGCTAGAGGCCAGGAAGTCAGCCAGGACCCTTGTGGGAGGTTTCCCTGAGTGGGAATCACTTCTCTCCCAGCACCCACTGACTGGGAACACAAGGGCATGGACACGAGGGACCCCGCGGGCAGGGCTGTGTGGGCACTCAGCGCCTGACACCCCACCCAACGCGGCGCCGCGAGCTTACTGAAGGCCTCCTCCGTGAGCTCCTCGCTGAGCCCGTCTGTGGCCGTGACAGCGCCTCCGATCCCCTTCTCTCCCTTCATGGCCTGGGGAGGAGAACAGACACAGTCATGCGTGCACAGGGCGCTCTGCACGGAGATCTCCGTGCCTGGGCTGAGCACTAATGTCTGCAGCACCCACAGCTGTGAGATGAGCAGTGGCCTGGGAAACCCAAGTACATGTGGGTCAAAGTGAATTCCACACAAATCAAAGCATAATACCATGCCACTTAACAGACAGAGAAGTCCGGAAAATACCATGAATAGTCAACTTAGAGCCCACAAATGACCCAAGTTATAGATCTCATCGGGCAGCTGGGAAGCACGGAGAAGAAAGAAGTTAAAATTTAAAATTCCTCAATAAAAATTACACTTTGAACTAAAGACCCCTAACGTTCCATCTAGAGTTCTAGAATACTGACAAGTTGGAGAAGTTCTGTGAAGAATTTATATATTCTCTTCTTACTTTAATCATTTCAGGCAGGTATCACTAACTTAATGAGATTCTCACACGAAGATATTAAGAATATATTTGAAAGCAATGTGAATCTGATAGCCACGTTGCAGTGTGGCAATAAACAAGCTGTGACCTCAGTTTACTTTCACGAAACTCAGGCAAAGATAACGTAATAGGAAGTGTAGAAGAGTTTGATCCACGGAGCCTCAAGCTTAGCGATGCTTCTCTTTTTCTGTTGCTTTTTTGAGACAGGGTCTCACTGTGGAGCCCGGGCTGGCCTTGACCTTGTGGTGACCGTCCTGCCTCAGCCTCCTGAGTGCTGGGATGACAGGCGTGCACACCACGCGTGGTGATGCTACCTCTTCTAAATTCACAGCAAGTACTGCTGACCATGGACCACTCTTAGTCCTTTCAATAACTCTGTGATGAACATGCTGTGAGGCTCTCTGCACAGACGAGGAGGCCCAAGGTGCTTAGATAAACCTGCTGGGGTCATGGGACTCCCCGGCAGTGAAGCTGGGACATAGCCTCGGACAGGCTGTGCCCCATGCCCCTGATCACTGTGTAACCATCCCATGGTCGGCACAAAAGAAAAAATAAGACTTGCTGTTCAAGTACTGTAATTGAAGTGACAAACATATAATCTGATACAAAATGAAATTTAAGCAGGTAACATGCTTGAGTGATGTCAGGCGAGGTGCGCTCCTGAGAGAAGCACTGCTCACCTCCCGGAACTTCTGAAGGTACAGCTTGAGGGGCTCCACGTAGCTGTCGAAGCCCAGGGTGGACATGGCGAAGAGGATGTCCTCCCCGTTGATCGTCTTCCGCTTCTCCTGGTGGCACCGCTCGCTGGCCTCTGACGTGATGAAGCTGATGAACTCGCTCACACACTCCTGCACACACTCTTTGGCATCTTTTGCAATCTGAAGGGGGAAGAAACCAGAGATAAATCTGCAGGAAATGGAACCATCCCCTTCCTAACAGCTGCAGAGAGTAAAAGGCCATTCAGGACACCGCTTCCAGTTTCTGATGCCTGACCTTTAGTTTCATTTCAATGCTAAATCAGAGTACCAATGTACTGTCAATCACAATGTGTGCTGTCAAATTCCAACCTCTACAGGGATAAAGATGTAGGGTAGTGGCAGAGACTTAAAAACTGGCTGGTTGTGGCAGTGCACACCTGTAATGCCTGTAATCCCAGCACTTGGGAGGCTGAGGCAGGAGGAGCCTGATCACAAGTTCGAGGCCATCCTGAGCTACCTAGCAAATTCAAAGCCAGCCTGCACTACATAGTAAGACCCCATCTCAAAACTTAACAATTCCAACCTCTAGTCAGTATAAAAACAAGTACAGTTTAGATATCCCAAAAAACGGATGTTCCTACCACCTCATACAAGCTGAAAGCTGGGCACCCCAGGAAAATCGATCCCTTTGTGGCTACACTAAGTGCAGGGTGGGTACAGACTCAGGGACCACTTCCCTGCCTAGCATTTCCACTCATAAAGACACAGAAAAATAAAAAGCTAAAAACCGCAACTTACATAAGATTAGGAAGGAGTAAGACAGTAACATATGGAGGGGTTTTTACTGCCAGGGGACAAGATGTCAGGAAACCTAGGACTCATCCTGCAGCCACAGTTGCGGCTACGCCCATCCCCCCTGCACCTGCCCCGCGGCCTGCACAGAGCTGCACACACGCGGCCAAGCAAGCGGCATCCTGTGGGCCAAGGAGGGAATTTCAGGATTTTAGTAGTCACGTTGGAAAGAACAAAAGTAAAACTAATTTTAGTATTTAACCAAATATATCCAAATTATTCTCATTTAAACATGGAATCAAGTTTAAGGCAAGACATCTGCACGCTTCTTCACATGAAGTCTCCAAAGTCCAACCAGTGCCGCCGAGCACGACTTCCGCCCAGCCTTGCTGGGCCCCAGCTGTCCAAGCAGCTCAGTGGCTCACGGGCGTGGCGGCCGGGCCCTGACCCACAGGCCTGGCCTCTGCCAGGGCCCTGGCCAGCTGCGAGCCTTCTCTCCCTCAAACCGGAACTTTAGGCTTAGTGACGTACTGTAATAGCATCTTCACTTGTAAGCTCTCTTACTTTTGCAGGTATCTCTAGATGTCATAATAAAACGACAGTGGTCACTATGTAATATGAAACAATTTATATAAAGTGTGAATCTCAATTCACCAAGTGATGTGTAGAGTGGTAAGCTTTTAAAAGTTGTACTAAGGGGCCAGGGATTTAGCTCAGTGGTTCTGGCACCTGCCGCGCAAGCGCACAGTCCCGAGGTTCGATCCCCGGTACCAAAAAACAAACAAACAAAAAGACAAAACTATTTAAGAAAAATCATACCAGTTGAAACATATGTTAACATCTGTAATTGCGTAAAACTATTTGTTTCCTTATAATAGGCATTAAAAAAACAAACCTAACTATACCTGTTGTAGTACAGTCTAATGTAACTTTAATGAGACATTACAGAAGCTGCAACTCTGTCTGCCCAAACCTGACGGCTCTGCCCATGGACCTGTGTTACAGCCTCTGAATTATCTGACTGGCTTCCAGGGACACAAAGCTGGAAATGGGACACTGTTCCTCACTGCGTGTGGAGAAATAAATATTTGATTTGGTGAAAGGTCGAATGGCTGGGATCAAAAGGTAGTTATTGACTTAACTACATATCTGTGTAGTTTTCCATTTCTCCCCAAAACCGAGTTCAGTTTCGCCTCCGTGTTACCTTTCCTGTTTGAGGTATGGCATTTTTCATTATCCTAGCCACGTTGGCAATGGGAAGATAAATATCTTGTTCTCTGAAGCTTTCTTTTGAACCATTTGTGTCTTCATGATCGTTCATGCTGTCCTCAGTATCTAAAAGAAACAAAAACATGCAGCTTTCAAGTTTCTCGTAATTTTCACTTCGAGACAGGAAACCTACCTGAAGTGATGCGGAATGATGTTCTGGTCTTTTCCTCCGCTCTATAGGGATCAGCACGGCAGTTCTTCCACAGTTTTCTGAATTTCAAACCCACCTACCCATTCTTCAAAACAGCTCAACCTCCCTGCAGCTCCTTCAAAGTGGCCCTTCCTTTCCTAAAACCTTGTAAGTGCTTCTCTGTCTCTTCTCTGACGTGCTTTGTAATTCTCTCTACTTCTCACTTCCCTATTAAGAAGCTGGCACCCGACTGCCAGGACTGGTATAGTGCAGTGCCTTCCCCACAGCAGGGCTCCATGGCAGCCCCAAAGCCCAAGGCTCCTTGAATACTGCTGGGTTAGGGGGCACCTGCTCCTCCACACTCAGGACTACCGAACTTGTACACTCGAGCTTTGTATTGTGTGAAAACTCCTGAGAAGTTTACACAAAATTCCACACAGAATGGGAGAGCTAGACTTACACGTTACTGGTCCAGTTGCATTACTAATGGAATTGTTTTTTAGCAAAGCCACAGTAGTAAGTGGCCCAATGTTTCTTATAAAAAGTGAATCTTCAGATTATACAGATTTAGACATAATGGATGCTTCCACAGAACCAATACCACCTTTCAGTCACACATGGACCAAACACAGGATCTTGGCAACTTCTCGGTCTGTACATGAAAGACACTTCAGCTAATTCAATTTCCATTTTATGTGTTTAAAACAATGTTACCACAACTGTTTCAGGATGAAACACTAATCCCCACATCTTCTAAAATATATTTGAATTCTTAATTTTACAAAACAAAATGCCATGAAAGTAAATTATTTCTGATAGCCTAACAAAATACTGCAAAATAAGTTCATACATAAGTACTAGAAATTGTAGCAATTTGATTCACCCATCAAAGAACTATTTTATTTACTGAAGCAACGGAATAAGAACTTCTGACACTTAATACGTAAATAGGAAGTCAGTAACGTGAGTTTCTTAAAAGGCTTTCGGAGCAGTTTTTCAGCCCAGCTGCAACCCGCTGCGGCTCTTACCATCATGTGGCTGGATCACATAGTGGCTCCCTCCGATGTAGTCCGCAGAGATCCCTAGCTGGGAAGCATCTGTGGTAGAGCTGTCGCCATCCATCTAGAGGGAAAGAAAGCCTTTCAGTGCTCCTCAGGGAAGGCCTGGATTGAAAACACAACAACCCAGCAGCACTCACAAACTCACTCACAGGAAGGGTCAGAACGTCTTCACAGCCTTAAGCCTACTGTAAGAAAAACTGCATTTCTTGATGTGGAAACTTTTCGATCACCTGCCAATGATTGGAGATTCCCTGTCCTTCCAAAAGTGCTCAGCACAAAAGCAACAGGGAAACAAGACAAGGAAATGAAAGCACACGCCCCTCTCTTTTCAACTGTGTGACCCTTACGTGTACACAGGCAGCCTTGACGTCCACCCTGACTTCTCCCTGGAATGCCAAGTAAAGCCAGTCAGCTGGGCAGTGACGCGGGCGTCCCCAGCAGCCCTCAGTTTCCGCTCTACTGCTGAAGTCTGACATGGCCACGTGCCCTTCTGCTCCCACTGCACAACTTCCTTGGCCACTTCATGTGAATTCCAAAAGAGACAGCAAGCGTCTCAGCTTACAGTGTTGCCTGGGGAAGGGCGCAACCCACGCACCCAAAAGCATGCCCACGTTCTGCATGAGCCCAGCCCCGAACCGAGTGGAGGCAAATCCTGTCTTCCCCTGTCCCTTGTGCTTTTTCATTCTTTACAGAGAAAAAGAAAAGGCAGGGCCAGGGAGATGATCTATATATACAGACAGAACATTAAACCACTGACAACCAAGAGTTAAAATGGCTATTTAAAGAAAAGTCTACTTAATTAATTTTGCGTAGACCTAAAAGAATTCCAAAAGGGAAAATCTGGAAAAAGGTGAACCACAATGCTCAGTCACTGACAGCAGCTCCTGGAAGGATTTCTGCTCTGCAAACCACTGCTCAAAACAGTAAGGGATTGGCCCCTTGTGAAGGGAGATATTAAAAATATGTCATCTGAATGCAAAATACAGCAAAAATTAAGTGGAATATACATGCTTTTGGGTCAAAGAAAGAAGAGATACTGTAGTTGATTTAAAGGTTTATTAAGGCCCAGGAGCCAACACAAACTTAATGCAACTAAATGCAACATTTTAGTCCTTATATAATACTTATCTTCTCCATTTCTGTTAGATTTTTCTAACAATAGAGTATTGGGCTAGTTTCCAAATCTTCAATAACAGCACTTCTTTCATACATCTGTTGACTTTGATGTCTAATTTGTAGATATAGATATATTTCCACAATTTATAGAGTTGCTTTAAGGGGAGATAAAGTAGAATTCACATGCCTTTAATAGTCTATGCAAGCATAACACAGGCTCCTATTTATTCATTACTTTTTAGTGGTGTATGAGAACACAAAGTCAGTGAGCTTATTCTGACTCCCCTACTGTGATAGCTTGGGTCTAGATGTCCCCCCAAAGCCTCATGTGCTCATAGGTGAGGCTTTTCAGAGTTGGCTAGTTCTAGGGGGTATGAATGTAGACTATGGGTGTGAGATAACTGTATTAATCCACTGACTGGTAAGCATAGTTCTGGGTCTGAGTACTTGGAAGCCTCACCTTGGGTGTGGGTGGCATCAACCATCAGGCTTACAGCCTGGATGGAATATGTAGAAAAAGGAGAAGAAAGGCTGCTGCTGCTTGCAGCCATCTGCCTGCCCTGCCATGGACTGTTTCTCCTCTGTGATGTCCCCCAGCCTTGGAGACAGCTGACTATGGACTGAAACCTTTATAAACTGGGACAAAGTAAACCTCTCCTCTTTCAACTTGTGGGTATCAGGTATTTTGTCCTAGCACTAAGAAAGTAACTAAGATGCTTACTGACCCCTAAAACAAGCATCATTAGCAGTTAGTTATATGTAATTTCTAGATGAAATACACACCACGTTCTGCTGTTTCCATCATATGCTGACATGGATGAATGTGAAGCATGACCTAAATACAGGCTCTTTTGGTATCAGAATGAAAGCAAGACCAGGAGAGTAGCTTTCTATGGACACAATGGTGAATTTATGAGCCAGGCAAGGCTCTGTCAGGGTAGCTGGGAGGCGACTGGTTTTACAATGACCCAAAGAAGATTAGGTGCAGGCGACAGGGCTGCAATGTTTCAGAGCCATAACTGAAAACAAATCGTGTTTTGGCAAGTGGGGACCAGTAACAAACTCTTTGTTAAATCAGTATCCACAACTAGCAGTCTTAAAGTTAGCTGATGAGCAAGACCTGTTCAAATAGCCAGGTAGATATAGGAGGTGAACGAATTTCAACAGATATTAAAGGCAAAATATTTAATTTTACCTAGAAAAGCAACAAGATTATAATTTGGATTAGCAGCATTCACCTCTCTCTAAACAAAAGCATTTCCTAGTAGACTAGAAAGCTGCTCAGGTGTCTGGTGTGTACTATTCGCCACACAGCGATCTCTCTTGTCTCTGAAGAGAAATCACATGTCTCCTTAATTGCATGTTTTTGGTTCTGCAAGTTGTAGCTTTTCTATCATTTCACACCTTCTGTTTTTCTCCTTTCTTTCTACCGTTAAAATCCTGCCCTGGGACCAGGGATTTAGCTCAGTGGTTTCCCCGCCTGCTGTGCAGGGGCAAGGACCGGAGTTCGATCCCCGGTACCAAAAAAAAAAGAAAAAAATCCTGCCCTGATTGTCTTGGTCTTTAATCCCAGTGCTTCCATCCTGCTGGAATCTTGCCAACTTATCCCATTCCGCAATCTCAAATTAATGTCCACTTTTTGAAGCCCTTCAGCACTAGACCCCTCTCCAACAAATCAGCGTGACCTTAACTCTTAGGATACACCAGCCGCTCTCCTATGTGTAGAGAATGGTGGGAAGCTTGTTAGATATATTCTGACAGTTTTTTCCTAGGTCTAAAACCTCCTTAAAATTATTATGAAACAATTGGCCGGGCTAGGCACAGTCCTGTGTGGTCAACACCATGGACAAGGGCTCTGTCCTCATCCTGCTTGCGTAACCAGGCAGGGCTGGGGGTGGAGTACACGCTACTAGCTCCCAGGATAGGGCTCCGGAATCCAACGGCCCAGCTTGAGTCTCCTGGCTGATGAGAACAGGACTCAGACTCACAGGGCTGCTGTCCCCTTTAGGAGACAGCCACAGAAACACTAAGCACACTTCAAGGCTGCAAAGCAGCAAACGTTACATGCAGCTATTAAATAATTACAGACACTAAACTAATTGCTAGGGCCAAGTGCTAAGGAAAACCAAAGGTGTTCTGCTACATGCTGGGTCAAGGAACGCTAGGTCAGGAAGGAGCGGTGAAACTCAGACTGCAAAAGGAACACAAACCAGCAAACCAGTCAAGCAAAAAAAAAAAGGAAAACAATGTTCCAGACAGAGAGAAGGAAGAAACAGTGCTAAACTGGGGGCCAGAACAAGCTCAGCCTGAACTAGATAAAGCTTGAGCACAAATCAGATTTCTTGTTCCATTTTTTTTTGAAACAGGGTCTCAGCTAGTTCAGGCTGGCCTCAATTCTCCTGCCTCAGCCTCCTAAATGGGAGGGCTGGGATTCCAGGCAAGGACCACCACACCTGGCTCTTTTTAACCACTGAGCAGTCCAAGCATTTAAATACAGAATGACCAAAATGCGTTTTTTCATTAATTTTATAAGGTAATATAACCAGAAATATAAAAACTACACTGTCAAATTAATTCAATAATTGTTCTGTGTATGGTATTATCTTAAAACATCCAATACACAACGCAATGTTACAATGTGGACAGTAGTAGCTAGTCTTTTTCTGAATTCTTTTTGCATTATTGCTTTTCTTTGACTAACACACTTTACACTGTCACGTTGGCCTTCCCTTTTTTTCTGTGGGTGGTGGAATCTCAATGAAGTGCCTACCCACTGAACATAATGGTGAAGATGCTGACATCCTGGCTGGCGTTTCGCTATCCCGTATTTTTCAGGTATTTGGTCTATTAGACAACTCTAAATTGTAAGTGACTTTTTGAACCCCCTTCTTTTGAAGAAATAACGAACGAGTTCCATACTCAGATCCCGAAGGTGCTTAAATATTTTATAATATTTTTTTCCTCTCTTTCTGTTTAGAGGATAGCTTCTTAGATGTTGGTCAACTCTGTCAACAGCACCGACAGAATTATTATAATCACTGACCACGATGGGAGTTCTTTTAGTTTCATTTCTTCTTTCAAGTTCTATCATTTCTGTATTAGGGAAACGTCTTTGTTGTTCCATTTCCTAACACAGACTTTTCCTCTCTGATATGCCAAAGGTTCTCCCTTTTCAGTTTTTTCTTTTGCAGATCTTTGGGCACTTCCTTCCTGTTCAGTCTCAGTAGCCCAAATGTGTCCATTTTGAATTGTAAAAGAACATCACTGAGTCCTGGAGAAGTATAAAATTATGTCTAATGTACTTACGATAAAGTTTTTATAGATTGTAGCACAAAATTGTAAGATTTTCACAAATAAACATGAATTAGTAAAAGAAAATAACCAGAACTTTTATTAGATTAAATTAGAAACAAACATCAAAGGCGCATAAAACGTTCTAAATAACAAAGTATGCAAAAATAGTCAATATAAAACAAATGCACAGACGCAGGCCTGTAGCCCTGCAACAAGAGTCACTGCTTGGAATGACGCGCCCCAGCGACACCTCTCGGGAGTCGGCCATGGACATGCAGCACAGGGAGCGGGGCAGGAACGACAGCAGCAGGGACCAAAGAAGCCTGCGGCAGGCGGTGCCAACAGGACTCGGTGACCGGCTGGGCAGAGCTGGAGGAAGGGGCAGGGGGACTCGTGGGCCTGGCCGGGCGCGCGCCGCTTCTGCGGAGGTAAGGGTGTGTGCACATCCCGGAAGGGGCAGGGCTAAGTTAATCTGAATGACTGTACTAAATGTTTAGTGGAACTGGTTGTGTTTTTCTCTAAAATACGCAAATAGTTTGGTTTTTTGGTATTTTTAAAAATACTTGTTTTGAGGCAGCAGTATTTCAACTATGCTAGTAACTCACCACACACACACAAGTCTCCTCACATTTACAGAGCACTAAATGTCTCAGGAAATGTTTATCACCCTGGGCAGTGTGGGAGAAACCGAGGCACAGCGGCTGATGATTTGTACTGGGTGACAGGAGGGAGGACTGAGGTTGAGGCTGGGCACAAGCACTTCCTGAGTCCTAAGCCTAACCCGTAGCCCTGCCAATCACTCTGCTAAGCCTGCTGATCACCCACCCAAGGCTTCTGGCTTTGAGCAGCCAAGGACTTGAGCAGCGGCTGGGGAGCTTGCTCTGGGCTGGCCAGTGCACGCATGCTACTCTTAGGAAACCTGGCCTGGGCGTGAAGTGACAACTTTACCTTTACCATGGTGGGGCCGTGGGCTCCCCGTGCTTACAGCAGGGCTGCTCGGGGAAGCTACTGCTTTCAAGGCACTGAGCAAAATGCCTGGCACACTAACAATGCAACAGATGTCAGCCATGTCCTTAGCATCCCCTCAAACACAGTTCTCATTCTCTCCAGGCTCGAAGAACCCCCATCCAACTTAGCCCTCCACCCGCTCCTCTCTGGATCGCACTCCCCTCCCCTCTTTGAGATAAGAAATAATACAGACTCCTCACCATCATCTGCTTATCTCCCCCACTCTTCCCTAGAGCGCTGTCACCAGGCAACTTTCACTCTGCCCTACCTCATTCTCACCCCCTAAAAGGACCTTACGTGCCCCGCCGCCCTCCCTTGAGACAGGGTCTCACTATGTAGCCCAGGCCAGCCTCCAACTCCCAGTAATCCTCCTGCCTCACCCTGCCCGAGTGCTGGGATTAAGGCATGTGCCACCACCCGCAGATGTTAATATACTGTTTTAAGGCAAATACACATGACGAGACTGCTTCTACAGATCACTGGTCTTTTCCTAATCAAAGGCAAACTTCATTTTCACAGCCGATTCCCCACTTAACCCAAATAAACTTGTTTCCAACTGTCTTCACGGCTAATAAAAATTTTACTGCTAGGATGCACCTTTTACTTCAGGACTGACAAATGTAGTGAAGCAACTATGACTCAAAGAAACTGTGACATGCCCGAGGTCACAGATCCAGCAGGAAGCCTGGATGGCCTGGATATCCCGAGAAGCCACTCGGCTGTCCACTGTCTGTTGTCCCTGTCCACTGTCCTCTAAACACAGTGACTCATGCCAGCCTCAGGCCTCTCCTTAGCTACTGGCCTCCGCCTTCCGGCCCAGATCCCAGCCAGCCAGCAGCAGAGCTGGTCTGAGGATGCAGGAGACTGCCACTCTCCCAGCAGCCAGGCAGGGACCCTGGGCCACATACAATGGGAAGAGGGCCGGCAGGGAAGGCTTTCACTGTAACAGGGATCTCCAATCATCACCTAGAACTGTGTGCCCAGCTGACTGCTGTCCAGATCACATTATGGCCAAAACGGGAAAATCTACTCACTGTCATGAAATACCGGATAACCGTGCAGTGAGTGGAGCTCAAGAACAGCTGTCTGAAGTGGTGTCCAGGCCTGGCCCAACGTCAACCTACAAGATAAACATCTGTTAACAGTAAGAACATGTGGGCTACAGGTTTGCTTTCTAGTAAAATTAAAGAGGGAACATAATCTCTGCAAGTCTTAGTGAACAGAGTATAAAAACAGGTACCCAACAAATGTTTGCTGAATTGAAAGATTCTGGGGAACTTATAAAAAGAAGTTAACTCCGTGGGGAAGAGAGAAATTTATTTTCCAGCACAACCCTGAATTTTGTTATGCTCATCACAAATATTCACCACAGTATACCGAATGGGGAAAAAAATTATAGACTAGGAAACAGATGTAAAATTACATATCTAAATTACTTGAAATAACACCCAAGATGCAAACACACCACTTAATTTTTTTGGCCATGGGTTTCTTAATGTTTCAGAGTGAGATTTAGACATCTGAAAGCTCAAGGTGGGGGGGGGGAGTTTTTTATTAATCTCAGACCACAGTGCTTTTAAATCTAAATACCTTAGATTATATTGGAAAGAGACGTGCTGTTCACAGAACAAACCAAAAAAAAAAAAAATCCCTATCAAGAAAGACTCTTATGTGTAATTTTAAAGCACCCACATTTTGGACTAAAATTGTATCTGAATAGCACTTCAGTCTCACTGTAAGGCGTAAACAGCTGAATAAATCAGTATCAATTACAGCGCTACAACCTTCATTTCTCATTTGCTGGTTTCCTCTTCTTGAAATGAAAACAATTAAATGGGGGATGGGGTGCCAAAACAGAAACACATCTTTTCTGGGGTGATTTTAAAGGGAGAAGAAATACTGGTTTGCATTCGAGCATGAAATCCAGTAAATAGCAAAAGAAATTGGCCACTGAATTGAATTTTTAAAATGCTATTAAAAGGTCCAAGAAAGAAAAACGACTGTCCAAAGATTATCTGCTATAATCCTAAAAATAATGTCTAATGTCTTTTCATATAGTGCCCTTTTCCTGGATCCAAAACTGCCCAGAAAAAAAAAGTAAAATATAAGGGGCGGGGGTCCGTCTGCACATCTACAGTATTTTGCTTATAATGGGGAGAGCCACACAGCAGTCACCCCAATAGTTGAGTACACACTGAGATTCACAACACTAGAGGAAAACACCACCACCTCATATGGTATTTATTTTCCTGAGGGCAGGTCAAGATGTATGTAGAAGCTCCAGGGAATGCATACATCTGTTTAATGTTTGAAGAAATGCAAATCTGTATCCAAGAAAAGCAGCAGACTCCCTTCCTCCAACCTCCATTCTCTGGCATCAGCAACCAGAGTTCTGCGCCTCGGTATAATGCTTACATTCAGCTACAAGAGCCGAACAGAGAAGAAACAATCGCCTTTTAAGGGATTCTGGTTAAACTTTCAATACTTTGACCAATAAGACCACTATTTCCGAACGCCACTGCTGCCGGTCCGTGCGCCTTGGTCACTTCGTGCTGCTGCTCTCCCATCCCGAGGCGAGGCCGCCCCAGAGATCAGGGTGCCAGGGAGCCCACGCGCACCAGCGGGGAGTGGGTGCCGGCTCTCGGGGTGGCCCCCACCCAGCTCCGGCGGCTTCGGGGCCGCCCGGGCGCGGGTACGGCTTGCGGGTGCCCCCCAATTCTTTGTTCTCCGAGACGCAGTCCCCGGGCCCCGCGCCCCCGCCTCCCACCCGGGGCTGAAGCTGCGGCCCGCCCCGGAGGCCTGGTTCCCACCTGAGGGCGGCGCGGGGCCCAGGCCGGCGCTGCGTTCTCCGCGTGCGGCCGACCGCGGGCCGGGAACCCGGAGACCCCGCGGCCTCCAGCCCGCCCGGCACCCGGCCGGCCGACGCATCCCGCCGCCGCCCGGGGACAAAGCGCCTGGCCCGGCCCGGCCCGGCCCGCGGAGGGAGGCGGCAAGCTGCAGGCTGCGGGCGGGCGAGCGCCGGGCCACGGCCGCGTCGGCGGCGGGGACGGCGCCGGAGGAGACGGACATTTCATTCGAGCTAAAGTGGAGTCGCTTTAGGAGCGATCATTGGCCGAAGCGAGACACAAACCTCCAATGCAGCCCTGGTTGGCTCCCGTCTCCAATCGGCTGTTTGGTTGGACAGAAAATGGCTGCGAAGGAACCAGTCCCAGCGCGGAGCCCCGCTTCCAGCTCTCGGCCTCCCCTCCCTCCGCCGCGGGCCGCTCCCCTCGGCGCGACACCCTCCCTCCGCGACGCCCGGCCGCCTGCGCGCGCACCGCGGCCCCGCCCCGCCCGCGCGGCCCCGCCCGCCCGGCCTGCGCCTGGGCTTCCAGGAGGGACCCGGGGACCCCAGATACGGGCGCCGGCCTCCGTCCCGCGTGGCTTCTCGGCCGGGGCCTGGGGCGCGCTCGCCGCCGCCCGCGAGCTCCTCTGCAGCCCCCGGACCCGGCCCGCCTGGATGGGGTTTCTGTTCTCCGTCCCTCCCGCAGCTGGGCACCGGGCGGGCGGCCCCACTTTGGACTTTCTGGCCGTAATTATGTAGATCTATGTCTGTCGCTATGTCACGCATCTGCAAATGGAAGCTCAGCATATTTAAACATCTCCGGGGCAAATGAGAACGAAGGAAAGCCCCCGAGTTCTCCCGAGAGGACTAAGTTCCAGTGCCACTAGGCAGTCAGGTAACCTGATGAGTTCCAGCTCTCTGTCCCACTGCCTGCGACCTCAACCAAATTGCTTTACCTCCCAGTGATTTCTTCACCGTTACGTTGGAGAAAATAGTAGCTAGGAGTGGCTGATTTGAATTAACATACACACAGACTAAGAAAAAAAGCTGACTTATTCGAGGGTTGGTTTATGTTTTTGAAGAGACAGGGATCTCACTTTGTTGCCTGTTGATTGCTCTGAACTGGGCTCAGTCAGCCTCCTGCCTCAGCCTCCCTAGTGGCTGGGACTATAGACATGCACCGCTATACCCAGGTCCTAAGATGACAAGAATTTCAGTATCCAGCAAGCTTTGGCAAACTGTTGGAGCTGTTGGGCCTGAATTTAACTCCTCCTTTTCTCTGTGCTTTGTAAAGTGAACTTTTAGGAGTGAAATGCTCAAAAGTAGGAAATATTAAAATAGAAGTAATCGAATTGGGAGAAGTATGACTAATCACACACTGAATCATGACCCCAGAGAAGCAACGATGACTACCTTCTCTGAATTCGGGTCATCTCGGCACCAGGAGCCAATCTACAAGCTTCATTCAAAATCAGCAAGAAGGCTACCCCGCTCCTCGGCAGGCACTGTGCCCGGGTGTCAGGGGTGAATAAAGCCCTCTCCTGACCCCAGGCGCTAAACACCCCCCCACCCCCCACCCCCGCGCACGCGGTGGCCCCAACTCTACAATCTTTTTTTTTTTTGGTACCGGGATCGAACTCGGGTCCTTGCGTTTCCACAGCAGGAAGGGAAACCACTGAACTAAATCCCCACCTCAGCAACCTTTTTTTGAACTTGCTTCAAGAAGCCCCCCATGAATCTAAACCAGTGTCCATGATCACATGGGGAAGGATAGGCCAGGATCACAATTTGGTCTTGGAAAAGACACTGAAGCTGATCTGGCAATGCATGCCAGGCTCTCGCCTCAAGATCCCAAGTGGCTCCTTGCCATCTTCAAGGTCTCTTCTTCAAAGAGAAACTTCCTAACTTTTTTTTATTTTTTGAGACAGGGTCTTGCTGTGTAGTCCAGGCTGGCCTCGAACTCAAGGCAATCCTCCTGCCTCAGCCTGCCAAGTGCTGGGATTATACCTGGCATCTCTTTCTAAAGTCACTGTATTCTGAGAATTGCTATCAAGTCATCTAGTTCTTTCTACCAGAGGTAAATAATATTTGCTGCAATGCACTTTGCTTAGTTGAATGATCCTGTTTTTCTGTTTTCTCTGAATACATTCAGAATGAGAATGCCTCTCATTACCTGCGCTGCTGCTGCAGCCATGGTTCAAGCCCCATCTCAGGAGTGAGAGAGGTGATTAGGGCATGGCAAAGCTGGCTGGGGAAGTGGGCGGGACCCATAAGTGCCCAGAATATTTCCCAGAGCCAAACTCCTGGACTTCTCACTAGAATCTGAGCAGGCTTTTCAATAGGATGCCTGGACCTGATGTCACGCTGAGGTGTGGGATCCCAGCACCACCTCTCAGGACCCTTCGTAGAAGTTCTCCCGGTTTCCTCGAGATTTAGACAGTCTAAGAGAACACATTGAAGTCATGAAGGCTTTGCTATTACAGCTTTCTGGGATAGCCCTCACTGTTTCCCAGACACAGCGTGTGCTGTTATCTTTGCTCTTACCCTCTTTTCTCTTTACCTGGCCCCAGCTCGCTCTGCAGAAACAGTTTCTCTCCCACTCTTCATTTTTGCTTTCTTAAATAAACTTTGCCACTGCTTTTTGCTCATTTCATTCAATTCTTTGTTCAAGGCAAGAACCTGGACTCCGACTCCAGAAGGAGGGGTGAGCCAGCCAAAGTCTGGTTTAGTTGGTGAGGCACTTTTTAGAAACAAGCTACCCGATAACAGAACTCCAGAGTTACTGTTCCTACTTCCACACTGGCCCACATACCAGCCAGGATTTCAGATCCTCTCACTCCTCTGCTCAGAAAACCTCTAAAGAGCAGGGTGTGGTGGCCATCAGTTGTAATCCCAGCACTCAGGAGGCTGAGGCAGGAGGATTGCCCTAAATTGTTTGAAGCCAGCCAGAACTACATAGCAAGACCCTGTCTCAAAACAAAATGAAAACCCTCTAAAAACTCCCCATTTCCCTTAGAGTAAAAAACAAAGACTTTACAGCAGCATTTTGAGGAAAGGAGTGGCAAGTTCCTTCATTCTAAATTGAACAAAAGATGATTCTTTGGTCTTAGCAACAAGCAGCCTCCAGAATCTGTTTTAATCAATCTAGGCCAATCTTTCCATCAGTGACCTAAACAATCAGCAAGAGCCACACTAGTCGTCCTGGTTCTACAGCTAAAGGTCAACTCATCTCTGAACCATCTGGAATCTAAGGGTCTGCCAACCTCTGAACTCCATGCTTCCCCAAACACTATATGAGATCCATAGGTTTCTTTCTTCAGATTCTGTCTCCTGAGCACAGTTGTCTTTCATTCAGCAAGAAGTACATTCAGTTTTGTTTGTTCCAGCTGTGAATGGTGGCCTCCTTGTTGGTTCCTATGGGGTCTGTGATCTATCCCCTCTCCACTTCTCTAAACTCCTCTCTTTTTCTAGCTCACTGTACTCCTTGCAGTCTTTATTTCTGCCAGGAATTCTGCCTCAGGGCCTTTGCGCTGGCTATTCCAACTGCCTAATACATTCTTCTTTTTTTGGTACCGGGGGATCGGATCGAACATGGGTCCTTGCGCTTGCAAGGCAAGCGACGGAACCACTGAGCTAAATCCCCGGCCCTACATTCTTCTTTCAGATATCCACATAGCTCACTTCCCCATCACCTTCCATGTCTTTATGAGGCCAGCCCTGAACACTTACCTGAAAATTGCAATTTCAGCTCCCTACCCCCACTCTCCCGTAGTTGCTTTTCTTCAATCACACTTATCACCTCTGCCTTACTTTCCTTGTTGCTGGGACAAAATACCTAACACCTGCAAGCTAGAGGAGGAGAGGTTTATTTTGGCTCACAGTTTGTAGAGATTTTAGTACATGGCCAGTTCCAAGGCAGAACAGCTTAGCACAGGGGAATAGTGGAGAGATAGCTGCTTACTTCATGGAGTCCAGGAAGCGCGGCGGGAGAGGGAGACAGAGAGAGAGAGAGAGAGAGAGAGAGAGAGAGAGAGAGAGAGAGAGGCCCTTCCAAGACACAACTGAGTCATCCACCTTTTCTGACCAGACCTCACCTAACAGCAGCAAGTCAGCTGTGATGCCCGCATCTAATCACCTTCCACACACACCCTGCCCTCTGAAAGACTCATGCATATCTCTTTATGCAAACTGCATTTAGTCCATCTCTAAGAGTCCATCTAAAGTTTTTAACAGTTCCAGCAATGCTGAAAAGTGCAAGTCCAAAGTCTCCTCTAAGACTCAAAGGAAACTCTTAGCTGTGAGCCCCTGGAAAAATCAAAGAGAAAGTTAAACATTTCCAACATACAGTGGCACAGGGAAACCCTTCCATTCCAAAAGAATGGGATAGAGGGACGGAAACCAATGGGACAAAAGCAAGAACAAATCCCAGCGGGGCAAACATTCAGTGTGTGGTTTCAGAGCCCTGGGCAAGTTGGGGGAAGATGCTCCGAAAGCTCCAAAGGGCTCGGGCAGCCCCGATCCGATCCGACAGTGTTCGCAGTGGCTGTAGCCCTCAGGGCTTCTCTCTCTCGGGCTGGCTTTGCTCACCCCTGGCAGCCTTCCTCAGACGCCCCACATTCCGGGCTTCTCCAACTATGTGGAGGGTCCGATCACAACTTCAGGCCCTGTCCCCTCAGGCCACACTGGCCGGGCCCCCAGGCCACCTTCTGAAATCTGGGAGGAAGCCTCCCTGACCTCAACAACTCTTTTTTTTTTTTTTGGTACTGGGGATTGAACTCAGGATCTAGTGTTTGCGAGGCAACCAGCGGCACCCCTGAGCTAAATCCCCAGCCCAACAACTCTTGCATTCTGCAGGCTCGAGAAGTAGCCAGGCCCCCTTGGGGCAGGACTCAGAGGCCTCAGAATACCCGAAAGACTGAGCACTGTGAACTGAATCCCTAGGTTGCAGCTCTTGAGCACTTGGGGCACTCTTCTCAAAGCAGAGTCTCACTTTTGCAATTTTGAGCCTGTGAAGGGTGGGGCCTTGGTGATTCCTCACATCCCCTTAAGCTATTTTTCCTATTGTCTAGCTGCAAAGTACTTGGCTGCATTTTTTTTGGGTACTGGGGATTGAACTCTGAGCTTTGGGCTTTTGGAACCACTGAGCTAAATCCCCGGCCCTACTTGGCTTCTTTTAATGCTAATCTTTTCATGACAATTAGCACACACAGTGAGATGCTCAACAGTGCTAGTTAACTTTGGAACCAATTTATACCCCTAGGGTTGGTACAAAACATGTACTATGATCCCAGTCTCAATCTTAAATTGTTTTTTAAATCGATATTTATATTAACACTTGCAGAGAAAATCTGTGTGTCAAAAGTTGACAGTATTTTCTGTAAAACAGAATAAGTGCTCAATGGGTGTTCATTGATTTCGGTTAGAAAATAACTCCTCATTTGGCCTATTTTTCTTTTCTTTTGAGACAGGATCTCACTGTGCAACCCAGGCCAGCCCAATTCAGTTCCCGTCTCACCCTCTCACATGCTTCATTGTGCCCCACCACACCCAGCTTCTTTGGGTTTTTTTTTTTTTTTTGGTACCTTGGGCTGTCCAGGCAGGCGGCAGAACCACTGAGCTAAATCCCTGGCCCCTCTTTGGGTTTATTTTTATTGAACATCTACAGCGTGTCAACTGTTATGCCCAGATCGCGAAGTCCCAAAGACCACCAGGAAGCCGATTCTGATGTAAGCACACGAGGGCCGTTTATTCAAGCTCGAGCAGGGGCTCCCAACCGTCACCGATGCAGTGGATCAGAATTGAGAGCCCCGAATTTCAAATTAGCGGGGTTTTTATTGTGGTTACAGCAAGGTTTGGAGATTTTTCACTTAGCAGTTACATGATTGGTTGGCATTTTGCAAGCATGAAGTGTACATTTCTGATTGGCTAGGCCCATCGGGGGTTTGAGGGGCGGTTACATGTAGGTCTTACAGGGGAAAAGAGGGACAAAGGTTAGTGGTCGACTGTCACGTACTGATGGTCAGCACATTGACAGATTGTTCTATAGATAGTGGACCCGGAACGTTCATTTCCTGGGCAAACAGATGGCTGGGTAATTAACTTAGGAACTTTGCTTCGTTACAGATTGTGTCTTTTGTCCCAGAGCAAGCACATTTTAACCATTAATTTGTGAGGACAATAGAGACTAGGGGAATAGTGGATTTTAGCAAAATGGAGTCGCTTTGGTCTCACACAACCAGGACTGGGGAGATAGTGGGGAACAAAACCTTGTACACTCCTTGAGCTTGTTTCTTGATGATTTCTTATGGTGGTTTCTTCTATGGCAGTTGTCTAAATCTGCTTTGCACCACTATAACAGAATATCCGAGGCTGGGTAATTTATAATAAATAGAAATGTATTGGCTCATGGTTCCAGAGGCTAGGATGTCCAATCTCGAGGGAGATCTGGTCCATGTGTTGAGAGCCTTCTTGCTGTGCCACCTCATGCTGGAAGATGAAGGGAGAGGGGGAGAGAGAAGAGGCCAAACTCACTTTTATAGCAAGTTCACTCCCAAGATAACCACCCCTCCAGCAGGGACAAGCCCCCCATGCCTGTTCACCTCTGAAAGATCTCACCTGTCTCAGCACCTGAATGGTGGGTGATAGGTCTCCCACTACCTCAGCAGCTATTACGTACAGTAGCTGCCCTCTTCCTATGGTGCCTTGCCCCCGCCCCTGTGTGACGTCATGCCAAGATGGCTGCTCCCACCAAAGAACAAACCCTTCTTTCCAGCATGTGCCTGTTCCTGCCTAGAGAGTAACCTAATACTCGCTCACCTCCTACCACCTAGTGACGTCACCGGCTCCTCCATTCCCTAGTCACTGCCTCACTCAACCCCGCCTCAGCCCCTACAAATCCCACCCCAGTCTCTATAAAAGACTCTCCCTGCCCAGCCATATTGCTTTTGTCTCTCCTTTGTTCAGACACAGCCCGGCAGATCTATTCCCCTAATAAAGGCTTGTTGTGGCCTGGTCTGGTCTTGGTCTTCGGCCTTTTACCTGACAGTGGGGAGGGAACACTCAAACTACAACACTCTAGTAATGGAGATGGAGAGATCTCCAGTAATCCATTTGAGGGATAGAACATTTTGGAGCAAAAGGAAATAGTGAAAAATTAAGGCTTATTCTTGGGTGATCCACGTGGGCAATTTGAGTGGATGGTGGAGTAAGATATTTGGTTTAAGTTCCTGGTGCTACCAACCACTCAATGAGTGATGCTGGGGCACAGGGTACTCATCTCTGCCTGCTTCAGCATCTTTATCTGCAGATTGCTGACCTTCCTCCTCTACTTTGTAGATAACAATCTAACTCTTAGGGTTGGCAGGAGGCAGTATGAAGAGCTTCGAGGGGTGCCTGGCACATTGCAAACCAGCCCGAGTTGTGAGCCATGATTACTGTTGTGGTTGTGAATGTTGTTAACAATTACTGAGCCAGGGATGATTGAAAAAGAAATCAAGACTGCGAATAACTGTGATTACTTGAGATGTGTAGGAGTTATTAATATTTCTCTCCTGCAGCGGAATCATCCCATCTATTAGAGGTTGTCCTAGCTGAACCAGTTATGGGAGTAATTTATATGCCATGTGGCAATTAGCATGTGGATCAGAGGTGCCTCGGGGAAGGAATAAAAGGCAGTAAATTTTAATAAGGACTCTGGGGACCAACCCTAGAAGGGAGGGGCAGTGAAGCAGGAGGAGCCAGGAGAGGAGGAGCTGCGGCAGGCAGTGGAGGGGAGCGCATTGAGGCCACAGGTCTCCCCCCATCTCTGGAACCAGGACTGCTCCTGAGGGTGTTTAGTGATTCCACACTGACAGTGCCATGTTCTCCAAATGTCACTCAAAATAAAAAGGATGCACTGCTGTAAAACACATGGATGGAATTCCACAGAGCTCCAACTTCCCTCACGATGGGGACTTTAATATGTTTTTCAATACCAAGTTCTTTTTTTTTTTTTTTGGTACCAGGGATGGAACTCGGGACCTTGTGCTTGCGAGGCAGGTGGAGGAACCACTGAGCTAAATCCCTGGCCCAATACCAAGTTCTTATTTATTTATTTTGGTATTTTTTGAGACAGGGTCTTGCTATGCAGTTCAGGCTGGGCGTGAACTTGTGGTCCTCCTGCCTCAGCCTCCTGAGTGCTGGAATTACAGGTGTGTGCACCACCACTCCTGGCCATATCTATCTTCTTGATCATGGCACCCCTGTGCCTGGAGCAGTGCCTGACCCTAAGTTGAATGAAGATTTACTAAATGAATGCATTACTGAATGAGTGACCCCCCACACACACACTTCAACCAGTACCTGGGCCAACGTGGCCAGCTCTGTGCCTGTCATTGGCCTCTGTCCCCAGGACCCTTGCACTTCCTCTGCCTCAAAGTCAGAGCACCTTCCACTGATGGGTCTCAATAAGAACCCAGGCCAGGGGGAAAAGCCTAAGCACACACTGAATTCACACCAGGGACTTTTCCGAGTCTAGAGAGAAGTTATGTGGCAGGCGTGACCTCGCTTGGAGGAGTCCCTGGGTCGCACACCTGCCCTCCAGAGTTGCCCAACCCCTTCCCTGATCCCCAAAACAGGGTTCTCCTGGCTGCAAAGCCTCCTCCCACCTCTGTATGATCTTAGTGATTCCTCTGTGGAATGGCTAGGGAGCTCTGGAGACCATCTGGCTTGCAGGGCACCAGTTCCGACCAGGCCAGTGAGGAACTGGCCTGCTGAGGAGGCAGCAACACATACAAGGGTGGGGGACAAAGGACTTTAGATACCTTAAGCTCCTCAGCCCCACTAGGCTTCTTCTCACTTTTTGTTACCTTCCTGACTCCTGAAAACAGACTCAGGAGCACAGGCCTATAATCCCAGCACTCAGGAGGCTGAGGCAGGAAGATCACTCAGTGTAAGGCCTGCCTAGGCTACATAGTGAGTTGAAGGCCAGCCTGGACTCTATGGCAAGATCCTATTTTGTTTTGAGACAGGGTCTTGCTTTGTAGTTCAGGCTGGCTTTGAACTCACTATACAGCCTAGGCTGGCCTCGAACTCGAGATGCCGCTCCTGCCTCAGTCTCTGGAGGGCTGGAATGACAGGCGTGCGCCACCACGCCTGGCAAGATCCTGTTTCATAGGAAAAAAAACCCAAATAAAAAAAAGCAAAACAGGCTTGAGTTTTGGCCATGAATCTCCAGTCTGTCCCAAGAATCACACACACATACACACACAAGCACGCACGCATGCACACGCACACGCACACGCACACGTACACGCCCAGCCCCCTCCCCAGCAGAGAAACCGTAGGGATGCCGTTGCCTTCCAAACCCAGTTCAGGCTTAGATCCCTGAACAATGTGTCTTCTGCCCCAGCCGCCTGCCTTTTTCCTGCTGGGTCCTCCTGGTTTCCACCTGTTATCTTTCGTGCACAGCATCACCAAGGCGAAGGGCCTGCTACTGTCATCATTCAGGACGGGCGTCACCCCTGTGCAGTTTGTCCCCCAGAGTCAAGTGCCAGAGGTTTGGGTCCCTGCAGTGCAGTCTGCAGGTGTGGGGACCTTTAACGGTGGGGGAAAGTGGGAGGGGCCAGGTCTGGGCGGAGCCAACAAGTCCCGCGGGATTGGGTTCTCATCGGGAGAGCAGGCTGGGGGGGGGGGGGGAGTGGAGTGGGGCCGCCTTCTTTGCTTCCTGTCTGGTCCTGCTGTTTCCTTTGCTCAGGCTCCTGGGTCGGCTACGGAGTGGCCCTGGGGCCCTCGCTTTGAATCTCCCAAACCGTGAGTAAATAAAGAGCCTTTCTTTCTAAAGTTCCCAGCCTCGGGTATTTCATCCTAGTAACACAAAATTGACTGAGCCGTCGCTTCAGGGAAGCAAACCTTTCCCCGACTCGAGCAGGACGGTTGCATTGGAGCAAGCCGCCACCTCGTAGATCAGGCTCCAGGCCCTGCAAGGCCCGCAACTGCTTCTCTGGACACAGCCACAGGTCCATCCTTGACCCGGACTAGGCCGGACCCTTTCCCCGGATTTGTCAACTTGACTCCAGGAAGGGAAAGCGCCAGCTCTGTTGTCAGAGCTGAGTGGAGCCAGCCTGGGGGCAGCTGCCCGACTTGCCACCTCCCCTGTGAAGAGAGCTAGCACAACGGAGAAACAGAGTGGAGAAACGGAGGCTCTGTAGTGCTCACGTCTGGTTTTCTATTTTGCCGAAGCCAGTACTAGACTTGGTTTTTGTCACTTGCAGTCTTGAGTAACATGACTCTTTGTGGCCCGTGTGGAATACAGTTCCAGATATGATGATCACACAGGGAAGTTAATTTTCTCCACTGTAATGCTAGCGACTTTCTCCTTTCATTTGCATTAATATAAAACCACCTCTTAGATAACATGCAGTGCAAGCAAAATAAGTAGAAAGCTGTAATTAGGGAGTCACCACCAGTCTTCCAGAGAGAATTTAAGTAGAAGTATACGAGTTCACAAAAGGGAGATATGTCTGCACTGAACTTCCCATTTTTAGAGTTTTTAGCTGAAAAATGCCTTTCCACATTTTATGACACTAGAATAGAACTCTTACAGAAATGACTTAATCATTTGGGAAACTATCAGGTAGAGTCCCTATGTTAGACCTTATGCTAAATTTGTTCCAGATACCATGTAGTTGGCCCTCGTCTCTGACTACTGTCCTGACTGTCCCCAACAAGTGAAATAGGAGTTCATTTGTCCTAAGATCACTTGTACGATCTTAGCAGTGTAATATGGCAGCCACTTACAAACTAATGCTGTGTCAGTACTGAGTTGAGAGAGGAGACAATATCGAATATTGAACACACCTGTCTGTCCAGAACACCTTTTCCCCTTTTTTCAAGTGACACCATTCTCCTCCTTGAGTGATATGAATGTTGTCATAATCAAAATAGAGTCGCTTATGTCAGCCCTAACCAAAACAATGAATAAATAAAACCAGGAGGCTGTAAAAGGAAAGTTCCCACCAATGATTGCCTGGTGACACAAGATTCTGCCAGAATCCCAGGCTTGCACAAAGGCGGCCACAGCCTTTCACAGAAAATCCTTCTATAAGGACATTTGCCAGCAACTGTGTGTTCAGCCTCAGACTGACATCACCTTCATTATTATTATTATTATTATTAATTTTTGGTACCGGGTATCGAACTCGGACCTTGCCCTTGCAAAGCAGGCCACGGAACCACTGAGCTAAATCCCTGGCCCCATCACCTTCATTATTAATCATTGTGGGGAAGGTTTATCCTTTCAGGTTATCTTATGTTATGTTATTTTGTCTTTAAACACTCCTTTTGCCTCTGCCTCTTTGAATATACCCACAGTTAACTATAGTACGTGGATTCCCTCTGCAATAATATTCCTGAATAAATGGAATGATCCATTAAAAAATCTTTCTGATGTGAGATGACAGGGGCAGTTGCTTTCCCCTAATCCAGCCACAGTTCTAGCAGACGTGGCCAGTTATATTGTGAGTACTTGACCTGAGCTGCAGCATTCACAGCACCTCACTTCCCGGGGCACAGTTAGGAGGAGGGCACAGGTGACCCACACCAGGCCCAACGGTTTCCTTCCATGGGGCTTAAAGTCTAGATCGAAGGGAAGGGCAGCAAACAATTTCCTTTCTTCCTAGGTGGCTGTTCTAATCTGAGAAAGTTCACTTGAGATTCAGGCAGCCTGAAAAAGAGAGAGCCATGGGGAGGTCTCACATGTCCTTAATGTCTCAGTGGCGTGGAGAGCCATGCTGGAAAGTCCCACTCCCTTATATGCAATATCACGCAAAGCAGGCAAGTCACCAACTGTATATAAAGGTTATATAACACAGGTTACTTGCTGACCTGTCTGCTGCGCGTGTGCACTTTACATGACATATGCAAACTCATTAACAAGCGGAAGGCCTAAGTGGGAAGTGTGAGCCTGGCCATCGTGAGCACTCTGACCGCATGGTGGAGAAGCAAAGATGTGACCCAAAATTCTCAACTGGCAACTCCTTTGATGTGTACTTGTCCACATAGAAAAGCAGAGAGAGCCCGGTGTGATGGCCTACGCCTGTAATCCCAGCCCTCTGGAGGCTGAGGCAGGAGGATTGCCAAGAGTTTGAGGCCATCCTGGGCTACATGGTGAGTTTAAGGCCAGAATGAACTACATAGTGAGACCCTGTCTCACCAAAAAAAAAAAAAAGAGAGAGAGAGAAAGACAGGTTCGTCGGAAATCCTTGAGCTTCTGTAGTTGCTGCTTCCTGGAGGCTGAATCGCTGAACCTCAGTTCTGAGAACCACTCCCATATCCAGTCAGCCACTCCCATCTTTGTTTCCCCCTTCCAGTTGTCCGAACTCAAGATTCTGTTGCTGGCCACTAGAGGTCCAGTCCTGGGGTCTGCTTCAGATTTGCCTGAGGAGCATTTAGAAGACTCAAATGAAAAGCAGAGGACTTAGGAACAAACTTTTAAAAACCCATAGTTACCAAGAGGACAGCGAAACAGAGAGAAAGAGAGAAGAGTTTTCAGTGAGAGTGGATTTTCCATTCCTGTAATAAGAGCTGTGGCCCCTCTGAGCTAGGCAACATCTCCTTTTTCCAGGCAAAGACACGGCTCAGTAAACACACAGCTTGGAAGTGACAGATTTTAAACTCAGATCTGTCTGATTTCAAAGTATAATCCTCATTTTACCAGAGCTAGAGTATGTGCCTAGCATGAAAGGGACACATTGCTGTAACCCAGCATTTTTTTCAGGAAAATACTTTAAGTGGAACTGTTGGAACTGGACATCCCTGCCTCCTGTCTTCCATTCGTGGTTACTCAGTACACATGCATTCATTCTGAGCTGTCTATAGGAATCAGAGCAAGATCGGTCAACTCGGTCATTCCTGGTCCTCTGAGAGGAGGAGGCTGCTCGGCCCTCAGGAGCAGGTCTGAAGAAAGGAAGGGCCTGTCAGGAACACATACACCCTTAGACTGCAAAAGGGAAGGGCACATAAAAAGAATTAAGATGTGTTCTGTACATGAACTAATTCATCATGGGGAACGTCACCATTATGGACTGCAAACGTGACTAATAAAAATTAAATGAAGTTGGGAGTCAGCACAGCAATTTTCAGGCCACTTCTGCAGCAAAAGCCTTTCCTTGGATCTGCCCCTTGGGGAACATTCCAGCCCTTAGCTCCTCCCAATTCTACAGCTGCGAAAGAGGTTGTTACCCACCCACACACCCTGCTCCTGCCTGCCAACTCGCTTTCCTTTGTCTCCTTTTGGCTTTTCTACATTCACAGACCAGAACATCAGTCTTACCTACAGTGGAGTTTGGCTGTGGGACAGACAGGTCCCAGCAGGATGTAGAAGGTGAGAAGAGAGAAGTAGGAGCCAAGCATGGTGGTGCACACCTGTAATTCCAGTACTGTGGGAGGCTGAGGCAGGAGGATCACAACTGAAGCCAGCCTGGGCATTTAGTGAGACCCTGTCTCAAAAAAGGTTGAGGGTGTAGCTGGGTGTGAGGCTGTGGGTTGCATTTCAAGTATCACAAAACAAAAATGCTCCCAAAACACTTGCTGCAACACAAAAACGGCTGTAAGCATGTAAAGGAATAAGAGTGGCTGTGTCCCAATAAAACTTTATTAAGCCGGGTGTGGTGGGACGCACCTGTAGTCCTAGCTACTGGGGAGGCTGAGGCAGAAGACCATTTGAGTCCAGGAGTTCAAGGCTAACCCTGCGCAACATAGTGAGATCTGTCTCTTAAAAACAAAACAAAAAGGGCTGGGGATTTAGCGCAGTGGTTTCGTCTCTTGCTACGCAAGTGCATGGACCCGAGTTTGATCCCTGGTAGCAAAAAAAAGAAAAACAAAAATATTTTATTTACAAAAAATGACAGTGGGCCACATTTGGCCCCCAGACTAATTTACTGATCCCTATTCCAAAGGAGTGGATGGGCCAGAGGAGGCTGCGGGCACACACAGAAATGTTATGGTTATGTGTCACAGTGATGGGACGGGACCCTCAAGATGGGACCCTCAAGAATGGGCTCAGGGGCCAGGGATTTAGCTCAGTAGTGCCATGCCTGCCTCACAAGCACAATGTCCTGAGTTCGATCCCCAGTACCACCAAAAGAAAAGGAAGTGCCTATCTTCATCCTCTAACATGAACATAATCTATGAATTGCACTCTCGATCCCTGCCTGGTACCAAAAGAAAAAGATTGGGTTCAGGCCCTGAGGAAAGAGATCCAGTCAGCCACTTTCCCCCTTCCTCCCTGGGAGCACACAGCAAGAAGTGGCCACCTATGAATCAGGAAATAGGCCCTTCTCACAGGATGCCGAATCTGCCACACCCTGATCTTGGGCTTCCTAGCCCCTAGAACAGTAAGAAGGAAGCTTCTCTTAGGTATAAGCCCCACTGTTTATGGTGCTCTGTTATCACAGCCCAAACCCACAAAGACACTAACAGACTCCTGAATGCTGAGCCCATGAAACCTACTCCTGTCCTGGCTGTAGGGACGTTAGTCCCTTTTCTTCTGGTGCCCTACATGAGCAGGAGTGGTTCTAACATACATGCAGCATCTTAGTTACTTTCTCAGTGCTGGGACAAAATACCTGACAGCCACAAGATAAAGGAGGAAAGGCTTATTTTGCTTCACAGTTTGGAAAGGGTTCAGTCCATAGTTGGTTGGCTCCAATGCAGGGCAGCATGGCAAGGGGGACTGTTGCTCCCTGGCATGGCAGCAGAAAGCAGAGAGAGATCCAGGGAGGAAGGAAGAAGATAGACCCTTCCGCCCACATCCCCAGTGACCCCTCCTCCAACCAGGCTTCACCTCCCAACATGACACTGAGCTATAAACCCATCAGTGGCCTCATCCACTGGTGAGTATCACATCCCCATGATCCAGTCACCTCTCCAAAGCCCCATCTATGAGCACGTGAGGCTTTGGGAGACATTGAAATATAAACCCTAACAGTACAGCGTTACCTTGAGAAGTGAATGAATGAGGAATAAACTAAAGAACAGGCCCTTTGTTTACTTGAACTCTTCACAATGCTATGCAAGATTGGGTTGTGCATTGTCCTAGGTGGTTCTGTTTCTTACCCAGGTGACAGGTCTCCCCCACTACATTCTACATCCCTCCGGGCCAGGACTGACATTTCCTTTGTGTCCTCAACACCAGTATCTAGGATGGTGTTGGAAAGTTGGCGACACTGTGCTTCAGTTTCTTCATGAGGAAAATGAATGTAATAATAAATGTAGTTGTGGGCTTGTAGTCGTAATGTGTTTAGAGCAATGCTTACACCAAATAAGCCTATGTAAGTGTTACTTATTACTTAGTTTACATTCTCATTTATTTGAAAGGCTTCCTAGTAACCTTTAAGTATACAGTAAGTGACTTTCTGCCCTGCATTTGATCAGCCACCACAGCAAGCTTTCACTGGGTTTATACTCAACCCCAAGTCACCCTCTGTCACCTCCTGGTAGCCAGAGTGCATGCTGGGAGCCATGTTTATGCAAAGTGACCTTGATCCAGGTGATTCCAGCCTGACCAAGCCTAGCGCTTCAGGAAGACCAGAAGTCTTGGTAGTGGGAGACCCACATGGGAGATCCTGGAGGCCATGGAGTAAAGGGATCCAGGCTGGTGTTGGAAAAAAATCAAAAACACAGCTGTAGAGAAAAGCAGAGCCCAAAGCCAGAGAACTTCAGATTCCTGGTCCCAGTTGTCTCAAGATGCTTTAGCGCCTACATTTAAGAAAAACAAAACAAAAAAATAGACAACAGCTTTATTGAGGTAACTCTCATACCATAGAATTCATCCATTTAAAGTGTGCAGTTAAGTTTTAGCATGTTTAACATGTTTGCCCCCAGCAGTATCAGTGACAACATTTTCAACCTCTCTGAAAGGAACTTAGTACCTCTTGGCAGGAAACCCTCATCCGCCCCTGCTACAGTTGGTATCTAGAATGTCCCCCAAAGGCTCGTGGATGATTGTTTTCATCCAAGTGGGCTGAAACCTCTGAATGCATAAGCCAAAAGAAATCTTTTAAATAATTTCTCTCAGGGATTTTGTTATAGTAACAGAAAACACATCTCCCTACCCAAGCCTAAGGCAACCATTGATGTACTTCTTGTCTTTATGGATTTGGCTACTCTGACGTTTCATATATGGAATCAAATAACATGTAGTCTTTTGGGACTGGCTTCTTTCACGTAGCATATTGGTGAAGGTAGTTTTTCTTTGGTACCAGGGATCGAACTCAGGACCTGCCGCTTTCAAGGCATGCGGTTGAACCACTGAGCTAAATCCCTGGCCCTGCATGTAGCATGTTTTCGGCATGCACTGTTGTAGCGTGGATCAGTGCTCATTATTTTTATTGCTGAATAATATTCCACTGTATGGATATACCAGATTTTGTTGACAGACACTGATCTGCATATTCTTTTGATTTATATGAATAATGCTACCACAAACATTAATGTACAAGTTCTTTCATGGGCACATGTTTTATGTGGACATATATTGACTCATTTCTCTTGAGTATATAATTAGGAACAGAATGGCTAGGTCTTACGATAACTTTTTTTTTGTACTGGGGATCGAACTCGGGACCTTGCGCTTGCGAGGCACGCAGCAACACCACTGAACTAAATCCCGGGCCCTTCTTATGATAACTCTTATGTTTAACGTTTCAAAGAACTCAAAGCAATTTTACATTCCCACCAGCAGTGTGAGGGTTCCAATTTCTCAACATCCCTGACTACACTTGTTACTGCCTGTGTTCTTTATTATAACCGTAATAGTGGGTAAAAAGTAGTACCTCACTGTGGGCTTAATTTGCATGTCCCTTATGGCTAATGGTGTCACGCTGATGGGCCACCTGTGTGTATTCTGTTGAGAAATGTCTATTCAGAGACTTTGCAAGATTTTTATGAGATTGAGGCCAGAATAGATATGCAGTGAGGTAAGACTTAGAAGAAGAAACCCTGCCTTGGAGACTTGGCTTCCCACCTTCTTGTTGTATGACCCCTGGGTTTCTTAAAACTCTGAGCTTGTTTCCCTGTCTTTTAAATTGGGAAAATAATATCTACTAATAAGGTTATTGTGTGACTGAAATGAGAAAACATGCATGTACAGTGGACTGTTGACTTATGAACTTAACTCGTTCCGCAAGGGCTGGTTGTAATTCAAGTTGGTCAGGCTCCTCTCCACAGCCTTCAAAGTCTCTTCTGTACACCGGCAGATCTCAGTGTCCTTAGAGGGACACTGGCCCAGGATTTCTCAGTGAACCCCACACAGGAAAGGATGTGTTGTCCTGTTCCTTCCAGAACTCTTTAAGGGTTAAATCTGTATCTGAGACCATCTAGAAGCACAAGCGGCCAGGATTCGGGTCATAACTTAAGACTTTGGTTATAAGTTAAAACAAATTCTAGGGCTGGGGATTTAGCTCAGTGGTTCCACTACCTCCCTTGCAAGCACAAGGTCCCAAGTTCGATCCCCGGTACCAAAAAACCCCACTAAAATTCTGATCGTAACCCAAGTAGTTCATGTCAGGCCAGTCATAACTCGAGGTTCCACTGTAGTATTTATCCTGGAACACAGTAAACACAGTAAGTGGGAGCTCTTATCATTTTGTTGTTTTTTTGAGATAAGGTCTCCCTATGTAGCCCAGGCTGGCCTCAAACTCAGTGATCCTCCTGCCTCAGCCCCCTCAGTGCTGAGATTACAGGCGTGCGCCATGACACCCTGCTTTATTTGTAAAGGTGGTAACACAGTGTGAACTGTTTATAGGAAGGCTGATCTGGCCCCGTAATACTGAAGGGATCAGAGAGAGTGCAGGGGAGGACTGCGCCTCTGCCGGCCAGGACACCACTCTCCTGAGCTGGGGGGTGGCAGCTTTGTACCCTCCCAACCTGGGCACAGTTGCCCAGGACAGCCCCAGGGCCAGTGCCCACTTAGAGCCTCTGGGCCGGGGCACACCTCTTCTCATGAACTCTCCCACCCCAGGGAGCTTGGGGAACCCTTGCCCGGCACAGCCCGGGGTAGGGAAGCTTGGGCTCCAGCCCTCTTCATTCAGCCCTACAAATGGAAGCATCAAGATCCAGCAGCAGCAGCAGCAGCAGCAGCAGCAGCATGGCTTCCTTTTCCCCTTGCTTTCCGGATGGGTGATTTTGGGTTAGGTTTCTGGCTTAGAGATTTATTCGTCTGGGGCCATTTTAAAATCTAAACTAGACAGGATTGAACAGGCAGCACTTGGATTCCAGAGAACCCCCAGGACACAGGAACAGAGCAGAGCTGATAGAGGCAGTTCAGTAAGTGACACTTTGCTCACGAATGAAGGCTGGAGATGACTCTGCATATAAATCTGAGACCACAAAACCGGACTCCTCAGGCTTGCTACCAGGAAAGACTGAAACGTACGTTTTGGGGGAAGAATTGATTTAGAAGTTCAGAGTTCTGCCCTCTTGATCATTGAGTCATTGCATGCTTGTTTTGTTTCTTGGTATGGTACAGAATTCTCATTAAATTGGGCTTCAGACGAAAGCTTGTGCTGAGTTCTCTGTAGGCAGTGTTCCTGGTGAGCTGCCCCTCCTCACAAGTGAGAGCTCAGGTAAGTCCCTTGCTCCCAGCTGAAAATGTTTAGGGCAGGTTTAGTGATGCTAAGTAGAAAATGAAGAACAGCCTCAAGTCGAAGATAAGACCCTGACCTTCCACTGAGGAGCCAGGGCATGCAGCTGGCTCCCAGGTTGAAGGAATGGAGATGTGTTAGTTAGCATGGGGGTGGTTTTATTTTTTTCCATTGCGCATCGGCTCAGCTGTTGTCACACCCATGTGGCCACTGTGCAGAAACTGGCCAAGAATCCCATGAGGTGGAAACTTTCCACGTCCTTAGGGCATAGATTAAATGGGACTAGGAAATAAATGAGGCAAGAACTGTCTCGCCCAGCTCAGGATTCTCCAGTTCAGATCTTCTCCATTCTGCCCAGAGGGCAGCCAGCTGGCCCTGGGAGTTAGTGCCCCTGGGGAAGCCAAGACAAGGCCTGGGGACAAACCAACCAGCAGGCAAGGGAGAGCCAGAGCTCACCACAGATGGGGTCCAGCACAGGAGGTGGGTAGTGACTACTGCAGGGGGCAGATGGAAACAGGAGGGATATGGTGTTAGGGTTCTCCCGAGCAACAGAGACAGTGGGAGAGAGACAGATGCACTAAGGAGAATTATCATGGGAATTGCCTCATATGCTTCTGTCAGCCAAGATGTCCCATAGTGTGCCATCAGCAGGTTGGAGAGCCAGGAAAACAGATGGTGTAATTCAGTCAAAGGCCCAAGAACCAGGTGCCCAAAGCCCAGGAGTAATAGAAGGTGGATGTCTTAGGTCAGGAGGAGAGCAAGAATTCCCCATCTCCTGCGCCTGCTGTCCTGTTCAGAGCCTTGATGGTGGATGTTGGTCTCTCACTTGGTTTGCTGATGCAAATGCTCATCCCTCACAGAGGCGTCCTCACAGACATGCCAGAAACAGTGCTTTACCAGCTGGTGGGGCATCTCCTAGGCCACTCATGTTGACAAATAAGATTAAGTGTCACGCCCGAATGAGGTGGTGCACGCCTGTAGTCCCTGCACTTGGGAGACTGAGGCAGGAGGATCGCTGTGAGTTTGATACCAGCCTGGGCTACGTAGTGAGTTCAAGGCCAGACTGACCTGGTCACCTTTACTGTACTTCCATCTGATTACAGGCTCATAAATACTGCATGCACTGTCTCATAAATGAGATTAAGATCGGAGTGAATCTGGGAGGAACATGGGCGCTAGGAGCCGGTGAGATGACTCAGCACCCTGTCCATCATCCCTGTCGACCACACCTACCGATTCAGAGGGCAGCACCTAAAGCTGAGGTCTGGCCTGAGTTACGGCCCCTTTGTTGCTGAGACTGCTCTTGTGTGTTTGACCTGTGTGCAGTGCTTTCCTGTTGCCCCGGTACCTTTCTTCCTCTGTTACACCTTTGTTGGCACTGACTGGCCGTGCGCACAACCTCCAGTGACCGTCAATAAACGTTGCTGCTCACTACTTAATACTGGGTGTATGCTTGGCAGTGCTTTCCTCCTCATATACAAGGTCTTGGACTTTTGCTGGGCCATTCAGCTGTACCACTTCTCAGTTTTTCCCGAAAGTTGGTGTCTGATCTAAATACTTGATTAAGGTTTTGGCAAAGCCTTTTCAGAGGTATCTCCACCAGAAAGCAATTAGCCTTTTCCTTCCTTTTTCAGGTATTTGGAGTCATTGTTGATCAAGACTTAGCTTTACCAGCTCATTAAAAGCGTTTTAGCTGGGTGTGGTGGCATGTGCTTATAAATCCCAGCACTAGGGAGGCTGAGGCAGGAGGATCTGTGTGCATTTGAAGCCAGCCTGAATTACAAAGCAATACCTTGTCTCAGAAAAACAAACAACAAAAAAAGTGGTATTTTATCATTCCTTTTAATATTTGGAACATTATAAAAAGGAACTGCCCACATCAGCTATTTGGTTACCCTGGAGTGTAGTTTGCATAGAACAGGTAACTATAGTTAATGTTTTGGATTTCTTTTATTTACTAGTTATTGAAATAATGAGCTGGTTCTCTAGCATCCAGTGGTACCCTGAGGAGTTGTTATTTTGATTTTAGTTATTTTCAGGTGGTTATGCTGGAAACTGGATTCACAGTTAACTTCTTTTTCCTTTTCTTTCTTTTTTTTTTTGATACTGGGGATCGAACTCAGGACCCTGTGCTTGCCAGGAAGGCACTGTTTTTTCTTATTTTGTTTATTTTATTTTTAAGACAGGGTTCTCAGTGTGCAGTTCAGGCTGGCCTTGAATTCACTATGTAGCTGATTAGTCCCAGTGATCCTCCTGCCTCAGCCTCCCTGGAGCTGGGATTACAGTCCAGTCCCACCACACACAGCTTTTTTCCTTATTTTTTCATTTTGCATTCAGTATTAGATATTGTTTTGATGAGTTGTTTTTATAATTATAGAAAATATTGGTTCCAAAGTGAAATCTACAAGACAAGGAAATTATGCAGAGGTTAAGTTTCTATTTCTGTCCTTTCCATTGTTTTCTTCTTTTTCTGATACAAGTAGTTTTTAATGATGTATCTTTCCATGGTTCTCTTTTTATATAAAAATTGTCCTTTATGCCCACTTCTCTTCATTTTTACACAAGAAAAGTAGATTAAATGTGTGGCACGCTGAGGTGTTGATTTCACGCTGGTGATGATAGGCAGCAGATGTGCAATCTGCTTTCGAGTCACCGTCCCACCCTGGCAAAAGCCCATCCCCAGGCTGGGCCCCCTTGAGCCGGTTAAAGCGATCGCAGTGGAGCTGTAGGGTTTGAGGCCCCCTCGCTTCTCAGGTGAGGTGGGGGAGAGCCCTAGGTGGGCCGCTAGCTGTTTGGCTCCTAACCGCGGCACCTTGGGGCCAGCATTTCTGGATTGTTCCGGACTCCAAACCTGGTGCAGTCTGGGGAGCAGAGGGGGAGAGGCGGGCGGGGATTCGGGGAGGGCGGGGCCTGAGATGGACAGCAGCTGAGGCAGGCAGGCAGGCAGGCAGGCAGGGCGCTGGGTCCTGCGGCCAGATTCAGGGGCGGACCAGCCCGTGCAGCCCCACCTCCCTCAGGGCCCCAAGCCTGCCAGAATGCCAAGGAGGCGAGGGCGGGAAGGGAAAGAGGACAAGAGGGAGACCAGTCCGGAGCACACTTCCCTCCTCCACGATTTCCGGCTGCGCCTCAGTGACCGGGTATCTCATCTTCTGGAGTCAGTCCTCTGGTTCCTAAGTCCGATTATTTACATTAGTTGGGAGTTTGGTTAGGAAACGAGACTGATTGGATCCCAGGTGATGGGTCGAGTACTGACTCCTGACTGCCAAAGACAAAGTGGGTGACATTCTCTCAAAGCAGAATCAGAGCAGCCATCAGAACAGGCTGCTTGGCACAGATCCCTGGTGTTGGCTAATTCTTCCTTCCTAGAAGTGGAAAGATAAGCTGGCTGAATGATCATTTCATGGGAGGGAGCAGAAAAGTTCTGGTCACGTGAACGAAAGGCTACGCCAAATCAGGACAATAAGGAGTAGTGGCCTTGATCATCTCCAAGGGGAGTTGACAGACCCTGAGCCCCCTGAGCGATGAGGCAGGGAGTCCCCTTGAGGACCAGGGCATCTTGGTCACCAGCCTGTGGCAGTACTGGGAGACAGTGAGTGCTTGTCAGGGGCTGCCCTTGGAGGGGTGTGGGGCCGACCCCTTCCTTCCTCTCTGCTTCTGGGGTACACAGCAAGGCCCTGTCTCAAAACAAAACAAAACAAAGCAAAACAAAAAGCAGGTATCCACTGCTATTACAGATAAGTAAACAGAATCTTTCTAAGACCCTGGCTCTCAGACTCTTGATAATTTATCTAACATGCCTCTCTAACATGCATTCTTCCCTATAGGTGTGGAAATCTGACCTACTCCTCACATTTGAGATAAAAGTAAAGTTTCTCCCATCAAACAGGCAGCTTGATGGACACTAACTTTCTCACTGTTTTGTGACAAGTTTTTCTTTCCTCAACCCAGCCAGCCAGCCACAGCACCTCAGGGCAGTTGGAGAGCACATGGTCCCCAGCAGGAAGGGGCTGCAGCGCCTTCCAGCTGGAAGAAGCTGTAGAAAAGAGACCACCATTCCTTCAGCACCCTATAAAGATTTATGCGATTTGTGTCTCAGGGAATGAGATAAGAGGCAGGGTGTGGCAAAGCTGGCTGGGAAAATAAACAGGACCTGTTAGTTACAAAATCCCAAGGTAGAGCCACATAATTCCCAGGACCCCATATGTGGAACTTCTCATTCGTTCCCATGCCATGTGGACGGCAAATAGACACAGACACCACAAGGAGCCCACTATTGTGACTCTTCGTAGCCCACATGTCTTCTAGACCAGGCTGTACTTCTATTTTTGCTTTTTCTCTCTTGTTTGGGTCAAGTTCACTCTGCAAAGCCAGTTTTTCTCATATCCCTCCACCCTGCACTTTTCAGATAAACTTTTGGCACCATTAAAAGGAAAAAAATCCCCATGTCTGGGCAGAATACTAAACCAAAAGCAATACAGCATACCTGGACAGGTTGCAAAGATTAGGGCCACCATCAAGGACCTAAAATACGAGTAGTGATTCCCCTGTCTCCCCACTGAGCTGTGTTTAGTCTGTGCAGAAGACGGGTGGATCTTGAACAACAGTGGGTTATGATAGCCAAATTAAATAAAATGTAGGGCCAGGGATTTAGCTCAGTGGCAGCGTGCCTTTCCCGCAACCCCAGGGTCCTGAGTTAGGTACCAAAAATAAATAAATAAATGTATTTGATTTAATTGCTTTTCATTCACTTGAAAAGTATATTTCCCTTGTGTTAAAAAGTAGCCCCATTTGGGGGATGGAAAAAAGAAAAACATAGTAGTCTGAAATTCTTTTCTATGGTTCCTGGCCACGATGTGCTACCTTACTGCAGGCCAAAGCAGCAGGGCCAACTGGTCCTGGACTGAAACCTCTGCAACATACCTGATCCCAGAGAGGCGCATTGATTCCTTGACATCCTTACACGGAATTTTCCATGCGGCCTTGAGAAAGACTGAAGCAGCTCTGTACATGCTGATAGGGGAGGATTCACACACTGTATTGATGACTACAATGTCTTTTTTTTTTTTTGGTACCAGGGATCAAACTCAGGACCTTGTGCTTGCAAGGCAGGCACTGGAACCACTGAGCTAAATCCCCGGCTCTGATGACTACAATGTCTTGCCCAAGGCAGTGTCCCCCACGAGTCCGGCCAGAGGCCCAGAGCCCACGGCAGGGTCCCATGCAAGTCCACATTGAGCATCTGCACCGGGAAGGCCCGAAGGCCACTGGTGGAAGCCAGAAATCCTGTGGCACCAGCCTGAGGGGGCTCAAGGCGAAGAGCAGAGCTCCCCCGACAAGAACAGCAGCCATCCCCGGCGACAGGGGGGACTCGAGCTCCTCCTCTGACAATGAGAACAGCGGAGTTCGCACCAGGAAAACCAGCCGCGGCAAAGCCTCCCAGGAGCATCAACAGCATTCGATCTTCACCTCCGGTTCTCCTTTTATGCGGTTGGCAGCAGTCCTCAGGCGGGTCTTCCGCACCCAGAACCGTGCTGGCTCGGTTCAGCTGGGCCTTCCAGGAAGCTGACCGTTAGTCCTCCACACTACCTGAGTATCACTTCGAAAGCTGAAATAAGATGCCTGGTAAGAAAACTATAAATTGGGGAATTACGATTAGTGGATTTAGGTTTGGGTATTGAAGCAACAGAGATGAAGTGGCCTATTGTGTCTAGTAGATTCTGGCCCAGGGATCTTTTGAGCCAGAGATGGTAGACAGGGGCCTAGGGCAGATACTGCAATCTCACGCCATCCGGCTGTGCGGGAGCTTCATGGACGGATGGGTGGGGCATCAGCCGAACCCAGGCCCTGCTCCAAGGCATTCGGCAATCTGTCAGGACAGTGGCCAGGCTGCTGCTTCCAGGCCGAGCGCTGCAGTTTTTACTGATTTTTCTGGGGTAGGCTAAAGTCCGGGAACTCCCGCCAGCCAGACCCACGGTTCCAGAAGATGTCTCTGTAGGCAGACCCGGAGCGCCGGTGATCACAGCCGCATGGTCCGGGCGCCCGTTGAATTCTGTGTATCACCCAGTCTTGCGGGGCTGGGCACTTCCGGTGCTCGGGCTTCAGCAGCTTCCGAAGCACAAGGGTGGGGGCAGAGAAAAGGGGCAAGAAAAAGAAAGAAAACGCAGACCGGCTTCAGCGGGCGGTGAGCCGCGTTAACTTGTATCAGCTGTGGACAAAACGCTTAAAAATGATCAACAAGCCTTCCTTCCTGCAGAGCTGGGCGAAACCGGACCTAAGGCAGCAGAGGGGACACGCTGAAGGCAGACGCCACGCCTCTGGGCCCTCTTCAGCCGCCTCGAAGATCTCTGGAGGCTCAAGCAGAAGCTCAGTGTTCTCAGAGAGAGTGGCCTTGGGTCCCCAGGAAGCGACCCAGGCAACTGTACCATAACCCACACACTCGCAGTGCTGTTCGCTGCACCAATCGCCCAGCTGTGTGACCTCCCTTTGGTGATTTCTAAGTTGACTAAGACCAAGTGAAGCTAGACAGCTTACCTTCTGTGTGCGCGGGCGTGCACGTGTGTTACTAGGGACTGAACCCAAGGCCTTCACACTGAGCTATGTCCATAGCCTCTTGTGAATATTTTCTGTTTTGAGACAGGGTCTTGCTAAGTTGTCCAGGCTGGGCTCGAATTTGGTGATCCTCCTGTCTCAGCTTCCCAGAGTGCTGGGATTTCAGGCATGTGCCACCATGCCCACCTGTTTCTGGGTTTCTATCAGGGTCTCAGGTTTGCAGAAACACCATGCTACAAAGGGTAATCGTGTACCACACCCAGGAGTTGGTTTTCACCTCCCAGACTCTGTCCCATCACTGTCTTGCCACGGTGGCTCCTAAGTGTCTCATAATGGCTTGTGCTTGGCTCAGAAATGCCCTCTCCAGATGGCAGGTGAGTAAGCAGCCCATTCTGAACCCCTCTCATCTTGAGCACCCATCCTCGTAGGCGCTCCGCTCCCTCTGTGGCCTTTTCTTTTCAGTGCACCCAGCATCTATTGCCTTCATACCCTGAAGACTAAAGTTTTTTTTGTTTTTGGTACCAGGGATCAAACTCAGGACCTTGCACTTGTGAAGT